CCCCATCTCCCCCAGTCCGCCCACCACCTTTACCTTAGTGCCTCAGGAATCTTCTTGCTGTTCTTTTTCCGCGCCATCACACTAGAAACTCACGGATCGCGGCCCAATATATGAGGACCAGCATCCCTTTGTTGCATCTTCATATTCCTTCTGATTCCATTCCTGTTGTTGACCACCGGGTCTCGCGCGGCTGATACATATTTATAACGGCCAAATGCTGACAAGGTCCTAGTATCCACAGCCACCGTACGCGCAACAATATCAGCCCACCTATCAACCTCTGCCCCCAATTTCTCCGCCGCTTGCTGCTGCGTCCCCCTTTGCCTTTGTGCCTCCGGCGCTCTCGGGGACCCCTGTTTCAGTTGCGTCTTCTCGTCCTCCCTTGGTCGCCCACCACTCCGAGCCCGTGCCGGTCGCCAACTCCAACTTTACCTACTTTTCCATGAAACCTCAACCGCCGCCTGCTCCCCAACACGGTTACTCAACCTACGCTCCCCAACGCAGTATACCCATGTCTTACCGGTCCCAGTCGAGCGACAGCGATATATCGACGCAGGGTCCCACGTCTCTGCCGTCCACGACCAGTCCGCTGGTCAACATGCAGTATCAGCGTTCGGCGCTCACGGCTCAGTATGGTGTGGTTGGGAGTTCGCAGGACAAGTCACCTCGGCTGCCCGGTCCAGGACTATACTACCAGCCAACGTATACGCCGTCAGAGATGCCTCGATCGATGACTTATCCGACTGCTGGCTACTATCCCTCGCCTTACAGCTACTCGACACCTGCTTCCAATGGCATGGCTTATCCCCAACCTGTCTCGACGTCGTACGCTGTCCCGGTTGGTGTTACTGGGCCAGCACCGGCTTCAGCTTCGACCTCGTCAGGTTATTCCTTTGGGCAGAAGACTCTACATCAAGACAGGCCTTACAAGTGCGATCTGTGTCAACAAAGTTTCGTGAGTTTATTCCCACCTCATTTGATCAGTGCGTGTCAACTGACCCGAGATCTCGTAGAACCGAAACCACGACTTGAAACGGCACAAGCGGATACATCTGAGTGTCAAACCTTTTGCGTGTGAAAAGTGTGGCAAGACGTGAGTGGAATAGTTGTTTATTAGCAGTTCTGCCATACTGATCCCCGTTATCAAGTTTCTCCCGAAAGGACGCCTTGAGACGGCATTGGCTGGTCAAAGGATGCAAAGAGGATGGTTCGACAGCGCCCATACGCGAGTCTAGATTTCATTAAACGTCTTGATGATCGATCTAACGCAAAGTAGATGCTATAGCACCCGTCGAACATGGTGCTACAGCCCCACCGGCTCTCTCCCCTCCGACACCTACCACCCTCTCCCCTTCAGCAATGCCCTCCCCAACCGAGTCCGTCCAGTCAACACCATCCTTCTCCCACCCCCCTACTCGCCCTTCACTATCAACGCTCCCCTCCCGGCGACAGCAAGGTTCCGACCTGATCATTACCCCGGGCGACATCCCCAACTCTAGCGTGGTATCTCCACTATCCGCTGGTGCTGGCAAATCCGGTATGCTACGCGGGCTCGCACCTGGGGTGGATAGCGCGAACTCGGCAAACGACGGCTATGTCAACGGAGGTTACTTTGAAGGATCCATGATCGACAGTCAACGTATGGGAGGTGTATCGGACCCTAGAGGCAAGGACATGCTTTCTCGACTTGCTTCGTCCCCTTCTGCCATCTATCCCCCGCCAGCACGGATGGTGTATCAGCCGTCACTCGCTTCACCTACGGAGAGCACTATGGCATCTCCGACGACGGCGACTTTTCCCTCGACGGGGATGGTGGCAGATGGGAAACCGTCGTTTGCTATGCCATTCCCGCCTTCGGCCGGGTATGTCATACAAGAGCAGGACGCTTCTTCGGCCGCCGCCGCCTCTGCTGCCGCACAGCAACAGCATGCCGAGGCAACAGAAATGGAGAAGCAATTGAGCCAAGACGAGATTCAGCAACAGCAACAGCAAACGTGGCAAAGATGGTGAGTCATTCTTCTGGATCTCGACAAGAAGGGTCTCTGACACGTGTAGCGCTAGGCATAGGCCCTCGTTTCCATTCCCTCATCCAACGGGCATGGCCTACACTTACAGCCCGCAGTCGATGGGAGAGTCGGCTGCAAGTGTGTACCCTCCCCCCCCTCCGCATGCGCCTCAACAGCAATAGCATCAATCTTCTTTGCCACCCTCCTCTTCGACCCACCACATCTCTGTTCGTTTCGACTTGTTTGTGAACTTGTTTATTCCGTCACGGTGACGACGACGTTGTACTTTGTAAAACCTCCCTCGGCTCTCTTTTCTTCTTGGGTTTTATATTCTTCCTCATTTTCTTTCTATAGGGTTTCATGTGTCTTACGAGGATAGAGTCTGCCAATCTTCTCTCTGGTAGAGTTGGAGCAAAGGTCTCTACACTTCTCTAGCATTTTTCTTTGCATTCATTTTTCGTCATTCGATTTCGCGTTGAGCGTTTTTGCACCACGGCGGTTCTCTTTCAACTATCTTCATTATCATACCAGTACATACAGTATAAGCACCCAGAACCAGTCACATATCATAGCCAAATCATAGACTGGAATAACGTCTAGCATGAATTGAAAAGTCTATACTCTCTTATCGTCGTTTGAGGATGTTGGGTACGTCGTGGGACTTGCGGCCTTGACTATAGACACACTGCATGCTGCACCCTGCGTAATTGAACAAGACCATCAAGTCCTCAATGGTCTCTGTCACCGTGGTGAGAAGATTGTCATCTAACCGAGCATAGCCCATCAAGCAGATTATGAACTCCCTGTGCCCGACGTCCCTTCCTCGCGCCAGCGCATCGAGGCTGATTTGCCTGCACAGTCCTTGAGGCCCTTGAGGCCAACGAGGCCTTGTGACCGAACTTTGATCTTGCATGCCCCTGAAGGGTCATCTCTGCTCTGTAATCGGAGGCCGAGGGGAGCAAAAGATGCCATAAACAGCACAAACACGCAAGGAAAGGCCGAAAGAAGAATGGTTGATGTTGAACTTTGAGATCTGGATCGGGAAAGGATTTGAAGAGGAACAACAACGACCGATAAGCATACGCTCGTCAAGAACGCCTGAAAGTCAATGTTGAAGACTGCTTGTCCATACCAAAGTAGAGATGGTATTGTGGTACTGAAGAAATTCAAGGGGGGCTGGTGATCGATTTCCTGAACAATCTTAGAATATCCTCCGATCAATTTCATCCCATCCATCTCTTTGGAACACCCTAGAAGTTTTGCGGCGGAAGACACAGAAATACATCGACATCGACATGGCGCGTGATCCGACGGTCGTTATCTTTGCGACACTTCCGCTTCGCCAGGATTGGGACGAGACGGAGAAGCAATAGATTTTGGTTGGATCATGGGCGCTGGGCGATGTGGAGGGGGCGGATTGAAAGGGAAGGTGGAAGAAGGGGGTCGTGGGCTCGAGCGGCGCGTGATTGTAGTGAGTCCTTCTTCTTTTCTCTTCGTTGGGCACATCAAATTGAAGACTGACCTCTTCAGGCCATCCTGGCTCCCTAATCGTTGCCCGAGCCTCTCGACTTTCACTGATATCGTCGACAAGATGTGTCATGGTGAACCGCAGCAGTATAGTAGCCCCTTGCGCTCCAACATCTTCAATCACCGTCTAGCCTTTCTCGATCCTGTTGGTATTGATATCAGTGTTGTCGACGATTATGTTCGCGATCAAAGAGGGCTGTTTGGAGAGGGCTTGAGATCACTTGGACAGGAGACGGTAACTTGGAAGACGTCAAGTGCTATCGTGGGACCCGGGACCTTTGGACGTCTTCGGCTCGCAAGGCATCCCCGTCCCAACTCTTGAGCTTCTTGCAACACTCGTGCAAAGTTTCCCGTGCAATTATCAGCTCAAGAACGGTACGTGGCAATCGGCATCGCTTTCGGATACATTCTGCCTAGTAGATAGGTAGGACACTGATCTCGTCTAGTCATCGACACACTCCCCAGGCATTGTATATCTTCGCCTTCGATCCACCCATACAGTCCCACAAGCACTGCCAGTGTGGTATACAGCATAACACGCTTTTGCCTCGGGGGGGGCAGCTTTCAAAAAGTAGACAGATCGTTCACAAAAATATCGATCAAATCATTCCCGGCCACCTCCCGTATATGCGCTTGCTCCTCAGCACCAGAAGACTCGCGATCGTCTGCGCCTGTGGACAACGCATAGGCGATCTCTTCGATCTTTGAGTCCTCAGGCCGGTATCCTTCGACTCTACTTGCCATCGCTTTCGGGTATCGCCAAACCTTGGGGCCTCCCAACGCTCCTCAATGTGTTTTTGAATCCTCGCCCTCTTCTTCCTTCGCCCCCCTCGCTTGGAAGTTTCGGGCTTCGGTCATCTGAGAGTCTTATAGCATCGTAATCTCTTGAACGGTCCTCGCTTTCAACAGCAACGGCTTTCGGGAAAGACTCGGGGCTTGGTCAAGATCGAAGGCTCGCCCAGCTGTCGAAAGAATCCCGCAAGAAGTGGTAAGCAGTTCCGGACAAGTGTCTTGTTCGCGCCTTCTATCTTGTGGCGTGATAGCAATCTACTACCATGCACCATTTTGGCTCCAAAATTTACAGTAACATCAAGCATGGCGACAACGTCCATCACAAATTCGCCGATGTCTCGCTGTCGCTCTTCGGGACCTGTGGGATCTGCGTGCACAGAGTGACCTCGTACCTCGGCTTACGGAAGCCTCAATCTTTCCCCCGAGGCGATCACGCTGATGGGGTATAATTATCGGGTGTATCAAGGCCTTCTGCTTCTGCCGGTGCGGCCACTCACCTGTCATCTGGCCCCCTCTTCTGACACAAACACCGATAGCTTACCCCGAAGTGCCGCGTCCTTTGTCCCGCTGAATGGATCACCGCAATACGTAACGGAAGGTATAGCGCTTCAGCTGGGGCTCAGCCTCTGCTGTGTCTGCGAAACAACAACATCTTTATTCCTTCGCCACAAGGCCATGTCCTCCTCCTCCACTTCCACAACCTCTTCATCCAGCTCTCCAACCCTCACAAAAGCCTCTGTCAATTTCTGGAACGTCGACACCTTCCTCTCCCCCTCTGCCCCCTCCGCCTCATACGTCCGCTCCCACTTTTCACGCTCCGACAAGTCCTTCTTCTCCAGTCTGCAATCATGTTTCTCCGGCGAGAGCTTTGACGTCGACGTGCCAAGTGACTTGGGCACGGCCCTGAGTGAGAAGACCGAGGCGGTTGTGAAGGAGAAGGCGAGTATTGGGGAGGGGGATACGGAGGCGTGGTATAAGAAGAAGGCGGACGAGAGGAAGAAGGTGATCAAGGAGTGGCTGAAGAGCGGGCGAAGTAGTCAATCGTCCAAGAGTGGGTCGGGGGAGAGTAGAGCCCGTAGCGGAAGCGAGTCTTCAACGCCGTCTTCTAGCTTATCTTCCAGACCATCAACATCTACTCCTTCGACCACCCCGCCCACATCTTCCTCATCTTCTCGTGAAGCTTCCCCTTCATCCTCTCGTCGATCGAAAAACACTACCGCATCGAAGAAACCCTCCTCCAAAACGTCAACACCTTCGTCTTCTCGCTCGAGCTCAGCATCCCGCCGCCGCAAAGCCTCCACCACCGCTGCCAACCTCAAACCCGCACACCCCACTTTCGACGCCCAAACCGCCAAATCCCTCATTGAGACTTTCAAATCCAGTACCGATACCAAGCTTGAAGAGCCAGAGTGGTGGGATACGTGGCATGCGCTCAGGGGTCCGTATGGCTATGGGAAGCAGGGTGTGACGGAAGAGATGGATGAGAAGCTGAGGGGGATGAGGAAGGCTGGGTGGGATGAGTTGACGAGGAGATAGAGCGGGTATGCAGACTTTACAGGGAGAATTACTCGCTCGATTGAGAGCAAAAAGTCTAGGTATCATTGACATGACCTTCCAACAGCTTCATCCGTTTACGGGCAGACATCAAACCTCATTGCAAACACTCTCTCAACCACTCTATCAAATCGAGGAGCTCTTCCTCGCTGTAAGTATGGCCCAAGCCAGGGTACGAGGTGAACCGTATACTCGGCCGGACGAAGACTGATCCCTGGGGAAGGACGGGTCGACCGATTTTGGAGAGTATGTCGACGGCTCTCTCAGCGACTGTTGTCCAGAGACAAGTATGACAATTAGCTTGGCGTCTTGTCCAATAGAACTCGAAAGGGTGAGCTTACATTCGTAGCTCACGACTGCATCTTCTTTGCCATGCGCCACGAATATGGGAGTTCCTGAGGCATGTACACTCTTAAGCTATAGGATATCAGCTGATATTCGCCTAGGAGATCGAACGACGCACTTCATCAACCCTTTCACTAAGCGGCAACCTCCCACTCAGCGCCACTATCCCCGCCAACCTCCTCTCCAGCACAACACTCCCCAACAACGAGATCATCGCACCCTGACTGAACCCTCCCAACACAATCTTGCTCTCCGGCGTACCCCTATCCACCTCGTCTTGGATGATCAGGTCGATGCTTTGGAGAGAAGCGAGCTGGCCCTCGCCGTCCTCGACCACAGGCTTGTCAGGCGTAGCGAGCTGGGGGACGTCAAACCATCCTGATTCGAGGAGGCCTTGGCGGAAGGTGACGGGTCTTATGGGGCCGAGGGGGAGGATCCATTTGACTGAAGGGAGAGCGGGGGCGAGGGTGGTGGTGATGTGCTTTTCAAAGATGCCTCCTATTCATTGCCGTCCACCATGTCAGCGGAGAGCAAAGACCCTTTGAAAGGAAACCCACCTCTATCGCCCCCCAGACCCTAGAAACAGAGCTAATCAATACATTTCCGGCAGGGGAAGACTCGAGGAGGAAGCTCACATGGAGAAAGATGATAGTCACCTGGTGCGTCTGTGCTGGCTGGATCGTTTTGTACTCTGGAGCTGGGAGACGCATGGAGGAATCGGGTGGAGTGATTGGTCAGGAATGGTCTAAAGAATGCTTATATTCGCTGATATATGAACAGGAGATAAGAAGGGAGGTCCGTAATATCGGACTACGACACCATTGCCGGGTTCAAAGCCGACGGGCTTCTCCGATGACGTTTGTTGACGCAGAGTTGACGCTTTCCTGGTTCTTGCATGAGCTGATGCATTGGACCAATACTGGCCTTATTTTCTATCATATGATTATTGGATGAAGCTCAAACCACCACGACGAAGAATGTAGGATCAATATCGTCCTCGCAGCAGCCTAGTTCATTGGTTGCAAAGTGGATAGTCGTCATCAGCTGCTCATCATCAACAAATACGTCAAGCTTTCTCCTTTCCTTTGGATCATCCAGCTTAAGTACGGAGCACTATGCGTCTGATGCACCCCATCAAACCACTGCATGATTCTTTAGACTAATTACAATATGAACGACTACCTGCCTGTACTCTTTCTTGGCTCCTTTTGCAATATAGCACGTGAATGCTGGTCCATAATGACGTCTTCACTCTGGCGGGGGTGGGTATTGGTACTCATGGCTCCTGCTAGATACTTCATGGGACTTATTCTGATAGCCACCACCCCCTTGACCAGGATTCATCGACATGATGGCGTCCCGTTCAGCCTGAGTCGGTGACTCTTCTCCAGCCGCCGGCATGGGCGCATAAGACCCATCATTAAAGTTCATGTACATCGCAGGATATACACTCCTACCACCGGTGGCTCCTGTGCCGCCGTGAAGGGTTCCGTATTGGTTATCGTCAATTGGGGGCCGCATGGGGTTGTTTTGAGCCAAGCTCTGCGGATTCTCCTGAGAGTAGTCGGTGGTGCCGATGTCGTATGTACCCAATACGACGTAGCCGGGCCGTCGGCCCCTTTGTGGCGGGTCAACGCTTTGGCCTCCTTCTATGGACCAACTTTGACGATTCACGTACTGCATGTTTCTGGAGAACGTGCAGGTTTTGCCCAGCGACGTACAACTTTGGCATGTTTGACTATCACAAGGGGCCAGTACAGTGACAAAATGGACATCATAGAAAGGACACTGAGCTCATGCACAGGGAGATGACTAGCCGAGTGCGAACGAAGAGTGGCGGCCGTCGTAGTAAGGATGACATCTGCCACACCGACTCACGTATCCGTTGGAACACATTTCTTCTTTCCTTTCCTGCAGGAATCGCAAGCCCAGGTGCTCCTCTTCTTTATAGTAGTAACAGACTCTGCTGGAGGAGGGCGAGACCCGTCGTCGCCTTGTCACTGCTGGTGGCTCTCAGCATCATTGCTTGACATTTGCTGACTGTACTGAGAATGAGCAGCAGTGGCGGAAGACATCTTTCCAAACGCTTATATGGGTTTAGACTGTCTTGCGTGTGGAGATGATGATGTATATGCAGAGCCACAGTAAGTATTTATCATGCGCGAGAAACCTCACAAGAGAGACATCAGGCCGTGGCGGCCCGTGAAGCCATAGGAAAAAGGAGAAATGATGAGTATGAGGCATGCTGCCGAGCTTTTGTCTCCATGCTGTTAATCAGCTTGACCCAAGTCGACGCAAATCCTACAGTATATATTGTCAGCAAGGAGGGCCCGATGGTAGGTACCCGGTGCTTGACGTGGTCCAACGGGAGAGAAGAGCGCCGACTGATGGAAGCGTAGGACACAGACGCATAGCGCCATCACCCAGTCTTTGGAACGTCACACGTCGTGTGTCTATATATCTTTCATTTACGGCTGCATCGCTCATCAAGCTCCGATGCCCGAACACAGCCCAGATGCACCGCGTACTGGAAGATGGAGGATAGTAGACGTCGCTTACAACAGATGATCACTGCTGTCGTCGGGTGTCTCGCTTGTCATCATCAGCTATCGTCCGACTTCGTTCGTTGATACGGGTGGGAGTATCACTCCCAGCCTCTTTTGTCTATGAAAGACAGCTTTCGCCGTTCCCCAAACATCAAGACTTGCTCAACTAAAGTCCGTCGCCCCTGCTACACTCCCACCTTTTGAAATTACCCCCGCCAATGATCAAAGGAGGCAAAGCCGCCAAAGTCCAAAGTCTTGTCCACGAACATCGTAACGGCCCGCCGAAGAAACGCGAGACAAACGAGGGCTCCACCGACCACTGACCCGGTTATACACTGGTCAGTCTTGTTGGGTCTGTATGATCCCGTGGGACCAGGTGATGTGAAGATAGCAGTTAGGGTGCTTGATCATGGACTGGGTACTAGAAGGTGTGGACAGACAGGTGGTACGTATATGTATACTCGTATGGCCCGAAATCCAGATGATGGATGGAAGTGTTTGTTGATCATCAGGCCATTTATCTACTTTACCTTGTAGCTAGTCCGATTGCTCAAGCCTGTGGCCTGTGTACAATACGTACGTAGTAGACCGGGGGCGCTGAAAGCCGGACTGAAAGTGGAGTATGTATAGCAACTTCGCACGAAAACAGGTAAACCGCGATATGCCGCTGGTATCTCGAGCATCCAGTTACCGCCGGGGTCTCGCGACTGCGGCGGCTGCCACAAACCATCATGAATTCATGATCGTACCAAATTGGATCTGAGCAGATCGCATATGAGATATGTATTCACCCGAGGTGCCAGAAAGAAGCTAGAAGGAAAGCGCGGTATTCAGCAAAACTTTCCGCCTCTGTTCATGTGACCATATCGACGAAAGTGACGTCTTGACGTCTTGGTCTAGCGCTTGATCCAGGAAGGTTCGAAAGCATGAGCTTGAGGCCGTGGTGGATGATGCATGGCTCTCGAGTGCACTACATCTCATTGGAGTGGAGTGGAGTGGCAGATGGACGGTGATAGTCGGGTAAGCAAGCCGAGGGGCCGAGTGCGGCGAGGCACGGGTATATCGTTGTGTACCTTGTGCCTTTGGTGTGTCCGACTTCGCCCGAAGATTATCGCGATAACTAAGTGATTGGCAGATGGGGTAATGTTGTTGCGAGGAGAGGGTGGGGGGGGGGACAAGGTGAGGGAGGGGGAAGGGGAGGGGGGAGGGGGGAGGGGGGAGGGGGGAGCTGCACTGCACCGTATGCACGAGGTGGCCCAAGTGGCCAGGTGATCCAGGTGGATGCGCTGTCCTCTGGGCTGATTCCAGCTCGCAGCTTGCCATATCACGACGAGATCCAGGGCACCAGGGTTTGTTTATAAAAACTTGCCCGGCTAGCCCTCGCCGGTATCAGCCGGTGCACACCGTACTCTTGTGCATTTCTATACATCCTCATTCCGCACACAATCTCCTCTCTTCTCATCCATCCCTCCATCACCCCCCGCCCCAGCCACGACCCCTCTCGCGACGCGTGACTACCCCCGCTGCGACCCCTTTGCGCTGCTGTGTTGCCCCGATTTGGGTGTATCCGGGGCCACGCCTTAACGAGAGCATCACCTCACTCTACCGCTTTTTTCACCACCCACCAAAAAGGCTATATCCTGAGCCGGTATCGATTAACCTTGACTTGATAAAAACCAGACACGGCCGTCACACCTCCGTCCTCGGATTCCCACCGCATCATAGTCCTGGCCGTTTGGGTGAGTTTGCCGGTGTCGGCTGGAGTGTCGTCCTTTGGAGCCGAGCTGATTGTTATAACAGTCCGCCACTCTTGCAATTACCCTCCTACCACCACCACCCCCCTGTGATTCCAGCGATCATGGCCACCGCGACCATGGACGACCTCGTCGCCAGCCTTTCTGGCAACATGCATGTCTCCCAAGAAGGCTATGACCTCAAAGCTCTCCAAGTCAGTCCCCTCTCCCCTTCTCCTCCCCCACCACTACTCCTATGCATAGGACCCAACTGACATATCATCACAGGAATACCTCTCCCAAAACCTCCCTCTCCCCATGGCACCTCCCAGCGGCGGCCTGGGCTACCCCCAAACAACATCCCGCTCCACCTCCCTCACCCGCAAACCTAGTTCATTACCTTCATACACCTACCCCTCCCCCACACCGAACGCTTTGCCTCTGCCTTCTCCTTATGCTCAGCCCCAAGCCCAATGTCAGTGGCAGCTCCAAGCGCAAGGCCAAGCGCAAGAGCAGCAAGCAGGCACCTCAGCCTCAGCATCCTACGACCCCCCCTCCCAAATCTCCAACCTGCCCCCAGCCCAACGCCCCGCCCCTCCCCGCCGCGCAAGCTCCTTCGGTACCCTCCCACACAGCTACATCCCCGCCTGCAGCAGCGGCCAACAGCCCAGCAGTCCTTCGACGAGTTATGCGGCGTTTGAGAGTGATGCTTTTGCGCCTATTTGGAAAGCGGAGGAATCGGCGGGGGTGGAAGATCCGTGGGCCAAGATTCGGGCGGGGCAGGGTCAGTTGGGGGCGTTTGGGTATGCTCATGCGCAAGGGGGGCAGAAGCCCACTGCCGCTCAGGACAATCAAGCAGCAGGAGGAGGGGGGTGGCAATGGGGTCTTCAAATTGGTGTATTGGACCAGCCGACCCCGCTTTCTCTCGGCCAGGAAGATAGAACAGGAGGGGAAGATATGGATATGGATGAAGATTCCATGATGGACGCGTCGGATGATGAGGATGATGAAGAAGTGGAGGGGATGATGGATGAGAGAGATCCTTGGGGAGCCGGGCGGGGGAGGCCGGTTTGGTAGTACGAAGAGTACGAGTACTGCCAGTTGGGACATTCTTTCCACCCATTCAGATTTACATATAGACAACCCCCTCCTTCCCCTTCTCCAAACTCCAACAAACAGTCGCTTGTACCGTACCTATTGTACTTATAATAATGATCATGTTGTGTTCTAGCTGCTTATATACATATACGAACTTCCTTCTCGCATATTCAATGAATCATCGTTTGCCCATCAAGAAGGAGACTGTTGTCAAGCAGAAATAAGGATCATAAAGAAACGCCTCAACGCGCTCGAGGAGACGGGAGCGCAGGCCGCAGGGGGAGCAGCTCTGTTGAGATCGTTCGAGGACGACCACCTCCATCTGAAACAAGTGCACCAGAAATAGTGATACCGGATGGTAGCTACGGACCATCTCCACTTTATGGTGAGCTTTGGCGCATGTAATGGTACCATATGCATGAGATCAGTAGCAAGTTGACTAATCCGGGATTAGTTGCTCTCAACCATACGAGGAATGGACCCGCGCGCCTTCGTCGTAGTACCAGAGAGGCACGCCTATCTCCGCGTTTCCACTTCCAGCGAGATGCCCTCTTTGGCGCGCGATTCATTACCCGTTCCACTCTCCTCTTACACCTCTTCCACAACCCACCCGCCTCTCGCCTCTTCTTCATCTGGACATACCCGCCGCCCATACACTTTCTAGAAAGAACAGAAGAAGAAAGAAACAAGAAAAAGCAACAATGTCTGAACGTCTCCAAGAAGTCGCCGATATCCCAAGACAGTTTGTCAAGGAGGGTACTCAGGTCAGTTCTCCCTTCCCCTTCTTTAGCTGAACAGTAACCTTGGAAAGCATTCGATTGGTGAAGGGATCATAGCTGATGAATTGCACTAGTTTGTGAACAGGTGTACCAAGCCCTCAGCAGAAGGTTAGCGCGTTTCTGACCTTGGCTTTGTGTGGTGAAATGGAGTGGGACCCGGAGATGGTGTGGAGAGGCGGAGGGAGGAGGCAAGGGTGAGCCTGAACGAGCAATGGAGAAGTCGCCGACCACGCAAAAGGGATTCAAGACGGCCGTCCGAGCACTCCGCCCCCTCTCTCCTTCTCTCCTTCCCACTCCCTCTCCCTCTCGCCCACTGGCCCTCGCTCCGAACTTTGTGGTTTATACAATTTACTGACAACTGTGATTTACTATAGAGTACAAGCAGCTCTGCCGCGCCATCGCCATCGGTTTCGGTGTCATGGGCGTTATCGGCTACGTTGTCAAGCTTATCCACATTCCCATGTGAGTAACCCGATGTCCGCCCCTTGTTCTAGTCTCTGCTTCAGAGTATCGGGGGCTGGCCATGGTAGATACGAAGGGCAGATGCTGATGATGGTTATAGTAACAACATCCTCGTGTACGTTGCTCCGCCGAAATCCGACTCGAAGCACATCTACTGACCTATCACGATAGCGGTGGTGCTTGATTCAAAGCTCTTGTGTTCGAAAGGAAGATGGAGACGGAAGAAGCAGCGGGGGACGAGGGTTGTAGATCACTAGCTTCTTTTCTATGGGATTTTTAACATTTATCTGCATTTCTTGTCGCATGGTAGCGAAAAACATGACTTGACTGGTTCTCGGCTCAAATGGAATAATGCGCATCAACAGCATTGGTCATAGCTTTCATCTTTACAAATTGCGTAAATTAGAGCACCGCATCTCTCTCTGAACCACCCAGCACGCAGCCAAAAAAAGACCTTACTCGGTCTTCTTCTCCTCGGCGACAGCGGCCTCAGCAACAGGAGCGACCTCCTCCTTGGCCTCGGCAGCGGGAGCCTCAGCCTCCTTGGTCTCGGTAGCAACAGGGGCAGCGGCCTCCTCGGCGGGCTTGGTCTCTTCAGCGGCGGCAGGTTCTGAGGGGGCGGCGGTCTCGCTGTATCCCACGTCAGTGATCGTCTTTTATAGCGACAAGGAAAAGGGACGTACGCGGTCTCCTCCTTGGTCTCGGCCTCCTCCTCGGCGTCCTCCTCATCGTCGCCCTCGTTGGTACCTGAAACCTCGGCGTTGTGGGTTTGGGCCTTCTCGAAAGCATCCTTGAAAAGGTTGGCGTCTGTTCCAATCTCTTATCAGCCAATGCTCCTCACTTCGAGAAGCGAAAGGGAGAGACGTACTCTCAGAGTTGCCGAACCTGATAGCAAGAGTTTCGGCGCTAGCCTCACCCTCAGTGTAGTCGGCAGCGACGTTGTACACCCAAGATCGGTCAGATCCGACGTTGGGAGAGAGCTTCATCTCGGGGCCGACTACATTCCCATCAGCATGTTTCCAAAACATACCAAGAGAGGTGGAAACGTACTGATGTGGTTGGCGCAGACCTTCAAGGTCTTATCCCGTCGCATGACGAGTCGCACCTTGTTGGTGGTCTTGTGCTTCAACAATCGGACGTCACCGGTACCTCGCTCTTTCCACTCGGTGGTGTCCTTGTGGAATCGGAAAAGCTTGGCTCGCCTGTGGATTGCATCGTCAGCGAGTGTTAGGAGACGAGAGTGGGGAGAAACGAGGCTTACATCTTGAAAGTGGACTCCTCATCCTCCTCGTGGGTCTTGGCCTCGACTTGCTCGGTGAGTCGGACAACGGGCTCGAACTGGGGGTCGTGCTCCTCCTACCAAACATCATCAGTACTGCGACTTCTCATCGACCAAAACACCACGCCTCGTCCACGCCTTTACCACCTAGGGCATCCCACATCACGTTCCAATTCGGCAGGTTTCGAGTGGCAAGCGGCCCATAACGAGAACGAGATGGATATCCTTGACGTACGACGGGGTTAACTTGCTCAGTGGTGTCGGCCATTGTAAAAATGTGACTTCTAAGGAAGGGGCAAAATTGAGCACGGATCAGCGACTATTCGTATGTTGTTTTCGTCGCCCCGTCCCTCCAATTCCATTCCTGATTTCGACCGTTCTCCGCTGCCTTCTGGTGGAATATCAACATACCTTGTGGGGGTTTTGACTGGAAAGAGGAAGATAGAGAAGAATAGAGATTCGCGTAGAAGGAGCGCTGAGCACGCAGGGGAGCGCGTTCACAAGCTCCAAAACTAAAACGCGTGCCTATTAAGCCAGGTGGAAGCCTCCGCTGCGCATGCCTATCCCGACGCGCCCATTCCACGTCCAGCGTCATGCATCGCTCTCAAACAGCCATCTCTGAAAACAACACTCCTATACCCCCCCCTCCAGCGTCTGCAGGACCGAGTCAACAGTCACCAGCAAAATGCTCCACCGAGCAACCTCAATCTTTGCCTTTCTCGTCCTTCTGCTGGTGCCGTTAGCAGCTTTCGCCCATCGATTAGAGCTCGAAGCTGGCGAGAAGGAATGTTTCTTTGAGACTTTGGATACTCAGGATAAGGTGCGTCCCTCAAATCCGATATATTGTTATGATGGACAAATTACAGGAGCTGATTTTGGTGCATAGATGACAGTCACATACGAAGTCGGCGGTGGTGGTCACCTCGACGTAGACTTTTACGTTTGTATACCGTCTTTCGCATACTATTGCCAGGCTGATAATGGGGTCATTGAATAGGTGATGGATCCCAACGGCAATGTCATCAACAAGCAAGACCGAAAGCCTCAAGGATCCTTCTCTATCCAAGTCGACAGGCCGGGGAGGTTTACTTATTGTTTCAGCAACGAGTTCAGCTCCATGTCCTCCAAGACCCTGTCGTATGTCTATCACTCTCTATATCCATTCGCTTACTGCTACGACGGAATTCGAAACACGAGAAGACAGCTGACGACGACACAGGTTCAACGTCCACGGTCAATTATTCATGGGCGATGAAGAGCAAATCGCGCCCGTTGAGCAGGAAATCCGAGATTTGAGCGCGGGGTTGCAGCTAGTGAAGGACGAGCAGGCGTATCTCGTGGTCAGGGAGCGAGTGCACAGAGACAGTACGCCCCTTCCACCTTCGGCAGCTGTCGAGGCCGCCAAAAAGGGGAAGACAATGCTGACTTGCTTGAAGCTTGCGAATCAACAAATTCCCGTGTCAAGTACTGGGCTATCGCCCAAATCGGTATCGTCCTTGCTGTTTGTGCTTGGAATGTACACTATCTCAAGAGCTGGTTTGAAGTGAAGAGGGTGCTGTAAGGACCTTTCTTGGAGAGCGAGGAGATGGGTGTCACGATAGAATCATTCTTATGCACGCACGATCACGGCCAACACCATACGATTCTCACATTGGAAGCACATCCCTGTGCGCGAGAAAGAGTCTTAGAGATGCATATACGTTGCAACAAATACTATATACCACAGGGGCTAAATCGACAAGGTACTTCGTCCGTACCAAAAATGGGGTATATCCTATATTACCAAAAGACCAAACAATCACAAAACTTCTTCCTAATTCCCTTTTCCCTTCTTGACCACGTATCCTCCAATGTAGAGTCTGAGCGTCCATAAGCCAGCGAGACTCCTGCGCACTGAAAACCGCCAAATGACGCCAACACCCAAAGAACCCTTCGCTCATCCCAAGCCAGCCCATTGTCCTCTGATCCGTCGTGCTAGGTGGATGTCCTTCTGCATGATAGTGACTCGTTTGGCGTGGATGGCACAGAGATTGCTATATCCGTCTGTTAGCATTGACGTCCCCTAGCTTCGACCTATTTTCGCTGCAATGGTCTCTCGGGTATATATCGAGAAGGATTAACTCACGCGTCTTCAAACAGATGAACCAAAAACGCCTCTGCTGCTTCTTGCAACGCCATAATCGCCGAGCTCTGCCATCTCAGTTCCGTAGCATCCGCCGAAGCCACATCCATCGCTACTTCCCTCACCTACTCAGTCATAATCAGCCTCCCTTCTTAAGCAGGATATGTGACACAACGCACGACTCGGGAGAATGGTAATTTGGCAATAAGCAGATCCGTGCTCTTCTGATACTGCCTGATTTCACGCAAAGCGACGGTACCGGGGCGGAAACGATGTTTCTTGCGAGGTGCTGGGTCATTCGGTCTCGCGGGAGCAGGGTTTGATGCTTCAAGTCATCCATCAGCATCGCTCCCAAATCAAATACAAACACCCATGTCACTCTCACGCCATCCACCAAGACCAGGAGAAAGACTCACGCCCACTCCGTCTAGGAGCTTTACCACCCGTACTCTTCCTAGCCGTATTCTTCCCGCTCGTCTTTCCTCCTCCTGATGGGCCAGCGCGTGGACGGCCAGCGTCGTTCAAAGAGGACCGGCCTCCCGCGCGGTTCGGGGACGTGACTGTTCGGGCCATTGCGCTTGCTTCTCCTGTTCTACTATATTGCGGGGGTCAAGGGTTGTTGTGGTGTGAGGACGGGTCGAAGGCGAGGGATGGGCGGGCTGGGAGAGGGCGGATGGATGGACAGCGGTGGATAATGAGGAGGACAAGAAGAGGACAAGAAAGATCAGCCGCCGCGCTCATAGTGCAACATTTCATTTTCAGGGTTCGGGATTACGTACACGCGTTTCTAACACTCAACAAGCCACATTAAGGCCATAATTACTTGCTGGGAATTCTTACGCGACGCGCAGAGCATCTTCATGTCGTTCAACTTGTTCATCGAGATGGTATGTGTCTTGCCGGTGAAAGCAAGGATGAGGAACAGCTGTCAATTCGATATCCTTTGCTACCCCATACCTCATCGGAGCGCTTCACGGGGCCAGAAAATGCTTGTCTACATGTGCGGTCATCCTATTTACTTGCTGGGTTATTCCGATGCGCGATATACTAAACCTATGAAAAAGGTCGGGGGCATGACAAAGAATGAAAAAGAGAGGTCGTTATAATCGCGGAGATTCTGAGGAATCTCTCGTCAAGGCCGGGGAAAGACTGAATAATGGGACATCGTATTTACTAACATGAGAAGAGATGAATAGATGTTTGCACTATGCACATGAGTGACGTCCTTCCTACAACTTCTATGCGCTTTACACATTTTTTCCTTTTCAATGGCTACACTCTACTTTCTCTTCGGGCTCAAGCGGAACCCCAGAGCCTGACTACGCCATCGGCTCCTACACTCGCAACGACAGGCAACTCTGGATGGCTCCCCACTGCACAAACACCTTCATCTGCACGCTTTCGGTGCCCCGCAAGCTCTTGGATGGACGTCTTTTTGCCCAGATCCCAGAGCCGGACAGTGCAGTCGGAAGAGGAGGTGAGGATGCACGTTGGCGAGGAGGGGGACAGGGCGAGGGATGTTATAGGTGAGGGGTGGGCGAGGATGGTGTGGGTTGGAGATGATGAGGCTGTGATTGCGTCAGTTGGGCGAGATGATATTTTCAGAAGAGACATACAAGACTTGGCATCGTAGAATCGCAGCTGCCCGTCTTCATGACCAGTGATGATAGCTGGCAACGTCGGGTGACTCAGCACGGCGTTCACCTGGCTCCCCGCAGCCTCCCCTTCACCTTCCTTCCCACCAAACACCTGCACCTCCTCCCCGGGATCTACATCCCACAGCCTAACGGTCCCATCCGATGTACCAATCAAAATCTTTCCAAAGTCCAGGTTGTACACCGCTAAAGACGTGGGCACCACTGTTCCCTTGGCATCGCTCCCGAAAGAGTTGAACGTCTTGGAGAGTTTCCATTCTGATGACGAGCCAGACCTTTGCCATAGCTTGACGCTACCATCCGCAGAGGCAGAAACGAGCCTGGCTTCAGTGGCTTCCTTCCCGGGTTTGGCAATCTCGCGTGACGGCAGTAAACAGATATCCCAGACCGCCTCCGTGTGGCCCACGAGGGTTTGGATGGCAGTAGTCGGATCCCAAGGAGCATAGGGATCGTGGTCATGCGGCGGGAGTTTCCAGAGACGGATGGTAGAGTCGAGGGAAGCGGAGAAGATGGTGGAAAGGGAGCTGGAGACGGTGACGGCTGTTATACCGGCGGTGTGACCACGGAGTGTTTGGATGGGGTCGACCTCTTGCGCCGCAGGTCTGAGCATCGTCAATGGGATGATCACAAGATAGGTTCTGCAACTTACCGATGAGACATGACACTTGCTGGGTCGACCGCCCACACCTTGACGGTACAATCATCCCCACCAGTCGCCAACACGATCCCGGGCCCATGCGCAAAGTCAACAGCTCTGACGATATCCAGATGGCTCTTCATGCTCCGCTTGGTCACCCAAACCTTGTCGACAGACTCGTCCGTTTTGACTTCCTCATCTGTCTCCAGGGTCAAGTTGGCAAGCTGGTCATCTTCAGCCTCCGGCTTCTTCCGTTCTTGCTTTGCCTGTACATTTGTTCAGCGAAACTTGCGTACAGTAGAATATGAAACAAACCTTTTCGGCCTCCTCGTTCGCAGCTCGCAATTCTTCTCTCCAAGCAGTCTTACTCTCCGGTCTATAGATTGCCGTCAGAAGCTGCTTCTGCTCCCCAAACCCCGACTCTTGATTCTCCTTTGACTGTTCCGTCTCGCTAGCTACATCAGGCAGACCGATCTTTTTCGGCGCAGGAGACGATGGCGGTTTGTTATCCTTCTCCTGCATCCTTGGAGGAATCGGAGCAGGAATCTGTTTCTCTTCAGACTGTGCACCTTGGGTCGACACCTCGCCATTGGGCAGCTCTTCACTTTCCTTGCGCTCTTGTCGCGGGCTAGGGAAAGGCGCAGAAGGCACCTCGATGATCTCTTTGCGTGGACGGTCAAAAGGGTCTGGCTGAGGGTTGCTGGGGTCGGATGTATCCGGGCCGGGGATAAGAGACGGGTCTACAGGAGGATGGGGCGGTAAAGGGTTGAGAGCACCAGGAGAGGTGAGGTAGGTTATTTCTTGCAGACATCTGTGGTATTGTCGGTTTGCGAACTTTGAGGTAGAACACGTGTACGTACTGCTTCAAGTACTCTCGACTTCTAGCCCGAGCTTTAGGGTCCTTGGCAGCGGCTGCGCCAATGCCCTTCCACTGGCTCGTCTCGAGGGGATGAGAACGTGAAGCGATTGTAGATGATTTGCCGATTGCAGCCGGGTGAATACCGTTAAGCTTGGGCACTTGAGATCCAGTCAGTAAGAATCGGCAGATGTGAGAAACGACGTACAATCCTCTTGGCTCCCTTCACTTCCACTGCCCTCCTTCTCGCTACTCGAAAGCTTGTCTTCATCCTGAAGCGCAGCCAATCGAGCAGGGGGTACGCTGTGCGGCTTACTACCGACACTGACAGTCTTTGTCCTCTCTTGTCGCAACGCGAATTCGAGCATCTTGACACGTCGAAGCAGATCTATCTTCAAGTTTTCTGCTGATCTTCTTTGACCTTCCAGCAACGCGATACGAGCCTATACTCGTCAGCCCGAGCGCGTAGCCCATCTAAACGGGACATACCCTCATCTCTGCTCGCTCAATCTCCCACTCATTCCTATCTCTCTCCCACCGCCTCCACTCGCTCTGCAGGTAATGCAGCACGCCTGCCAGATTCATCTCTTGCCCTGGCGCGCCCATGCTCCCGCTACCCTCTGCAGTCCCGTTCGTGCTCTGCGGTCCTTGCTGCTGCTGCGGTTGTTGTTGCTGTTGCTGCTGCTGCTGCTGGAGCTGGGGCTGCTGTTGTTGCTGAGGCGATTGGAATTGCTGAAAGCCGCCAGGTCCACCAGGCGGCAAGCCACCAGAGCCTCGCTGCATACCCACACTGGAAGGGTCGTATGCGAAGCCCTTGGGGCGGGTATTATTGTGGTTCCGGATCATGACTGTCGAGTGACTAGCGAAGGGGCATCAAGTCTGCCGTGGAACGAGGACGTGGCGCGTTTGGAGGGGCGGCGCGGTCTTTTGGGGGGCGTCGTGCAGGGGTGGGCCGTTGTGGGCTGGGCTGTCTACTGCTGACTAGCGAGACCGTCATCCAACATGGCTTCAGCGCCATCCACCGCACAGACCCATGACGGCCTTTCGGCGTTTGACGGGGTGGCGTAATCGGTCTCGGGGGGCTTCTATATCATCTGTCGACCTTTGTCCTGGTTTGCTTCCGCTTGTTGACTGATGTCATATTCCCTGGCTTAGCCCGTTTATTGTAGTCGGGTTCCGTTACGAGAAATTGTCAACAAGCTGCCGCATTGGGATCAGATTGTTCTTTTTCTGTTCCATCTTGTATCTCACACATTGGGTCCACCATGAGTGCCCAGCAGTTCTACCAAGGCGGTAACGACAAGCAAGGACAGCCACAACAGCAGTATGCTCCTCCACCAGGCGGCCCGCCTCAGGACTACAACAACCAGCAGCAATATGCCCCTCCCCAGGGCCAGGCGAACTACAACATGAAGGGCTCTCAGCCATACGCCCAGACCAACCCCGAAACTGGCGGTCAGCCCAACTACCAGAATGGCGACACTGCGCCCTTTTCCCAGGCGGATGAAAAGACTGGCCAGAGGCTGAACCCTAGAAAGCGGTTGAACGACCCTATATTCTTGGTCTTGTTCTTGGCCGCCATCGCTGGGTTTGCTGTCGTCTCTGGTATCGCCATCAACAGCTTTATCAAGGTGAATGGGCTGGGAGGGGGTTTGGGGAGCAGCAGCTCGGGACAAACAGGTTCAAGCACGACCCTGGATTAGTGAGTGAACGCCAAGAAGACATCTGTCGCTTGGGTGCTTTCGATTCTCATCAGTCAACAGCCACACTGTCTACATTCTTCTCGTCGTTACCGGCTTGGGTCTCTTTATCGCTGCAGTGTACCTTTTTGTGAGCATCTCGCAGCAATGCGCAGTCAATCGTTATCTAATCTCCGGGCGTAGATGTTGAGGACGTTTACGAAAATCATCCTTGAAGTGACTTTGGCTTTGACTGTGCTGCTCAATATTGGTATCTGCATCTGTAAGTGCTTGCAGTGTTGTGATTTAACGCGCTGACATATATGTAGACTACTTTATCATCAAATGTAAAGTCCCCCCAACTCTGCGAGAGCGTCGCTGACATTCCGCAGACTGGTCCGGCGCCATCATCTTCCTCGTCATTGCCCTCCTCTCTATCTTCTTCTACTGGGGCATGCGCAAGAGGATCCCTCTCGCCAAGCTGCTACTCCAAACCACCATCGACGTCACCAAGCACCACCCTTCAGTCTACCTCGTCGTTTTTATCGGTCTCCTTGTTCAAGCTGCTATTTCAGTATGGTACACTTTTACCTGTATCGCCATCTACGTCAAGTGGACTCCGGGTAGCGAGGGTACGTCCACTATCATCGCCAAGACTACCAGCTAACGCTTCATAGCATGCTCTACCGGCTGCTCCTCCAGCAAAGTCGCCGGCCTCATCTTCTACTCTACCTTCGCCTACCTCTGGATGTCCCAAGTCCTCGGCAACGTCATCCTCGCCACCCTCGCCGGCGGTGTTTTTGGCGGCTGGTACTATTACGGTCCTCGAAACCAATGGGGAGGCGTACCAAAGCAAGCGAGTTTGAAGGCGTTTGTGAGGGCGACGACGCTGTCGTTGGGTAGTATTGCTTTTGGAAGTTTGTTGGTCACGTTGTTGGAGCTTTTGAGGTTGATTTTGCAGATCTTCCAGCAGTACGAGTCTGGGCAGGGTGATAGTGAGTGCATTGGTTGTGTGTTGATGATTGTGTTGATGGATGCAGTGATCGGCGCGGCTTTGATCTGTGTTGTCGGTTGCTTCGGTTCTTGGGAGCTAAGGGAGATGTGCTGATTCATGCTTAGGCTCAATGTTGTGTCGGGTGTATCGAGTGGCTCATTGCCTACTTCAACAAATGTGAGTGCTCTCTTGCTGCATACCGCAACCCACGCTGACGCTTGTTCAGATGCTTAGTATGTCCAAGCATCGATGACTGGAAGAGAAGACTAACATGATCCTCTTCGCTCTCTCTAGCATCGAAATCGGTGAGTCGCTCTGCTCCAACTTGCCGGACAATGCTGACATAACATAGCCCTTTATGGCAAGTCGTACATTCCTGCTGCCAAGGACACCTGGAGACTCCTCAAGGACCGCGGAATCGACGCCCTCGTCAATGACTCCCTCGTCGGCACTGGTACGTTCATCCTTACCCCAGCGAGCCTCGCTGACTTGTATAAAGCTCTCATGTGGGGCGCCTACATTAACGGATTCCTCTGCGGCGTCCTTGGCTACTTGTATCTCAAATGTAAGCACCCCCTTCAAACACCCATCGACCCCACTGACGTGAATCCAGTCACCAACCCGTCCTACAACTCTGGCGGCCAGTACTCTGCCCCCGTCATCCTCTTCTCCTTCCTCATCGGTCTCACCGAGTCCAACGCCATCAGCGCCGCCATCGATGCGGGTGTATCGACCATCTTTGTGGGACTGGGCGAGGACCCGATGGTGTTGGCGGAGCGAAGCCCGGGATTGTTTGAGATGATCAGGCAGGCTTACCCCCGGGTTCTCCAAGGGGTTCCCGGCAGGACCTAATTCAGGCAGAATGAGCTTTCAGCTAGCCCAAGGACATTCATAACAACACTATAATAATGCATACTATTCTATACATGCTATCCCTCTTAGCCTTACACACCGTCCTTCCAAGCAGCCTTCTCCGCTTTGACGTTCCCTTCCTTCTGCTTCTCCGTATCGCCCGTCACAATCCCCTGCACACTCTCCAGCTTTCCCTTGACACCCTCTACGCTCGGTACGGGCACAGACAGAGGTGAATCGGAGGAAGCTTGTTTGTAGTCCCATTGAGCTTTTTCGGCTTGGGTGTTGCCTTCAGTTTGTTGGGATTGGTCGCCTGTTACGTAGCCCACCGCTCTGCACCATCTGTCAGCTTTGCCCGAAAGTGATGGGAAGAGGGGAACGTACGACTTGACTTTACCCACACCAGCATCAACACCAGCTTCAACAGCCTTCTTCCTCTTGGCCTCTTCCACCTCCTTCTCCCCTGCTTCCTGTAGCGCCGTACCCGACTCTGTCCAGCTGGTCGAGCCAAGTGCTTCGGGTATCACCGCACCGACTGCCTGTTCAGATGTCAGCCATGACAAGGCAAAGAGCGTAGGGACGGGACGCACCTGTTCAGCCAGCCCGATGGCGGTATTGATCTGGCCCGTAATTTGGGAGGGTTCGTTGGTCTTGGGGTTTGAAGCCATCTTGCCTATATGTACTGATTTGTTTGTGGTTATCTGAGTATGGGAGGTGGGGATGGTGAGTGGCAAGCAATCTTTGATTCCCTTTATATGGCGGCTGGAAAGATCAGTCGGGTGGCTTTTACGTAAAGGTGAGGTACAAATGACATCATTCCACCAACCACCCACTGTCATCTCTCATCCCTTTCATTTCCTTTGCGCTTTGCTGTGCGCCTTGCCAGCCGGAGCCATGCAACAATCCCAACTCACAGCCTTTAAGCTGATCCCAACTGCCCTGTCCTGTTTGCTGAAATTGACTCGATCCTGTAGCAGAGGGAAAGGTATTTCAAATGTGGTGTTCATTCAAAATTCGTTACAAGGACATTCTATTTTATAACTGTTATGATCTGGATAGTAATACTAGATACTATAGACTTGTGACAAGGCCGGGATGCAAGGAGAAAAAGCCCAAAAGGAGCAAGGACCAAGATAGATAGGAGATTTGAAGCGCATGAAGATAAAGACCCCATAAACCCATATACAATGATAAAGAGACGCTGAAAGCGAAAGTGAAAGAGCCGAGACCGAAAGTAGAGAAAACTATTCGCTGGTGGGGAGATGAAGCGAGTTGAGAGCATCGGCGAGATCAAAGTGGAACTGTAGATGATCGTCAGCATCTAATCCTATCATTGGAAAACGTGTGGAAACTTACGAAAGGTGTAGTCCTATCGAGCAACGGCAGACTCTTGTCACTGCCCCGCCTCTGGTCCGCCTCGTGAACAGTCTGTACCCTTGGTGGTGTACTAGCACCCGACGAGCTACCCAAGTTCTTCTCCTCATCATACACTGACGTCCTCGCGCTATCCGATCCTCCAGCCTGGTGCGCCTTGCCAACTTCATGTACCAAGAACAAGCCATCCTCTTCACGTTCATGAGTGGGAGGGGAAGCGGCGTTTTCGAGATTCTCAATGACCGCGGGCGCAACTTCCAGCGCGGCCCCTTCCTTCGTCCTGCCCTGTCCAAAGCCGCCCGCAATAAGCGCACGTCGGATCCAAGGCGACAAGATACCGCAGAAGTGGAACTCGACAGGCCCGTCCGCCCACTTTTCCATAGCTGTCCGCGTATCAATCAAGTTTTGCACACCCGTGGTATCCAGATTGGCCACCGCCGCGAAATCAAGAATGACTGCCTTCAACAGCGGCTTCTCACTCTCGGCCTTGCGCTCGGCTTCTTCATCCTTCTTACTGTGCCCCGGGTCATTCCATGGACGGTCACCAGCTTTGACAGCATGGTGGTCCCCGCCTCGGCGGGTGGTAGACTTGGCACGCTCGACGAGACGGTCGTTGATGTACGAAGCGTTGGGGTAGAGGAAGGATTCTTCGAAGCGGTAGATAATGATACCAGGGGGAGGGTTCTCCACGGGCACATCCTGGTTGTGCGAGTCGCATAAGGGAATGTACACGTCTCGAGTCTGCTGGGCATCGTTCTGAGGCTTGATACGCACACGTCCGAGGAAGTGGCCCTTGGGGCGGGCGATACGGAGCAAGAGGAGGACGATGGAAGTAGCGAGGGACCAGTAGATACCGGATTCGATGGTGTAGAAGACGGACCAGAGAACGGCACCGACAAAAATGATGTACTCGATGGGGGAGACGCGCCAGAAGGCATAAGAGTGCTTGGGAGAAGCGACCAAGTCGGCGACGGCGTGGATGATCAACGCAGAGAGAGCGGCGTTGGGGATCCAGTAGAAAGCTGGAGCAACGGCGTACAGGGCGACAATGACGACGACACCCGTGGCCAGACCGGCAGCAGGGGTTCGCACACCAGCCTTGGACTTGAGCGCCGATCGGGAGAAAGAACCGGTAGAAGGGTAAGCAGAGAAGAGAGTACCGAGCGTGTTGTTGACGCCGATAGCGATGAGCTCTTGGTTGGGGTTGATCTTGTACCCGTTCAATCGGCCGAAAGACTTTGCGATGGAAATGTGCTCGAGCAAGAGGATGATGGTGGCCACGGGGATGTGGGGACCGATGGCAGCGAGGAGGTCTTTGTCGATGTAAGGACGGCCGACGTGCTGTAGACCCGAAGGGACGCTACCGACGAGGGAGATGCGGTTCTTGGGCGCGTGAATGTTGATACGCCAAGAGATGATGGTGAAGAGGATGATAACCAGAGCGTGACGCAAAGACTGGGCAAAGAAGCAGACACGGTTCCACCTGGGGTAGCGGTTGCCCAGCCAAGTGAAACCCCACTTCATGCCATAGAGCAGCACAAGCGCGCTGATACCAAAGGCCGTGTCGAGAGACGCCTCGGGCAAGAATTTCAGCGTGTTAATGATGACCTTGTAGGTGGCAGCCTTGGTGTTGAACTTCTTGGCGAGACCAAAGATGGCGGGGGTCTGACCGGCCGCAATGTTGAGAGCACTACCGGTCATGAAACCGGATACAGCAGGTTGAGGGACTATGATTCGTCAGCGCTGCGCTCACTCGGAAAAAAGTGCCGACTCACTGAACTCGACGAGCCATCCGATCCTGATCAATCCAATACCCAGCACGATGAAACCACAGATGAAGGCCAATGCAGTAGCAATCACTGGCTTGTCGTACAAGTCGCCATATTTCTCCTGGACCGCAGTAATGATGTTGCCGGTTTCGAGAGACATGACAGCGACGGGGCCGATCGAGACATCCTTGGATGTGGCAAAGAAGGCGTAGGTGAGGACACCGATGAAGGATGAGTAGAGACCGTATTGAGCATCTAGGTTGGCGATTTTGGCGTAGGACAGAGATTGGGGGACCAAGACCAAACCGACGGTTATACCACTGCGTCATGTCAGAAAAGTTGGCTGATCAATGTATAAATCGACTCACGCGACGAGATCACCATAGAGCCAGGTAAAGTTGTACCTCGGCACCCATTGGATGAAGGGGAAGAGCGAGAGGACATAATCCTTAACCTATAGGAGCGTCAGTGGCGGCTCTCGACTCGACGAAAAGGACGCTTACACCCTCTTTGGCGTTGGGCGTGGACTGGGTGACCCAGGAGGTGACCGAGATGGTCTTGGGGGTGGTGTCGGTGTAGCCAAAGTAGTTCTTGACTCTGCGCTTGATGCCCTGGGGGTCTTTGAGGGCGGCGACGTTGGGCGACATGCCGGGGTGGTCTCCGTTGGGAGGTGCGCGAGCTGTGGGCGAGGTCGAGCGCGAGCTGTCGTGTATACGAATGAAGCTTTCGTGGTTGGGAGGGGAGCGGTCTACGAATTTTCCTTTTGCTGAATTACGAAGTGGATGTATATATACCATGCGCCGGAGGCAGGAACAAGCACGTCTTGGGCAAAGATGATATGAGGACAAGCGATGGCAGGTTTTTCGAGATAGTTTCTGTTTACGTAGGGAGCACGACGTCACCTATATAACTATACCCAGACATCGCAAATACACCCCCCCCCACCACCACCACCACCACCCACAGCACGCCATCGATGAAAGCACGCAATAGCAATTTTCCCTCAGGGACACAAGCGAGCCCAGCTGCTGACGTCCGCACTTTTCGTGTGGAGGCGCAGGTCGCCGCAGTGACCGCTGACTCACAAGAGAGTGGAGCGGCACACAGCACGGGTGAGCATCGAGAGACGTGTACGAGTTCGCTACGCCCGTGCAGAGATAAGATAGGATAAGAGAACATCCTTCAAAGGCCGTGCCAGTATCAGCCCAAGCATGCCTCAAGCACCAGAGGCTCCACGGTCACTATAGATCAACCGTGCCTCGGGCGTGCCTGTCGATCATTTGGCAGTCACCTCCTCCCAAATCACCAGCGCACGCCACCGCGAGCCATCTCTTCCCTCTTCTTCTGCTGCAGCATTCCCGATGCACGCTCTGCCCCATACTCGGTACCTTTCCCCGTTATTTCAGCATCAAAACTTTCCTTCAATATTGCAGCAGTGCCTGGGCGCTCTTTCTTATCGATAACGCCATCTCCTTCGTCCCTGCCTCTTTCTTCCAGATCCCAGGCTGCCATCTCACGAATCTCACGCCATCTGTCAACAATCTTCCCTGTTCTTGCCTCGCGGGAGATAGATCCACGGTTTCTGATTGATTGAAGCTTGTTGATGGCGACAGCGCTTCCCTTGGACGTATCAGTAATAAAAAGCATTAAATCTGCGTTCTTATTGTTGGAGAGCGGCCTGAACGCCTGACGCCTGACGCCTGCACGTGCAAGTTGTTCGATTGGAGCCTCAGATCTCACGAATGAAGCCGTTATCAACATGTCTCGCAACAATGGCGTAACGTCTTCGTCCTCGGGCGCCAGCTATCACCTACCTGGTCCAGCTGACTCCCTGCCCTGCCTGAGCGTACGACGAAGAAGGCCAAGTTGTGTGATCTGTTCTGCTCGGTGCATTCTTCCAGATGTCTCGAGAGGCAAAGACGCAATCAACGTACTCCTGGCCGTTCCTTGCGATTTACCGCGTACCGACTCTCCCGAGTGCCATATCCAGGGATACCGCGGAGCGTTTCCCAGCAAGTCCCAAGATAGAAGAACCAAGCATTTTGCCATTGGCTGGTCTGTAGCGGACTGAAACAGTTGGTTGATAGCACCTTGTATCAGACATTCCAGATTGACAAAATGATTCCAGATGCCAGAGCGATAACATGCTCGCTCACCTTCTTGTTGTTTCGGACAGTGATGATGTTGGTTGATGGGATGAGTTGTTTGGCATGATGTGATGGATCATACAATCTCACGAGAGGGCAAGGCTATTCCAGATGACTTTCATCAAGCGACTTTCTTATCGTACGTTTGGACGCTCAGGTGAACCACATGTTGAGCGATGCTCCAAAGATGTATTGCACCAGACAGCCTACTCTTGCTTGATCTATCGCAATCTGCACATTCGTGAGCTGGATCGTATGGTATACTCGCACACGACATCTTGGCTCTTCGGCGCTCCTCGGCCCAAGGAGAATTGATAAGCGGTAGTACCGTTCCACTCGACGACCAACGGCATCCACAGATCACAATCCTTCCGCCTTTTGTCTTCTCGCTGTCCATTCCGTTTGACTGGCAGCAACAAGATGCATCCACTTCCAACATGCCATCTCCCTCTGCCGCACTACAGCTGTCGTACAATACTGTAGACTACTCGGCCCTCACTCTTCCTCCGCTCGGGCCGCTTTCCGTTTGGCAGGCATCATCGGCATCATCACCTTCTTCACCACTTTCCCATTCTCACCCTCTTCATCGCTCAAGGCAGATTTAGCCACCTTCTGCCATCTACCTTTCCCCTTTGGAGCAGCCGTCGTCTTTTGCTTCTTCACAACCTTCTTCCCCTTCCCCGCCCCAGCAGCGCCCGAAGAAGACTCTTCGAAACTCCCCCACCGCCCATACACTTCCGCCCACACCTTCTTCACGCCCGTACCAACATTCGCGCTCTCAACTTCTTCTTCCGACAACCAAAATGCTTGTCTTGGGGCTGTCCTGAGGATATCGGGTGGTTCGGAGGACGAGCTCGAGGGAAGGGTGAGAAGGTGGATATGGTACGTCATGTTGATATGCGAAAAGATGTGCGCCACACTTCCCTTCTCTTTTGCCCCCTCCTTCATATCATCTAAAAGGTTGGGAAGTTCGGATACGTTGAGGTAGTTGGAAAGAGTGATGATTGATGCGTGCAGCCGTTCGGGTGCTGAGAGGCCAGCAGAGACGGGGGTTGTGGGTGGTTCGAAGAGGCCTGCTAGGAGGCCTGTGGGGTGGTTAGTGATTCATTCCCAGGGGAAGGTACGAAAAACTGACCTTTATCAGGCCGTTTGACAAACAGCCATCTTCTCTTGCCTTGTTGTCCCCGCCATTCAAGTACACAGACATCCTCTTCCTCCACCCTTGACGCCTTCTTCTCCTTCTTCATTGGGAAGACTGCGACCGATGATATTTGGGATTCAGCCTTCTCTTGGGGTATGGGGTGGCAGAGAGAACATTCGCTGGATGTTGACGGAAGAGGTGGCGGGGCTTTCAACTGCTCGCTTGTTAGCTGACAGGCCGTGATGCAGATGTGGATAACATCTACCTCAGCGGAAGCTTTACAAACTGCCTTCACAGGACACCCGCCACACTCTGGCGAGACGGGTTTACAAACCTGGCTTCCGAGCTCCATCAACCCTTGATTCCAATCGCCCGCTACTCCTTCCGTCTCCGATGGTAAGAGCGAGACAAGCTCGGTGGCGGCGGCCCAGAGGTGTTTGATAGTCTGAGGAGCAGCTTGTGGGGCGTGGATGGCGAGAAGGCGGGTGAGGAGGCGGTGGATGTTTCCATCAACCTGGATGGACGATATGAGCATGAGCGGCGGTCTGTTCATCGATAAGTAAGGGAGTGCTCACGATAGGTGTTCGGACGCCGTAGGCCATGGAACATATAGCCCCAGCAGTATACCGCCCCACCCCAGCGATATCCTTCTCCAGCACCGCCGGATCATCAGGTAATCTCCCTTGGTATTTCGGGTCGGACATGACGGTTTGAGCACCGGTGAGGAGTGATTTGGCACGACGGTAGTAGCCCAGGCCGCCTATGCACAATGTATCAGTATCTATGGGCTCAATGTGAAGAGAGGGGGCGTACGCCATGCTGCGTTGACTTCCTGTGAGCGGGGAGTCAGTACGACCCAAGGTGAGAAGAGGGAAGATGGGGACGAACTTCGATATCGGCTTTGGCAAGGTCGGCGATGGTGGGCCACTTGGCTACCCATTTCTCCCAATAGGCGATTACCTTGATAGTCATACATCAGTGAATGTGGCAGAAGAGAGGCAGGAGATCCTCACAGTGGTGACCTGAGTTTGTTGAAGCATGACTTCGCTCACTGGGAAAAAGGAACAACCGGTTAGTACATATCTGTGTTTCTTGGTAGATGTTGAACCCACCCCAAATCTAGACCTGAAGTCAGCTTTCAAGCGATGGAGATGAAGTCATGTCGGACATACCTCATATGCCCGTTGTCCTTTCTCTTCCATACTCAGATCATGATTATACCGCTTCCTCCACGGCATACCTCTCTTCTCCCTGCACCGGTGTTAGCGCTTACGAGTCACATACCCAAAGCCAGACTTACCGAACACCTTCAAACCAATCAAGTAGATCTCTCTGACCACCCACGATATCATGCACATCATGATACTCCATCCCATGCCGTCTCGGGATCACATTTCCGGCATCTTCAATATCGCCCACTTCGCCCGCCTTTTCCGGTGCTGGCACTTTTCGTTTGGCGGTGACAGGCTTTGGTTTGCCCTTAGTCGAAGCAGAGGTAGACGTTCGTTTCCGTTTGGCAGATGGCTTGTCATCAGGCGAGCTTGGGGCGAAATCAGACTCTTCGTCAGAAGAGATCGAGTATACCGAGGGGCTTTTTGACCGGACACGCATGGTTCAGACCAAGCGACGGCTCTCCAAGGATTCAAGAGAGGGGAGATGAGGATCCAAGAGAGCCGAGAACAAGATACGCAGATAGGAAAAGAGTTGGCGAAGAAGCGATGGTGAAAGTCGACATCAGCGGGCCAAACAGAAGAGGCGCATTTGGCCGACGCGTTTGACGCGACGCGACTGTGGTTATGACATTGCACAAAAGTTGACCAAGCGGTGTTCATGCTGCATCTCGACATCCTATCCTCGCGGTGGCGCACCAGTCAATGAGCCAGAGGTACCAGATCACGGCTGCAGTCTATTCAAGTACATCTGGAAACACACTGTGGAAAACTACTGTAAAACCCTGTATGCGATGATTGTACAAATTGATATCTACCCCACCCCCCTAAGCATTCATCATATCCTCCTCCGCAATCTCCACCTCCATCCCAACCTTGACCTTCTTCCCCGCACTCCCTTCTTCCTCCTGCACGTCTTCCTCGCCCTGTTGCTCGCCAGCCTTGCGCTTGCCATTGGCGCCGTGCTCGTAGAGAGATTTGGCTCTCGGGGCAGGGCCCCAGTTGGGGGTGGGGTTGATTTGGTAAAATGTTTCCTTGCCTTGACGCTCAAGAGAAGCTTCGGGATGGGGAGTAAAGTCAATCACATGGCTATGGCTTGGTTAGCAAAAGACATGATACCCGAAACATTTCCAACTCACGTCATGGGCTTGGCCAAAAGCACCCTCGTCGGGCTTCCTTCCGCCACATTACTCAACTTGACCGGCACAGTCTTTGCCTCCTCCCTCATCATATCATACAAAAAGCTTCTCGGCGCATTCGTCTTGACCGCCCCCGGCGAACAATGGCTCCTCGACACTTTCCATCCTCCATTCAACAATGCTGACAAGACCTTTGTGAGGGGAAGGGAAGACATGGTGACGGATTTGGCGATACGGTTGGCGGTGAAGAACCAGAGGTCGGGGAGTTCTTGTGCGGCAAGGGAGAGCATGCCGTGCATTCGGTTGTAGGTCTTGTAGTCGCCTTGGGTGGCTTCAATCTCTTTGAGGACGCGGTTGGCGAAGTTGCTGTCTTGGAGGGGACCGAGCCAGAGGGGACCGCCGATCTGATAATGTGTCAGCAGGTAGCAAGTTGTATAGTGTTGAGCCACTCACGTGCATGGTACCACCGCACTCTTCACAAGACGATCCATGACCAGCAGTAGGCCCAGCAATAGTTTTGAACGAATTCAACTCCGCACCCTTCTGGCTCTTTTTCACAATGACCTTGCCGAAAGGCTGAGTCACAGGCGTCTGGCAGAACTGGCAAGTGTAGACGACACCAGTCTGGCTAGCCAACTGCTTGACCTGCTCTGGTCCCGTGTGCACGCGCACAAAGAGCCTGACGTAAAAGTCGATAGAGAAGGAGAGCATGGGTGTGACGTAGCGGCCGTATCGGGCAGCAGTCTGTTGGAGAGAGTGCATGACGAGTCGAAGGGCGGCTTCGTGGGTGAATTCGGCGTGGACGTTGGTACCGCCGTAGTTGGAGAAGCATTTTTCGGGGTATTGCTGGCCGGCGAGAACGGCCAGGTCGGTACAGGTGATTGCGAGCAAACCTACTTGACATTAGTCATTGCTGCAGAAGAGCATTGAATGGACTTACCGCCATCAGCGATACATCCAATCGCGGCATCCAAGAATGGCGCAGCCGTGCCATAAGGATCCAGATCCACGACGTCCACTCGGCTCGTAGGGCCCACAGCAGCTCGGTGGTTGTACATGAAAGCACAAGCGTCGCCTTCGTTGATCTTGACCTTGCCTCGGCAGTTGGGCCTGCGGCCAACGGGGTCTCTGGGTTCGGGCTCGGGAGCAGCGGGTTTGGAGGGAGCTTCGGCAGTCTCGGCCTTGACAGGCTCGTCGACTTGGATTTCCTCTTCAACCTTGGCATTCTCCGCCTCGGCCTTTGCTTCGATCTTCTCTTCAGCCTTCTCTTCTCCTTCTCCTTCCACCTCCTTCGCAGGGTCGTAATCCAGGCCGACACCGTTGTATTGGACATTTCTCCTCATGGCTTCACAAGCTGAAGGGGATAGGTCGTTGGCGAGGACGTACTTGACGTTGGGAATCTCCTTGGCGTATCGGATAGATCGAAGACCAGTGGCAGCAAGAGCTTCGAGAATGTTGATAGAAGGTGCTTTGAACTTGCTCTGCAGAGAGTCAGCGTGACGCCCAGTACTAGCGTGGGTAGACATACGACTCCAGCACCATTGGAGGGGCCAGCCTCGGCTGGATCTTCCACAGCCCCCGCAACGACAGCCTCCTCCAGCACTGCCTCCTTCTTCTCCGCCTCAGCCTCAGCCACATTCTTCTTTCCCTTCTTCTTCTTGGGCTTGGGCTTGCCGCCTCTCTTCTCCAACCTAGCAGCCCACTTGGCCTCCGCCTCCTCCTTCCTCAGCTCATTCCACGTCCTGATGACAGAGACAGACATGTCCCGGTTGTAGTGCTGGACGGGGTTGAGGAATGCGCCTTCATTTGGGAGGAAGATGGTGGTGGTGGATTCGGTGTGCTGGCTGTGGTTTGGGGGGTGGGGACCCACGAGGGGAACTGTGTAGGGGGGGTTCTGGGCCATGTTGAGTGACGGGGTGGCTGACGCGAGCTTCAAGTATGACCTGCGAAGCCGTGGCCAGAGCATCAACTATGCAGAAATAATTCCTGAAAATCAACAAAATGGCAGGCCGAAGGGCATTTACGTAATGATTTGATTTGCCACGTCAGGAAACGCGGTTAATTAGGGATTGTTACGTGTTGGGAGTAAATTGGCGGCGCGGTCGCGACTGAGATGTGATCCCTCCTTCTTTTCTTCTTCTTTACACAAAACACCCACAGCCCACACAATGGTAAGCCCCCCGAGTCTTCCCTGAGTGCACCGCTGATGCCCTCTCGCAGTCCATCGTGAGCCCCGCCAGCGCCCACAATGCCAGCCCAGACACTGACCCCCGTGACCCTTCCAGGTAAACATCCGCAACATCGAGCTCCTCAACAACCCCGCCAAGTTTGACGACCCGTACAACTTTCGCATTAAGTTTGAAGCCATCGCCCCTCTAGTCGAAGGTACGTCGTCGCGTTGCCGGCAGCTGTCGAAGAGCTGGATAGTCTGGATGGGATGCTGATGGGTCGGCGCTGCAGATCTGGATTGGAGATTGATCTACGTTGGAAGCGCTTCAAGTGAAGAGTTTGACCAGGAGCTTGACAACTGCTCTGGTGAGTCAATACCGCACCGCAATAACACCGTGATGGCGCTGACAGAATGTTGCCACTTTCTGAAATATTCCCATCTGTCACGAATCTCACACGCGCCTCTCCCCATTCGCTCAACCCTCACACAGTCGGCCCCATCCCCGCCGGTATAAATGCTTTCGACTTTTCCGCCCCCGCCCCCCAACATCACCTCCTCCCCTCTGTCGAGCCCGACGAGATTCTCGGCGTCACCGTCATCATCATCACTGCCTCTTACCGCGAAAAGGAGTTTGTGCGAGTCGGATACTATGTGAACACGTATTATGAGGATGAGGAATTGAAGGAGAACCCTCCAAGTGTTGTTCAGTGGGATAAGCTTCACAGAAACGTGCTTATTGAGAAGCCAAAGGTGACTCGGTGAGTACTTTTGTCCAACAGCTTCACTCTTAGGGCGCGCAAGCTGATACACTTCACACAGATTCCAAAACCCCTGGGACTCTACAGGGGCAGCCTCGGAATCTCTTCCAGCCGCTGGTACCGAATTACCAGCTTCAGGCGTCGCCAATGCCGAACAACTGTTCAATGCGCCCTTACCTCCTCCTGTGCAGCGGGCTGCGCTTGGAGGTGATGTTGAAATGGCGTGATGGAGATGTTTGGGCTGGGGTGTAGAAGTAGGATGTCTTGGGTATGGTCATGAGGCGTTTGGGCTCAAGGATGTATGTACGAGATGGTCTATTCTATTATAGCATTGAAGCATGAGTTTATGCACATATATACAATATCAATGGCCTACTGCCGGCAGTTTATCATGCGTGAGAACACGAAAAGGCTAGTCGGGCTCATGTTTGGGAAACCCGACATGAACATGCTGCAGATTATTGATGATGATACATCATGTCTAGTAGGACACCGTACACAGAACACGATAGATCTATTCCAACTTGTCCGCTACCAGCTCCAACACCTCCTGCGTGCTCTTCCCAACATTCGCCAAGTCCTTCGCCACAGCCTGCCACACCGGTCCATGATGCGGTTGCGCAGCGATACACTTCTCCACCACCCCCTCCTGCCTCTCCTTCTCCCCATGCTGCCTCTCAAACTTGAGCCACCACCCCCACGCATCTCCCCAATCCTGATCCGCCGTGATCGCATTACCAAACCAAGCCCTCGCTTTTTCAATCTTGCGTTCAGACCAAAAGAGACGGGCGACGGCGAGGATGACGGCGGGGTGTTCGCCGGCCTTTTTGAGGGCGTCGACAGAGCGGCCCTTGCGCTGTTGGGGCTGTTCCATGAAGATGGCTTTGGACCAGAGGAGAGGGGAGGTGGGGCATTCTTGCATCGCTAGGAGATCGTTAGCCTGAAGAAAAGTGGAGTGAGAAAAGAAACTTGCCTCGTGCGAGAAGGTTCTTTGCCTGAGCCTGGCCTCCAGCCCGCTCCTCAATCCCAACACTCTCCAGCCACAGCTCATCATTCTTCGGGTTCGCCAACCTCGCCTTCTCCATCAACCCTCTCGCCCTGATCGTCGCACCCGACTTCTCTTCCAATCTCGCCCCCAGGACCCAAAGCGGTATAGACTTGGGACACGACTTTCGTCCGTCCTCAAAGGCTTTACGCGCAGCGAATATATTGGGGGGAGTGGCGGATTCGTAAATCTGACCACGGATCATATGAAGCTTGTCGAATTTGCCAAACTTTTGGATCGCCTCCTCCAAAATCCTGAGCGCTTCTTCCGTCTTACCCAGCTGTCTCGCGAGCACCGCACCCTTCATCCACACCCGCTCCGTGTCCGCCTGACCTCGCGCCTTCTCCAAGATTTGCTCCGCAGCGGCAAACTCGGACGACTCGGCGGCAATCTTGGCGGCAGCAAGGAAGATGGACTCGGAGTCTTCGTTTTGTTCGAAAGCCGAGGCGAGGATAGCCTGGGCACCCTGGACGTCGCCAGAGAGCCATTTCTCCTTGGCAGCCATGAGCCAGAGCACTTCGGCGTGAGGGTTGGCAGTGTAACCTCGAGCGAGAATGTCCTGGACAGAGTCACTATATATATATGGTTAGCGGGAACGTGCATAGTGGGATAGACGTACGGCGAGCCATGGGCTTTTTCAAACTCGGCGGCTCGTCGCCACACGAACGGCTCGTCTCCGTACTCCTCGAGCACCTTGACGTAACAAGCCCTCGCAACCTCATAGAAGCAACCCTTGCTTGCCCGCTCAGCATCCTCCAACCACACATCCATCCTGTCCTCCTCTTCCACATCCTGCGCGATAGTGGCTTTGACAATAGCCTGAGCAGTTAACGGCGACCCATCTTGCTCGCACGTTTCGGCTTCCTGCAGCCATTGTTCCCTGGATAAGAGCACCTGGTTTTTGCGCAGAGAGTTGACGGCATTCTTCATGAGCGCGTCCACTTGGGTAGCAAGCTTTTGCCTGGCTTGCGTCTCTGCCGCACGGGCAGCTTCGTCATCCTCCATTTTGACCTCCTTCGCCACAGCTGCTGGACTCTGCTCCGCCAGCCTACCCGCCGCAATCCAAATCTCATGACTCGTCGGAATCTTCTTTCTCGCCGAATTCAAGACACTCTTCGCATTCGCCGGGGTCTCCAGCCTCGCCAACGTCAACCACAACTCCACCGACGTCGGGATGACCTCTACCGCACGGGTGAGAAGGATCCGGGCGTCTTCGGGGTCGTCTTCGAGGTTGACGGTCTCTTTCCAGAGAAGGACAGAGTTGGGGACGAATTCGAGGGCCTTGCGGAGGACACGTTTGCGGGAGGAGACGTCGGCTTCAAGCTCGGCGGCTTTGAGCCAGATCTTGACGGAGAGAGGGACGTGTTGGATGGCGCGGCCGAGAATGACCTTGGCGTTTTCAGGAGTCTGCGCTGCCATCAGCCCCGTCTTTCCCAAAACCACATTGACTCACGTTCAACTCGGCAGCGTGGAACCAAACATCCTCGTTTTTCGGACATTTCTCGCATCCCTCGGCAATGATCTTTCTCGCCGCTACCATCTTCTTCGCGTGCACCTCCAGACTTGCCGCTGCAATCCATCCGGGGGCGTGCTTGGGGTTGGACTGGATGAGGTTCTGGAGAAGTTGACGAGCCTGCTTGATATCGCCGATTTGGGCATCAGTCTGGACAACTTGAGAATTGAGAGCGGTCATGTAGCCACGAGGGTCAATACTGGTGGACGAGCCATTGCTGGCATCTTTTGTAGCCTGAGGGATCATTAGGATTTGTCTCGGAGGTGATGATAGACTTACTTGGTCAAGCTGCAATGATAAGACTCGGTCTCGAGCATTACCAATAGAAACCAAATCCGTCTCTGTCCCATCTGCCGCATCGTCCACCTCTCCGACTGTTTGTTTTTTGTTGATAGCGTCTGTGATAACCGTATCGCTGACATTGTAGCTTTTGCCGTTCTGGTTCTCTTCGAGACGCAAGTTGTGCTTTCGTCTTTTGCCGGTCAAATTGCCCGCTTCTGGGATAGCGTCCCAATCCGTGTCATTCAGACTCGAGAGTGTACGCTTGAGATCGGCGAATTGGGTCTGTAGCTTTGGGTTACGAGCTCGTTCTTGCGCCGCCATCTCGGCTTCTGCTGCCTCCCTACAAACACCATTAGCTTGGATTTTCCATGCAGCGGCAGATACTCGCCTTCTTGCCTTTCTTCTCGCGTCCATCCTGGCATCCACGCTATCCCAAACTCTGTCGGCTTCCTCATCGTCCGCCTCATAAACCGTCCCCGCAAACAGATTCCTCTCGTCGTCCGGGTCCTGCATAGCATCTGGGTCCGGGATTTCCTCTTCCCCACGGCGGGCTTGGGCTTCCGAGATGACTTCAGCAGAAGGGCCGGCTCGAGCTGGACCGATATCGGATCGAGTGGTGAAACCTGAAGCACCTCGACCAAGACCTGCAACATAGCTCGCCGGAGCGGCCATGTTGAGGAAGTTGTATCGTACCTCCTTGGGGATGTGCTTGACTGTTCCCAGGTTCGACATTTTGGATAGGTCTGTCTGGCGATGAAGAGTGTAGAAGAACAACATCACTCGGCAGGTGACGGTGGTGAATGCAAGTTCATATGTGGCAACGTTACGTAAGCCTATCATGTCCTCCACTTTTGAAGTCACCTTCAGTCACTAATCGAAATGTCAGACGTGTCCTTTCTCGCAATCAGCAAGACGTACATCATCGACATGGCGGAGCGCATAGAAACACCGGTATCCAAGAGGCTATCCTCTGTAAAGAATATCATCATCGTTCTCTCTGGCAAAGGTACGTAGTCTATAATCCACTGCGACCCGGCTGACCAACCGCAAAGGTGGCGTCGGCAAGTCATCCTCCTCGGTTCAACTCGCCCTTTCTCTTCTCGCCTTGAACCCCACAAACCGTGTGGGTCTCATAGATCTCGATATCACTGGTCCTTCTCTTCCGCGAATGGTTGGTCTTGATTCGCCGACTGCTACGGTCCACCAATCGTCAGCCGGGTGGGTCCCAGTATATGTCGATCAGGGGCGAAGATTGGGGGTCATGAGCATAGGGTTTCTACTCAAAGACAGAGGGGACAGTGTAGTATGGAGAGGCCCAAAAAAGGATGGAATGATCAGGCAGTTCTTGAGTGAGGTGAGGTGGGGCGAGCTGGATTACCTGGTAATCGATACGCCGCCAGGTGAGTTTGGCCCTTCACATTCGGACATGGCTTACGCCATGACATAGGCACGTCGGATGAACATATCTCACTCTTGACTCACCTCCACCCCCTCTTCACGCCCACATCCTCCTCCCCTACGACCCCTTCCTCGATCCTCATCACTACCCCTCAAACGACCGCTCTCAACGACACCATCAAATCCCTTTCCTTTACCCGCAAGCTTTCCCTTCCGGTCATGGGGCTAGTGGAGAATATGGCGGGCTACGTCTGTCCATGTTGCGGAGAGATCAGTGATACTTTCGGTAAAGGCGGAGGAGAGGCGCTGGCGCACAAAGAGAGCGTCAACTTCCTGGGACGAGTACCGATCGACACCGTACTTGTGGCGCTTCTGGATGCTGTCTCGAAAGGGGAGGTGCAGGGCGAAGGAGCCAAGGAGACGAACGGCGGGGATCAGGCTGCATCGTCGGAGGGTTTCCCTCTGCTCGAAAAGTATCTCGAAACGACCTCGTCCAACGTATGGCTGGGTATCGCGGACAAGCTTGTTGCCAGCATAGTGGATCGCAGAGAGAAGATAGCCGAAAGACTTGGGCCGCAGGAACAAGGGACATCCGCATAGAGGAGCTGAATGATAGAAATGATCATGTTGTATCTTACATCCACTTCGTACTGAATGGATAGGCCGTTTGCTTTGACTCTTCTCACATATGCGGTACGTCGATTACACTGATCATAGGCTGTGGGACAAACGCGCATGAGAATGTCGGGCGATGAAAGGACAAGCGCTGGGTATGAAGAGCTGAGGTTCAGATACAGTGCCATCTCATCAAGACACTGATGCGAAACTTCTCCCGCTCCATTGTGGCCGCTTCAGTTTAAGAACCGTCTTGAAGTGACTCGTGCATTCACAAATCACTGGCCCTCAGTCAATATACAAGTATGTCCAGCCGGCACGCAACGAGTGACTGTAGCCATCCAGGAAGTGGGGAGCCTAACGACACGGCGCTCTCTAGCTTGGTCAGCGGCTACGTCAGCAATGTCCGTATCCGTTGAACTATTGGCAAAGATATACATTGACATGGTGGTCTTAGAGTATCTGGCTTGTCAACGCTGCCTTCTCAAACCATGAAACGACATATTTTGGATCCAAATCTTTGTCCGAGCTCCGTGACAGCGTCGAGTGAGGGCCCGAGGCCTGCCTTCGCCGAGTGTTACTGACTGAATGTTGCCTATATGAAGACTGTCGCGAAGGGAACAGCCCTCATCACCACTGGGGAAATAGACAACCACTGTCCAGGTCTTCTCCTATACCCTGAAGGATCTTATGAGGTCTTGTCCAGTTTGATGGAGCGAGCTTATATTACACAGCATAAGCCAACCGTTTTGATGTTGATCCATTGGAGTAGTTCTTGACGAAGTCTCATGGGAGTAGCCGCCTCGGTCCCAAGGAGCTGGAGGGAGAAATGTCCCCAGCGGCTTTTGAAAAATGGACAGAGCTGAAAGAAGGCCAGGAAAGAACGGATACTGAAGAGAAGGATGTTTGGGATTACCAAAAGTATTTGATGGGGTATTTAGAGGCCGACCCCGATACTCGTTCAATGTCCGCTTAATTGAGGAAGAAGCACTCAAGGTAGTGAGTCCAGATGACGTTGGGTTTTGAAGGGAACAATGATGCGATTGATTACGGGCTCCTTTTGTTATGATACGTAGAGCGGGCAGTCGGTAGAATATATGGCGTTGTTGAGTGTATTTTTGAAGCAAGCTATATACGGCTGGGCCTTCGTATAGCTGTACAGCACGAAGTCCCACCTCCATGGGGTCTATCCACTGATATACATAAGTCTCGCCTACCTGAAGTGGTGCAGCATATTCCATCGTCGAGTCGTTGACTCCCAGCTCCCATATAATATGTCTTCTCTCCAGCACACAAACAGCAGCGTCAACCATCCCAGTGACTGTCCCTCCTGCTCTGGCCAGGGTGTGCACTTGTCTGCCTTTATTAAAGGATACGCAGACCATGTCCGTAACCCAAAGATCCCTGGTAACATTTGCACTGATGTCATCTTGTCGATTTAGAATACCTCACTTATCAACTCTCTCATCTCGAAACACGGCTCCACACAGCTTGGCTCCAAGACTCTGTCCGAGCTCCGTGACAGTATCGAGTAAGGCTCAGGGGTCGCATTTGCACATACAGCTGACTATGATTGTCTCTTTAGTAATACTTTAGAGAAAGGGACAGCCCTCATCACCGCTACAGATATATCCGAGGGCTGTCCTGGTATACTGCTATACCCCGATGGACCGTTTGAGGTCATGTCCCCCACTATGCAGCACGCTTATATGAAAGAGCACGAGCCGACCATTCTGTTGCTCCGCACTCTTCAGTCACTGGATGGCGTGCCGACACATATGTCAAAGGCGGACTATAAGTCCCTTGAGAACATGACGCTGGTCGCGAAGACGAAAGACGAAGTGTTCGATGACAATATCACCGAAGGGGGATATGACAAAGCTCTGGATGCGGTCATGGCTGCACGATTGACTCAACTGGAAGACGAAGATGAAGAGCATCATGGAATGTTCAAGTTGGATCTCAGTTCGGTACCATTCTCGATCCAAAGTCGAAGATTGGAATGGAGCGTCAACGAACGACCCGGCAGCGAGCTTCTTCCAGCCTGGGCCTGGAGCCAGGTGGAAGAACAGCATGAAAAGGCCCCCAGTAAGAAGCTCGTCCACTTGGAGCTCAAAAACCTGAAATCCTTGCGCCCTTCGTTCCTCAATACTACAGAGTCGAGGGCCAAGTTGAGAACAAAGATCATACGCATCGAGGAAGCGAACCAAAGCCTCTATGAAATTGAGGGTATTTGTGGACTAGATAACACGCCTGTCGGTAGGCACACACATTTGATGGAATTCACTGTACGTAGGAGACCTGTTGACAGCTGATATGTCTTCAGCAGTCGCCATTTGTGATGAGGTTCGATCGAAGGCTGACATGATGGTTTGACAGCCACACGAGGATGAAATTTCAAAACGTTTCCAGCGAACTGTAGATAGTACTCCGGATCGCGATCGATGGCTGTATGACAGCTTCATGGCATCTGCTGTCAAACGCCGAGAGTTGTCCGAGATGGAGACGCAAGCTTTGATTCCTCCCAAATTGCTGGAACAATTCTCTCGAGCAACAGATGAAAAGCTTTGCCACAGTGCCTATAGAGGCCAAAGGGGCGTCAGTAAGAGGCCGTCCGATTACATCAAACATGACGACGAAGATTTCAGACGATGGATGGGCGAGCTTGCAACGGCTTCTCCACAGGGAAATCAACCCCTGGCATGGCCTGACGTTCCCCGTGAAGGCCACGAGAGACTGCTGTCAGATGTCGCCTTGATCCTCGACGGTGAAGGCCCTGAAGTATCATCGCGAAGGTATGGAGAAGATACAGATGTGAGTCACTCAGCAACCATTGCTCAAGAATACGACAACATCAATCCATTGGAGTACTTCCTATTGAAGTCTCACGGAGAAAGTAATCTCGGCCCCAAAGAGCTGGAGGACGAAATGCCCCCAGCTGCTTACGAGAAATGGGCAGAGGTGAAAGCAGATTGGGAAGGGTACGAGGCCACCGAAGGGAAGAATGATGTTCGGTCATACCGAAAGTATTTGGCAGAGGCTTCGAAAGCCGTCTCCGATGCTCGATCAGTGACCAATCAACTTGCCAGACTGGACGTGGCTGAGGTCAATCCCGCGGAATAAATAAGTAGTGGTGATAGTAGTGGGCTGATGCTGAATTTGAGGGCAAAGTGATGGAACAGAAGGCGTTGACATGACTATGTAATATTGAACAAGCAACATGAGTCCCAGGGAATCTACGCTCGGCTGGAATCATGCACCTCATCCCTGACTTGAGTGGAAGGCGGTTTATGCATGATGCAATGCTCAGCGGCTGCGATGTGGGACGCGACACCTTGCTTGGAGCATCGTACGCTTTATCGAACAGCACCAGGCAGTACCTGAGATGAAGGAATAAGGAGGGCGGTGAAGAGTCACACTGGCATACGTCGGCAAAAGAACTAGAAGATGTGTCCCGACGACTCATCGACCATGCGCTGACAACTTTCCATGATTCGTATTCTATGTACTGCGTCGCTTCATACCTGTGATGATGTGCCGGTCATCTCTCCTCTGTCCTTATGAGTCTTCCCATCATCGATATCTTCAGAGAGCATATGGTGTTGCCCTTATCAAGACATTCTTTTCAATGAGTCACTAGTGTGGCGCCAGGATGAGCTGAGATTTGGCAATGACGACTGCGCTACCGACGCTTTGAAATGATGAGAGACCCCCGCCTTGATGTTTAGAAGGCAAAGCCTGTCCCCCGCTCTTCTGAAGGCTACTCCATTGAGAATCGGCCTGGAAATTCCTGGTTTTAAGTGCTGCTTATTGCTATGCTATATTGCAGCTAATGATTATCCGAGTCCAAAACAACAATCGTCTTTTTTTCTGTTCTAGAGTCAATTATACCTCCAGGCGGACATCGCTTCTTCCATGGTTGATAAAAGGTCTAGTTCAGATTTGGCCGAGGGCAAAGGGAATAACTATTTCAAGATAAGGCAAGCTATTATAGACCTGTGCGCTAATTGGGTCGTGAATCTATTGTAGCTACTTGTTGGATATATAAACGGGCTCGGCATAGAGAAGGATATGCTACCCTATACTATCTGATTAGCATTTGATCTTGGCTTCAGGATGTCTTCTCACGCACACACGCACGACGGTGATGAAGAGACGGGCATCTCTCTCCTGCGAAGAGGCTACGCAGCCAGGGTCAGTAACAATTCGCCCATCTCACTCTTTACTGTACATCAGACTTACTGATGAACTGGCTCCAGGACGCAATGCTAGTCAGCTCTGCCGTCTCAAAGCACGGCTCAAAGTCTTATGGCGCCAAGACACTGTCCGAAATTCGTGACAGCGTCGAGTAAGTCTTCAAACAAGTGGCCAAGATTGTGATATGTATGTCTGTCGCTGACTATATCCGTCTTCTGCAGCAAAACGTGCGAGAAAGGAACAGCCATCATCGACCCCTCGCAGATAATGCACTCCGCTCCCCCTTTGCTTCTCTACCCCGATGGACCGTTTGAAGTCTTGTCCCCTGGTTTGGTAACCGCTTGTGCGTTTTCGAGAAAGCCTACGGTTTTGGTGTACCGTACTCTTCAGTCCCTCGATGGCGTACCTACACCACTTTCAGAGGCAGACATCAGTCTCTCGTACACGCAGTCAAGTCTGAAAAAGTGGTAAGTGAAGCCCGGGGGGAAAACAATACTATCTCATTCGGCTATGAAAATGCCTTGAATGCGCTCGAGACTGCTCGAGTAACACAGCTGCAAGACGGGGACGGAGAGAACGACGCAATGTTCAAATTGGATCTCAGCTCGGTACCGTATACTATGCAATCTCGAAAATCGGGATTAAGTGTCAACGAAGATCCCGGCAAACAGCTTCGATCCTGGGCCTGGGACAAGATGTCGCGGTTTCATGAAGAAGGCCCCAGCGGTGGGGTCACCATCGTGAAGCTCCCAGAAGACCTCGAATCCGAGCGTCCCTTATTTTTCGACAGCCGTAAGACGAGGGACCGTTTGACGGCAAGGATCAAGCGGATGGAAGAAGTGGCTAGAAGCTGCCATGAGATCGAGTTCACCTGTGTATTGGATGATGCACCTGTCGCTAGGCATACAGCTCTGGAATTTACTGTAAGCAACAACATGAGCAGTCATCATACATGTACAATGGCAGGCTGACCCGACTTGACAGCCTCACGATGACGAATTCTCTGCCCGTTTCAGGCGGACTGCACACCACAGTGTGGACCGCGATCAATGGATGCACGATACGCTCTTGATGGCTGCTGTGAAAAACAGAGACTTGTCCAAGGTGGAGACACACGCCTTGATCCCTTCTAGACACCTGGAAAACTACACCCGAGCGACAGATGACAAGCTTTCCCTCAGCGCGTACCACAAAAAAGACTACGTCAGCCGCAGGCCGTCCGATTACATCCAGGCCGACGACGAAGACTTTCTCCGATGGCGGGACGAATTCTTCGCTACTCACAATCATGGGGAATTGATTCGAAGTAGTACTCTCCCTCGTGAGGGACACGAGTCCTTGCTGAACGATGTCGCTTTGATCTCTGAAGGCAAAGGCCCTGAAGTTAGAGCGGGAAGGTATGGAGGAGATCACAAGGATACCATCGCCGATTATTACAGCAAAGTCGAACCATTGTGGCACTACCTGAAGAAGACCCACCGTGACTCTCCTCTCGATGCTGAGCAGCTCGAACACAGCATGACTCCAGCTGCTTTCGATCGATGGACACAGGTGAAAGCAGACCAAGTTGGAACTGACGCCGAAGGGGGAGACGTGCGGGAATTCCGAGCCTGGTTGAATCAGAATAGCTAGCCCCCCTCATACCAGGCTTGTTCATAAACCGCTAGGGTAGCTAAACATGTGAAGGTAGAAACGTCGGTAGAGTCGGTAGTTTGAGGGCGATGTGAAAGCATGACACGAGTAGGCGTCAGTCAGATTGGCGCTTTCGGCCTCCTTTCGACAATTGCAGAAGAAGGCCATACCGTGATTCTACAAGCATCCTGTTCCCTCCTTCCTCTTGTAACAGCTCCTCATGATTGTATCACTCAACTGACGGCATACTGTAAGAGGGCGGATAGGTGGTGTGACCTTGGAGCAGTCACGCGAGGGATTTGGCTAGGGGTACCGGATGTCGACCTTGAATAGGCTGGATAGATGAAGGATGAGTATAGGTGAGGTGGCTTATACGAGAGTACATCGGTGGCCCCTAATACTGACCAGTCCGTACCAGTGCCTCATACCGCTCATAGCAGGCTTGTTCATGGACAGCTAAGATAGTCAGACATGTGGAATAAAGATGTCGGTAGAGTCGGTAGTTCGAGCGCGATGTGAAAGCATGACATGAGTAGGCGTCCGGTTAAGTGTAGCGTTGTTCACAGAGAATCCAGTCTTACCGTGACATGAGTAGGCGTCAGTCAGATTGGCACTTTCGGCTTCCTTCCGCGAATATAATTGCAGAAGAAGACCATAGGGTCATTCTACAAGCATGCTGCTCCCTCCTACTCTTGTAACGGTTCCCCATAATCGTCATGACTATACAAGTAAGAGTCATCTGTGTAGTCTGTTCATTCAAGTAGATCAGTTGTGTGTCTACGTACGTAGTGAACCGTGCTCTCCGTATATAACTGTATAGATCAGTCTTCTTTCAGAGTTCTCCTTTGTATGCGACAACAACGAAAAGGTTTTTGCCCCTTACAACAAAACTCTCTTCAGCACGCCAAGGGCACTACCCATGCGTGACAATCATTGTATCACTCAACATTCCCACGGAGAAGACCGACGGATCTGACTCGGGCGTGCCTAGCTCGTATTAATAAGTGAGCACGCAACGACATTTTCGCGGTCGGTTCTGCAGCGTTCCGTTTTACGGCCCGACCTCCCTTTTCTTTTCTCTTTTCTCTTTTCTCTTTTCTCTCATCTCCCCAGAGTATATCCAGAGGTCCGTCCCTCCCACCCAACTAGCACACCCCCAGTCAAAGCCGGCACTGATAAAAGACTTGAAACAGCCCGGCTATACTTTATATGCCCCCGACCCCGTCACTCCGGCTCGCATTCACCCTCAGGACCGCTCTGCTCACCCTCACCCGACAACAGTTTTCGACCCATATACCCAAAATGGCTACTTCCAAAACCGCCGTGATCCCCCAGGCTAAGAGGATGTTTGAAGGTGGGACGCACAAGCTCGACGTTTGGTCCATCTTTACGTACGTTCCAAACCCTCTCCCCCTCTCTCCCCTCCCCTCTCCTTCCAGCTTCCAGCTTCCGACTCAGGCTCACGTTGTATGTATCTTGCCCAGCCCCGCAAACGTCCCCGCAGACGCGATCAACCTCGGCCAAGGGTTCATGAACTGGGCCCCCCCCTCCTGGATCCTCTCCGAGTCGCACCAGACGATGGACGACGAGGTCATGGCGAACCACTACTCCCACCCTCGTGGTCGACCCAGGCTTTTGAAGGCTATCAGCAAACACTACAGTCCCCAGTTCTCCAACATTGTCGAGAGGGGGGAAGACTTGAAGGCTGAGGAGATTTTGGTGACTGCTGGTGCTAATTGCGGTATGTTGCTTATCTCTCCCAAACTCCCAAAGGAGGGAAAGGAGGGGAAGCTGATTAACGGGGAATATTTTAGGTATGTTTGCTGCTCTTACGGCGCACTGCGAGCCTGGAGACGAAGTCATCTGTATCGAGCCGTACTTTGACCAGTACTTTGCCTCGATCCACTTCCAAGGCGCCAAGCCCGTCTTTGTGCCCCTCCACCCGCCCACCGGCACGGGCATCAAAGACGGTTCCGAGTGGACTCTGAACATTGACGAGTTCCGCGCGGCCTTTACCCCCAAGACCAAGGCTGTCATCATCAACACCCCGCACAACCCCGTCGGCAAGGTGTTTACGAAGCAGGAGCTCGAGGCTATTGCCGAGGTGGTGATTGAGAAGAATGTGTTGGTGCTCGCGGATGAGGTATATGATTGTATGGTGTATGATGGGAAGGAGCATTTCAGGATTGCTACTTTGCCTGGGATGTGGGAGAGGACGTTGACTGTGGGGTCTGGTGGCAAGTCGTTTGCTTGTACCGGATGGCGTATTGGCAAGTCCCCCCCCGCACTTTTCATACGCCAGCTGACGTATCTTCAGGATGGCTCATCGGTACCCCCGAGCTCACCGCGGCCACCCTCGCCGCGCACAGCCGAATCGTCTTTTGCACCAACTCGCCCATGCAAGAAGCCGTCGCTATCGGCCTCGAGAACGCCGCCAAACACAACTTCTTCGCCGACCAGCTCGCCGCGTACACTGAGCGCCGCGACGTCCTGTGCTCCTACTTTGACCAGCTCGGCTTGCCGTACACCAAGCCCGAGGGGTCGTACTTTGTGCTGGTGGATATCAGCAGGATCAAGGTGCCGGAGGGGTACCCGATTGCGGAGACTTGTAAGGGGCGAGGAAAGGATTTCGAGTTTTGTTGGTGGTTGTGCCAGGAGATCAAGGTGGTGGCTATCCCTCCTTCCGAGGTGAGTACTAATGTTTATTTGGAGGGGGGGGCTGATGGGTGTGGCAGTTCTACTCGGACGAACATGTGCAGATTGGTGAACGATTCGCTCGATTCGCTTTCGTGAGTATTCCCATTGGGCTACAGAGTCGCGCTGATGGGTTGTGCAGTGCAAGGACCCCGAGTTGCTGCATGCTGCGGGCAAGAGGCTGCTCAAGTTGAAAGAGTACATTCAGTAGATAGTGTAGATACGCAAAAGAAGAGATATGTATAGAGGCAATACAACAAGAGTGCGCAGCGATGACGAATGGGGTGCAATGCATGTCCTGCGATGCAATGGGAGTCATCTGACGGGAGGACATGACGCCAAGGGAGTGGGAGCTGTTTATAACTGGTGCGTGCCTGGATGGCCGGGGTGGCAGGCTGGCTTATTGTGCGCGGTGCAAACATGCTCTCGCTGTGCACGGATCGTCATCTATTCCTGGTCTGTCCCATCATCCTCCCTATAATCACCCCCCGCCACTGCCACGCCGCTCCCACCCCCCTTGCCGCCCCCGCCCCTGCCCCTGCCCCCGCCCGATCGCTGTCTTATTTTTACCGATTCTCTAGCGCACACCCCTGATAATTCACCATGGCCCAAATACAAAACAGTGCGTCCTTTTCAATCCCCCTCTCACCCCGCTTACCATGGACAAACCCCTCCGCCGCGTCTCCTTCCCCGCCGACAACCATTTCTCCCCCCCAGACGACCCCGCCCAGCCCGCCTCCTTCACCGACTCCCCGCTAAACTCCCCCGCCCTTCCTCCCGCCGAAACAGCCACCTACCGCTCGACAGACCATGTCAATGCCTCCACCACCAACCTCAGCCCCGAGCTGCCACAGGAAAACGCTGCATCGGGTAGTGGCGCTGGAGCTGTCCCCGCAGCATCTGGGCCTGGGGCTGGCACAGGCCCCCGCCGCCGTCAAGGCGGTTCGCGCCAGGTGACCATGGACCCCAATAGCCCGGATCGTCGAGAGACGTCCGAGAGCGCGCGGTCGAGGCCGAGCAGGAGGCAAAGCACTGTCGACCCCAACATGGGGCTGGTACGGAGGGTGACCACGGTGCTGTTCACGCCGCAAAAAAAGATCGGCAAGGCGCCGACTTATGTGCAGAGTTTCAAGGCTGCTATATGTAGCACTTGGCTCAACGTGCTGCTGGTGTTTATCCCAGTTAGCTGGGCACTGCACTTTGTCCAAGCGGGTGGCAACGACAAGATCACCGACACTGCCGTCTTTATCACCGCCTTTATTGCCATCATTCCTCTCGGTGAGTCTCGACGATTGTATCATGAACGTGCGCTCACAACAGTCGCAGCTGGTCTATTGGGTTTCGCCACTGAAGAAGCAGCCCTCCGACTCGGCCAAACACTCGGTGGTCTGCTCAACGCTACTTTAGGAAACGCCGTCGAATTGATCGTCGCCATCCTCGCCCTCGTCAAATGTGAACTCCAAGTCGTCCAATCCTCCCTCGTCGGCTCCATCCTCTCCAACATCCTGCTCGTCCTCGGCATGTGCTTTTTCGCCGGCGGTGTGCGTTTCGAAGAACAGACCATCCAAGTCACCGCCTCCCAGCTCAACTCGTCGCTCCTCTTGATCGCCGTCATCGCCGTCCTCATCCCGTCTGCCTACCATTTCAGTATCGCCGCGAGCGATTCGAATGTCGATGCGAGCGAGCTGGCCAGTGGGGAGGGGAGTGAACTCTTGGCTCTCAGTCATGGTGTTGCCATCCTCTTGTTGATCCTCTACTTGGGTTACCTGATGTTCCAAATGTTCACCCACGCCGTAAGCCCATCCCCCCCTCTAATAATACATTTGCTGACTTTTACAGGCACTCTACGTCGACGACACCCACACAGGCTCCACCTACTATCCCGAAAAAGTCACCAACGTCTCTGACAAGTTTCGCCGCAACTTTCACCGCAACAAGAAGCACGACGAGGAAGAAGGCCTCTCGACCTCTTCCACTGTGGTTTCTGAGACTTCCGGGACAGGGCCCGAAGGTTCGGCCGCTGTGAGCGCAGAGAGGAATGAGGAGGAGGAGGAGGAAGAGGAGGAGGTGCCGCAGATGAATGTCGTCACTACTATCGTACGTCCATCCACCATCTTTTCAAGTGACGTTGCCTGACGCGGGGTGTAGGGTTTGATGGTCCTCATCACCGTCCTTGTCGGTGTCACCTCTGAGTTCCTCGTCGACTCTATCAACGGTCTCGTAGAAGCCCACCCGAGCTTGTCTGCCGAGTGGGTCGGTCTCATCTTGCTCCCTATCGTGCGTATCTCTCTCTCTCTCTCTTCGACTCACTCTTGCTGACCAGTGGACAGGTTGGTAACGCCGCGGAACACTACACCGCCGTCATCTCCAGCGTCAAAGACCGCATGTCCCTCTCCATCTCTGTCGCCGTCGGGTCGTCCATCCAGATCGCCTTGTTTGTCATTCCGGTTATGGAGCTGCTGGCGTGGACTATTGGGAAACCCATGACTTTGCTCTTTGACGGTACGTCCCCCCCCCCTTCCATCTTCCTTCTTTCTTGTTTGTAGTGTGAGGGTAGTGGGCTGATGGGATTGGGATCGGTTGAATTTTGTAGCGTACGAGTCTATAGTGCTTTTCCTGTCTGTTTTGATCGTTAACCAGACGCTCGCTGATGGGCGATCCAAGTACGTCCCCTCCCTCCCCTTTTACTTCAGTTTCAAAGTCACTGACAAGCTACGTATGAATAGCTGGATGGAAGGTATGGTGCTTATGATGCTCTACATCATCATTGCTGTTTCGTTCTGGTACTACCCTGTACGTCTACTACTCTTCTTCTACCTTTGGCATTTGGGGGCGGAGAACTGATTTGTTGGGAATAGGGATCATCGACAGCAACGCTTTTGGGTTGTTCCGACTCTTCCAGCGTGGTCGGTTAAAGATCAACCCAACCATGCCCAGCAACCAGTAAAACAAAAGCGCTCAAAGCACAAGAAAAGCCCGCCGTATAATGTCCACTTACCACCCTTCTTCCCTGTAATCTTTTTTATGTAGAGTATAGTATACCACCCCTTATCACCTTGCTTTCTTTTTTTCTTTCATACACGTACCCCCATACCCGATACCTGATACCCCCACCCCCAGGCCTTTGATGCCTCCCCCCTCGTTATCTCTTTTCATTCGTCTTAAATTCGACATTCGATATTTCGATGATGGCCTCTTTTTGCTTTTCTTTTGCGAGAAAGGTGTTATCTACCCTTGAGAGCTCTCGTTATCTTTCGTCTGGCTATCAGCTCGCGTATTTATGGCCAGTTGCTTTTTGGCAAGCTTATGTACTATATGAATCATTTCTAGAAGGGTTTTCGGGATGGGATGGGATGGGATGGGGGGGGGGGGACATTGGCTGATCCATACATGGCTTTAGAGATGGCGGAAATGACTGATAGGTCTTCTCTGTCGGATAAGCACAGAGTGAGTACTCGTGCCCCTTGCTCCTGTCGTGATTATGTCTGGGAAGAAAGGACAAGGAGCTCGCACCAAATGTAACAATCTTGCAGCGGTCCGAATAAAGATACCACCAATCCCTTCGATTGAATTCAGAAACCAGACACGAAACCTGAACATTCCATCAAGCTTCTCCTGACAGCGCGCCCCCCCGATCCCAAGACGGAATAGATGACCCGTAAGAATATGACTGCTTTATGGCTCCTTTCTCTGACTTGTCTTTGGGTTTTCAGTCCCAGCTGCCCATATTTCGAGCATAAGAAGCATCCGGAAGATTCGGAATAGTGCTGAATATCCAAAATGGGAGTGATGATTTCAATTCTTGGTATCACATAGGGATGCCAAAAGTGCACGAAAGGCAGATCAGATCAGAGTGCGACCCACCTCCTCTTCTTCCCTCCAACACCCTTATCATCACCCCGGCCCGAACTTGCTGTATCGGTCTCTTCAATCAACTTATCATGTCCACCACCGATGCTCCGTCCACCAGCGCTCCATCCACTGATTATACCAGAACAGAGGTCATCTTTACACCAGTCCTACTCCGCGGCTGTCTTCCCTCTCTGAAACCAACTACCGTTGCACGGCGCAATCGTGATGACCAAAGATCCTATGAGACGACGTATGTAAGGACGGTCACGACGCCTCGTGTCGAGACACGCTTGTCTGCGCGCAGTTTTTGTAATGATGGACAAGGTCGTGAGGAAGAAGTGGATGTGCCGCGCGAGACTTTTGCGGCTATCAATAGATACGTGCGCTCGGCAAGAGAAGGGTGGGGACCGATGATTGCTGTGCCTGCCGGTGCGTTGCCGCAATGGAGAGACCCATCAGCAGCATTTGAGCACTGCACTGCTCAATCTCAAATGCGCCATTTGAGTTTGCCCAGAGAGCACACCGGCCGTAGCTATACTAACGGAGACGGAGGTCGAGGATGGCCGTTCACTTATCGCCTTTACCCGGATGTCCAACAGTATCTCGATGATGGCGGGGTGCTTTTTGGGCCAGAGGACCAACCGCTCAAGTGGGAGGACTATACAGACAGGCTGGAACGGGCGGTGGAGAGTGCAAAGAATTTGGACGAGCTGGATACCGTCCCGGAAGGGACTGTCAAGATTGCTTTTACAACCGATATCGTCCAGCCTACAAGGCTGAAGAGAATCTCTCGTCCAGAGGGAGAGGATGATACAAACTCTTTGCAGACCTGGAAGGTTTTGCATCCCGAGATAAGTGTCAAGAGTCGAGTCCAAGATGATTCCCCCGAATGGATCAAGAGGGATGAAAGCGCGCAAGCCTCGTATGACCGATCGATCTCTGCAGCGATAGCATCCTCATACCTGCCCTTGCCCTCCGTTCCCCTGACACCACAAACAAGCGTTCTGGAGTTTCTGGTAGACACGAGTCGGAACGAGCATCTGTTGTTTCATCATGCAGCACACAATGTGGCGAAGGAGGTGTCTTTCGAGGTGGGAGGAAAGTATACAGATGAAGATGGGGAGGAGATTGTGGATGGGCTTTTGGTCAAAGCTGCTTGGGTTGATCCTGATATGTTTAAAGCACTTTGTGGAGAGCCACCCAGAGACTGGCGACTACCAGCTGAAAGGAGTTGGGAGTCTCGAGAGGCTATTGACGAGGGCCTTGAGACGATGCGGAAAGAACTTGCGGGAGGGAGTAGCGCGGGGGAGGATAGTGCGCCTGAGGAGGTATGGGGCAGCTGGGAGTAGTCCATTATATAGTAGTGCAATGCATAGTTAGTGCAATGCATTTGCAAGTAAACCAAATGTTGAATTTCCTGCAGGCTTTTACCAAAGCTAACGGACAACTGCACGGCCTGTAAGTCTATCTCCCCCCCACTCTCTTGGAGATACAGAGCAACCCATAGCCGACTTCATCTGTCCAGTCACGCAGCCCAGATCTTCCGCTCCCAATATGCTCCCCGCTAACACTATCCCTTTCATCGTCTGCGTCGTCTTTGTCGCCCTCGTCATGGTCGCAGTCGCCGTGTCGTGGTACTTTAGTGCAGGAGCGGAGAAAGAGACCAGGAGGATTGCTAGGGAGAGAAGGTAGGAGGGAAAGGCGAAGGGTGTGGTTGTGAGAGGCGATATTGAGGTTTCAGTTGGCTTTTCTGGGAGGAGGGGTTGAGGTACAGGCCAAGCATGGTGTCTATCTACTCATATGCAGTAGCCCGTTGCGTCATATGCAGATCCAACATCCACCCTTCGATCTCTATTCGATATGGTCCGGTCGAGCGCGCAAGTACAATGCAATGACGAGGAGGGTCAGTGCATCCTGTCTTTGCGCGAGCCATATGATAATTGGTGCCATAAATGGCGTTGGTTGTTTTTTTCATCTCGTTAAACACTTTGACACGTAAAACTAGAACAAAAAAAAGAGATAGAAAAAGCCCTCCCCAACTCCCTTCTTCTCATACGCCCCCACCGAAACCCTTCTCCCTTTCCCTTGCGCATCCACTCTCCGCCATTTCTCCCAACCATTCTTTCCTCCAGGCAAGTTACTTGATAAAAGACTAGACTAGAATTCAAAAGAAATGGTACAAAGAAAAGCAGCAGAATGACAAACACTACAAGGCGGCGAAAAGTGATGAAGAAGCACTGAAAAGATAAGAGAGATGGAGGAAAAACGATGGAAACGACGGCTGGACGTTCTTTTTGTTGGTTGGGGGGTAGATTTTTTTGGGGTGGTTTCGATTTTGATTGTCGAGAGAGGGGAGTGTGATAGTGATAAAAGTTCTAAAATAGATATAAAAGAGAAAAAGGTATATTATTAAATGGAAAAGAGAAAAGGAGAAAACCGCATTCTGTCTCGAGATAAAAACCTAACTTTCTACCCTTGATAAAACACCCCACTGTGGATGAATGATTGACTCCCTCTTTTTTTGACACACGATACCACGACCAGATGGTGGAAGGGTACGTGACTTTTCAAAGTTTCGAAGATAAAACATAATAAGCGTAAAAAAAGAAGAAAAAAGACATGGATGTACTCGACCCCGAGGGGATGAGCCAAACGCGATGATAATAACGTGTATCGCGTGGGATAGTCGGAAAGGACAGCTGTTGGAATGGGTAGAAGGGGGAAGGATGATGAAGGCTTGGTAGACAATTGTTGACGAATACCATCTCACCACATTACCACCATGAGGGCAACTTAATACCCCACGGCAGCAGAATGGTAATAAGGCAGAGTGGTACTAAACCTCGTCCTCACAGAAGGAGAAGCATACCTCCCCAAATTCGCCGACCTGTTTTCGATTGTCAATAAAAAGAGATTCAACGCCACATGGCCGAAGCGCTAGTAGCCCACCTCTTGTTGCCCATCATCCCACTCATAAACCCAAACTCGGACGTCTGACCCGCTCCCGGCTCCCTAACGACATTCACCCCAGGCTCGAGCTGGTGCCCAACAGGGTACCCCTCACCTCCTCCGACAGCAGCGGCCGAAGTAGCGCCAGTGCCACGGACAGAGCGGTTGCTGTGCCCGTAGGTGTGGTGGTGGTGCTGGTTAAGAGGAGTCTTGCGGCGGTTGATCCTTTGCACAGAGCTGGGGTCGAGAGCGACAGGGAAGCCAAAGGGGTCGGCGTACTGCCACTGAGAAGCCTTGGAGGACTTGGCAGGAGGAGCGGCGGCGGTAGGCCAGGCGCCTCGAGAGCAAGACGTAGCGGGAGGAGGGATGGGGTAGCCTTGGCTTTGGTTGGAGCAAGTCTTCCTCATCTCCGCGGCAGTAGGCAGCCACTTCTTCGCACCATCATACTCCAAAAACTCCTCATCGTCCTCCTCAAACTCTTCTTCGACCTGAGACTCGACCTCGTTCATGTCGTCGTCACTGAGCAGCATCTCGACATTCCTCTCGGCACGCTCAATCTCAACACCGTCGTCCTCTACGAGAGCGGAGACGGCAGGGTTTCTGGCGGGGTAGGCGGCAGAGGAAAGCTTGGTGTCTTGCTGATGCTGGTAAGATCGAGCGAAAGAGTCCCAGTCGCGGGTGGCAAGCTGGTCGAAAGCAGCGGGGGTCTCGTCGTAAGACAACCTACGGGTAGACGCAGCCAAGGGCGAAGCGATAAAGTCGGGCGTGGTAAAGGTCTTCTTCTCAAGATCTTCACCCAACTCGACGCCTCGGGCCTCGGTAGCCATCTTGTCAAGCACATAGTGGACGACAGCGTCGGCCTCGTCCTTGACGGGCTTGTCGTCGAGGTCGACGAAAAGCTGGTTGACGTGGTCGACCCAGGAAGCGACGGGGACGTAGAGAGACCAGTTGAGGTCGTTGAGGGCGCATCGCTCCATGGCGTCAATGGTCTTGATGGGAATGGTAGTGACCTCGAACCTGATAAAATGTTAGCGTCCGTCGTTGATGAGAAAAAGAAAAGACATACCAAGACTTGGTCAAGAACGAGTTGTCATCCAGCCACTTGCCCGCCAAAATCAAACCCAAAGTAGCAACCCTCCTCTCAACAGCCTCGGGCTCGCACGAAACACTCTCCCTCAGAATCTTGCGCAACCCCGCGCCCTTCTTGCCATCGCCCTCGTGCAAACCGAGTCCGGCGAGGAACCAAACACCAGCCACAAGAGCGGAAGGCGAGATGGTCATTCGCTGAATCATGTCGAGGACAAAGCTGACAAGAGTCGAGCTGGGCTCGATGGCATGGGCCCAGGAAATGTTCCAAGGATCGTGCTGCTCAAACTCTACTCGCCTGCGGGAAGCAAAGACGGGGGAAGTGGCGGCCATCCTGCTCCACTGGTGGGCGAAAGCAGTAGGCGAGCTCATGCCCATCCTCTCGTAGCCATCCCTCTCTCGACCGGCAGGTCCCCACTCTTCGTCGGCGGCACCGGCGGTAGCAGTTCGGAACTGACCGGGGTAGACCAAGAGGTTGACGACCTGCTGAGCGTACCAGACGGCGAAGGCAGCGTTGACATTCTCCACGTTGGGCTCGGCCATGAGGGGCGCGGCAGCAACAGCGGGGGCCGGAGCGGTGTAGATGTGCTCGGCGGGGTAGCTGTAGGTGTCGTGGGGAGTGAAGGGTCGCTCGGGGATCTGAGCGTATCGCTGAGAAGGAACGCGGTAAGCGGCCTGGTCGTAGTTGGCCCACTGGGCCTCCGCACGGGGTGGGGACCAGACAGAACGCTGCCTGTTGTAGACGGGGTCCGGGAACGTCTCGGGCTCAAAGAGGTACGCCTTGCTTCGTTGCTGTTGAGCTGCAGTGTTGACAGGCGGCATCCAGTCGCGCTGAGTTCGAGGAATGTTGCTCGCACCGTGAGCAGTGGAGTAACGAGAGTCGAGAGAGTCGTAGGCGGGCTGAGAGTAGTGCTTGGGGTAATTCTGTTTGGCGGCGGAAATATTTTCGAGGTTGTGATGGGTGAAAGGAGGGCGTGATATAGCGGGCAAAGAGACATAGGAGACGCGGATAGAGGATACGGCAAATGTGACTGTCAGCGAGGGCAATCTACGGTCGGGGACTGTACGCACGTCAAGCTCCATCCCTTCAGCGTCCTGCTCGTAGGATTGCACGTTCATGACCTGGGGCGCGTGGTTGTCAAAGTCCAACTCGTAACGCTCGCCATTCAGCAACTTGAGCAACTCCATCTCCTCTGCTACCGCCACCGCTCGCTGCTGCTGCTTGATGGATTGCCCAGAGGGCTTTCCGTAGATAGATGGCATGTTGTCGTGGGAAGGGGTGAACCCCAAGCGACCCAGTGGCCGAGGTACGACTTCTCCGAGAGGAGGAAGCTGTACCAAAGTGTTGGAAGAAGGCGGAATGGAAAAGGTAGGGGGGGTGAAGAAGCCTTCTTCGCTGGTTTGGTAGACGGTAATGGTGGTGGAAGGTGTGGTGTTTTTGTTTTTCGAGATTCGCACGGAACGAGTCTCAAAAGACGGGTGTTGTGGGTGGGGGATGGGGGAAGGGGACGGGGAAGGTGGCTATGGGGCGATTGGTGTAAAGCAAGGAGACAAGGACACCAGTAAAGGTGTGCAGTTGGGCTAAAACTGCGCTGTCGGTCGACTTGCTAGACGTAGATGCGCCTAAAAGAGATTCCAGGTGTTGGGGTTGAGTTGGGCCGGAAGGTGAACTGTCTGGGCTTGAAAGAGTGATAGATGTAGAGGGTCCTGGGGATGTGGATGCGGGTCGGGAGGGGGGTATTTATGGACGGGCGGGTGGCGAGAGAGGGTGGCGGAAACAGGAGGTCGCGCACGCCGTCAGCCAACGTCTTTTCGCCGCGGGTGTTGCTGACTCACCGTGCACAACCTAATGTGTCGTCTTTCCACTACGTCTTCTTAAAAGTCCTCGTGCTTCTACGCCGGGCAGGAAGGGGGCTGGGGCAGGGGAAGTCGTCGATAACAGGTCCGGGTAGAGGGGGGGTTATCGAGTCGGTGCTGCGGGTTGTTGATTCCTGGCGGAGTGTCTTCCGGGGTGACTTGGTGTCTTTTGTAGTGTGTAGCCAGAGGGAAGGCAGAGGCAGAGTTGTCCAAATTAAGGGTACTCTGTATGCCGATTTTGTGAGGTGTGGGATGGAAAGACAGCGAGAGACCACCCTCAACACGCCACCCACCCCCAGCCCAGACCCGACGCGCGCGAAAATTACCACCATCCGGAGTTATACTGAATGTGGCACTCTGCTTTCCGCCCTCAATCGTCATTCCTGGGGCCATCCATCGCTGCAACAGCGTCATACACGAGCGTGTGGGGCTGGGGGCTACGGCACCCCTAGCATCATTTTGATACATGCATCAAAATGGCCGGTTGGTGACAAGTTGGACGCGCATCGCGCATCGCGCATCGCCACGGAGGTCATTTTTGCAAGTCTTCCATCTGCCGACCGGTCTGCGCCTCGCTACAGGTGATGGTGCTCAGCAATGCTGATGACTGACATGTGGCGCATGTGCGCATACCACGAGCCTTGGCGGATGTACTGTGCACGCCTCGGACTAGGCTATAGCCTTCCCTTCTAACGCCGAGCCGTGCGGAAGAACGCCCCCTTCTACTTTAGTTTAACAGATCGACACGGCCTTGCTCAGCACCTGTTTGTATCGCTGTATGAAATTATGCATTGATGGGTATATGAAAACCAAGAAGAGAACCGAAACACATGGGAATTGTTCATTCTATAACAGTCGAAGAAAGAAAGAATTGTTCGTGGATAAGACCGATCCTATGTTCTATCTCTATGCCATGCTCGCCCTAGACCCAGACTCGTTTCCAGAGCAAACAATCTAAACTTCTTGCTTCTCGGGCTGTCGGAGGGTGAAAGTGACAAGGGGGTTATGGGGTTGTACGATCATAGTCTTCATCACTCATCAGCATATTCCTACGCAACCAACAAAAAGCACACTTACCCGGTAGTTGGTCTTGGGGAACTCGGGCACCGCCAACTTGAGCTCAAAGTTCCTAATCACATACGTAAAGATGGTCGACAGCTGCGTATACGCAAACTGCTCCCCAACACACCTATGCCTACCCGCCCCGAAAGGCTGGTACGGACTCTCGGTACCTTTGCTGACAGCGCCGAATCCATAGTCGACCTGGTCGCCCTTGGTGTACTCGTCGGCGGCGGTGGCGGCGACACCGCCGGTTTCGAGCCATCGGGCAGGGTTCCAGGTGGTGGAGTCGGCCCAGATGCGGGGGTCCATCTGGGAGACACCGGGGGCGGCGAGGATGTAGTGGCCCTTGGGGATGACGTAGGTGCTGTTCTCAGAGGGAGCAGAGAGGGAGGCAGGGACGGGGATGTCGGACATGACCTTTCGGTAGATGGAGCTGTGACAGGTTAGTTGGGACTAGTCAATCGTCACACTAGACATACTGGATAGGAGCGTGCTGCGAAAGATGTCAGCAATGTATGACACAAGCAGAAGATCACGTACCAAACGAAGAGTCTCTCGGATGATAGCGTCCATAAGAGGCAACTCCTTCAAATCCTCATACCTATACTCCTTGAAAGATCCATCAGGGTTGGTAAGCTTCTCCTTCTGCTCCTTGTAGAGACCCTCACTAATCCATCTATCAGCTCTTTCCTCTTTTCCAGAAAACACCAAAACGTACACAATGTCGGGTCGGTCAGCGAGATGGAGAAGGGTCCAGGTGGAGGTAGCGGAAGAAGTGTGCTGGCCGGCCATGAGGAGGGCGATCATGATGTGGGAGATGTCTCGGTCGGTGAGGGCGACGCCGTTTCGGTACTTGCAGTTCTGGAGGTTGGCAATCATATCCTGGTCATGCTGCGACTCTATCAGCATCACCATTACTACCAAAGAGAAAAAGGACTCACGTCACTCTCGCCCTTCCTTCGGTCCTCCATGATCTTGATGTAAAAGTTGCTCATAGCCTTCTGGGCATCATCTCGCCTCTTGTAAGAAGGCAAAGGCAAGTTGGGAAACATGAAATTCAAAGGCGTGAAACCACCGTCCAGATCCTCATAGTATTTGGCAAAGTGACCATTCAAAGACTCTCGAACTTCCTTACCCTGGAGGGTTCGGGAAGCAGTAAGAATGATGAGCTCCGACATGGCCTTGAGGAGGTCCATGGTAGCGGAAGGAGAGGAAGGAGTGATTTTGGCTTCTTTGGTGAAGAATTCTTCGCACTCTGCGGTGATCAAGGGAGGGTAGGACTGGAGGGACTCGGTGGTGAGACCAGACTTGATCTGTAGATCTCATTAGCGACTGGCCAATGACACATGGTAGACAAGTACGCACAAACTTCTTTTGTTGCATCAACATCTCGTTAGGACAGTCGTAAACGACACCTTTACCAAAGACAGGAGTAGTAAGATGCTACATATCAATCAGCTCTTGTCCATACACAAAACATCTGGACTCACAGTGTAAGCATCCTCGGCAGAGACCTGCGAGATCTTGCCGCCCAATGACAAGTTGTTGCCCTTGGGGCCGAGCGCGACGGTAACTCGACGGCCCATCAGGATAAAAGTAAAGACATCTCCGTACTAGAACATAGTCAGCATGATTCCAAGGCTCGTCCTCTTCCTTTTGCCCCTCTCTCCAACCATGAATCCTTGACACCAAGCTCTCCGGAGCGATATCAGAGCCCAAAGTGGAGCGCCTCATCCAGCCACCAAAACAACTCGATAGCAAAAGCACATACCTTGTCACGGCACTCAAACATAAACTTGTAAGGGTCCTCTCCATAGTACGCAGCAGAACCAAACCAGGGAATGTAGTGGAACACTACAGGGGGCAAGTCTTTTCTCTTCGGGATGACCTGTTGTTTTTTTTTTCAGACGCGCGATAGAGAGGAAAGCGCGATGGGCGACTCTGATCAGCTTTGATCATCAGGCGAAGAAGGAGGACGTACGAGCTGTTGAAGGACATTCAGACCAATGATAGTAGCGATACTGCCAACCACAGTGACGAGCACTCTCAAAGCCAGCGGCAGCGCGGTGTACCACCCCGGCACATACGCGCCAGCTTCGTGCGCTATTCTCTGCAGTTGCGGGACGATTGCCGACATGTCGATGATGCAGACTGGAGTCGGATGGGGGAAGGCGAGGAGGGGAGGGGTGGAAACGGCGGGGGGTTTTATAGGTTTGAAAGAGAAGAAGTATGGTTCGACGAGAGGAAATTGACGCACATTATTACGTTTCCCTGTGGCGGAAGGACGCGCGCGGGGAAAGTGGAACGATGTTTCCAGCGCAAGCCCCCCGCGCCCGGTTTATTCCATCTCTCTTGTTCTCCCGATGCATTCAAACGAGAGCGTGAGGCTTGCTCGCGTCTTCATACGCTCACGGGCACATGCGGATCGACGACTATCATACGTAAATGACATATCATCAACACCTAGGTATACAAGCTGTTCTGCTCTATACTGCAGTTCGTACGATAACGCGAAACCACTAGACTACTCGCCAGAAAAATAATGCTATAGGAAGAGATCTTCTAATCAGAGAAATGTCAACGAGAAGGCATGGTAGATATGAAAACAGATGATCATAAGTCGCTCTAAGCGCTACGGAAGAGAGAAAAAAAGAGTCCATAGAATACAACGAAGCACTCTTCTTCGTCCTTCAGCCTCATCCCTTACTCTTCCTCCTCCTCCTTGATCCCTCCATCCGTTCCTCGAGAACGGCGTTTTTTTCCGCCTTTCACCAAACTCCCCATCCTACGACTGCCCTTCACCTCCTGCGGCGGAGCCTGGGCTTGAGATGGAGGCTGCTCCGCATAATGCCCATACTGAGCCGGCTGCGGCATTCCCACCGGCTGGCCAAAGCCTTCCGGCCCCATCCCCGCGGACGGCGAGTGCATCATCCCATACCTCGGATCAGGATAGTATCCTTGCGGTACCATGCCTTGCTGATGCGGATGAGGAGGCGGTTGGGCCATACCCATAGGCATAGGCGCGTACCCCGGGGCAAAATAGTACCCCGGCGGCATATGCGGCATCGCATGCATCGGGTGGTGACCGTGAGCATAAGGATGCGCTCCAGAATGGTGTGGGTGCGGGTGCGGGACCATGTGCGCATGGCCTTGAGGTTGGAATGGCGCATGGGGTGGAGGGTCTTGAGTTACGATCGCTTTCGGACCCGGGTTGGGCGCGGGGGCGGTAGTCGTCACTGGCGTGTCTTTCGAAACGCCATTCGAACCGACTTGGTGCACTTTCGCATGTCGTTTGAGGTTGGACTGGACCGAGAATCGTCGGCCGCAGCCTGGTTCGTGGCACACATACGGTCTTTCGCCCGTGTCTACATTTCATCAGCGCATACTCTATGAATCCAATGATGGACTTACGGCTATGCGTATGAATCTTCAACGAACTCGGCCTTGAGAACGACTTTGCGCAATAGGAGCAGACATACTTTGGCCCCGCCACGCCCGACCCCGGACCTTTCCCCGGACTATCCCTCTCCTCATCCATCTCATCCTCCTCCTCCCCACTCCTCTTGCCTTCTTCCTCTTGTGCTGCCCGAAGCGCTTCTTCAGCAAGGACTTCCATACCCCTCATCCCTGGGTCCCCACTCCCACTCCCACTACTCTCCCCGACAGACATGACGTCTTCTCGTTCTTCCACTGACCTCTTCTTGCCCCTGCCCGACAGCGTACGGTCGTCGTCTTGGCTGATGGCAAGATGCGCAGTGTACGAGCTGATCGACTCTGTCGATTCGCGGCGCCCTGAAGGGACCGGCAAGAATACAGACTGGGGCGAAGCACGAAGCGGTGAAGGCGCGGCGAGGATCGGCTCAGAGAGCGGTGATTTCTCAGCAAGGTACTTGCCTTCTTTCATAGCGACGTCGTCCCCGCTCTGGGCCTTGATCATGTCTGACAACGACGACCGCCGAACTTCACCGTCAGGTGTCGAGGGCTGGGTATTCGACTGCCGTCTCAGCCGATCTGACGCTGCTGATGACGGACGGGAGATGGCTGGTATAATTAACGACGAAGAGGGGAGAGGTTTCTCTGAATCAGGTGTCGAGAGGGGACGTAATAAAGATGAAGCCCGACGTTCTGTACCAAGGAAAGCTGGGGGGTGCACGCTCAGTCGCCGTTCTGGTGCTGAAGGAGCAGAAAGGGAGCCTCGAGGACTATCGGCCGACAAGTCTGCAAAGTGTTTCGCCAGCTGCCCGCTCACCAGACTCCCGTTCCTCGAGCGTGGACTCGCCCTGCGGGACACTGGCGGAGACACCCCCTCGCCCCCCGACATGCCCGACAGCGAGCCTCGCGACATGGCAGCAGACACCCCAGCATACGGCGCAGAGGGCGGATGCAGCGAGGCGCGACTTGGCCAGTTGGTCGGGGTCGTAGGTCCGGATGATCCGCTGGGGGAAGCAGATGGGAACGAGGCGTTCCGACTTTGGGCCTGCCACTTGAGCCTCGCGAGCTCTTCGTTGTCTGCCGCAGGAGGAGGGCCATCGGATCGACGGCGTTTTTGATCGTGCTCATCGAAAAGGTGGGTTTGTGTGTGGGGAAGGGCGTTGGAGCGGTAAGATTGGTGGGCACTGAATGGGTTGCCGTTGAAATCTGGGTGCCACCAGCCTGGGGCGGACGTCTCGACGGCGGCTGAGGATGTCAGAGAAGAAAATCGAGATGTACGGCCTGAAGCGGCGGTGGAGGGCGATGTCGGAGAGTTTGGTACCAATGACGGGAGCGAGGGTGACTGGAATAATGCCGAGTTCAGAACAGACGGGGGATCTACGCTTGGTCAGCAAGTACACAAACAGTGGCGTGTATAGGCTCACCACCAGCACCGCTGAGTAACGACTTGATGCCAGGCAGACTTATGGCATCGCCCCCAGACACCTGCCTCGCCTCTTCCTCTTCTTTCGAGTCCTCTTTGACCCGCCTCAAAGGATGTCTCTGACCAAGCTCGCCGTAGCCCTCATCTTCCTCATACGCCTCGTCGTCCGTCCGGATCATCGGGTCGGCACGTGAAGAACGTCTCGCCATGTTGCCCTTGGGCGAAGGCTCTGCGGGGTGTTTGAATGTGGTGGTGAACAGGGATGCGCCTGGGCGGCTGGTGGGCGAGATGTTGGAGGGGGAGAGGGGCGGTGCGTCAAAGTATACGTGATGGGTAGCGAACGTCGCTGTTACCATATTACCGCTTTCACGGGCGGTGATAGTAGATGCAGAAGAACGGTGTTCGCTGCTCGTCGGGGCGATTTTCGTGCTCACTGCATGGGTGCGCGGGGAAGAACAGGCGGTGTGGGGCGACATGGGATATAAGGCCGAGGGACAATTGAACGCAAAGGACAGAGGATGCGATGCGATCGATGGAAAGAAGCAGAGGCCGAGGTGCGTATACCCGAGGCAAAGATCGTCAGAGGGGAGGTGTATCGGGGAAAGTGTGCAGGGAGGGATCAGCCGCAGGGCAGAGACAATCGAGAGGCACAGAGGGAGGGATCAAACAGCAGGGTCGTGGCGTCGGAGATAGAGATGGAGATGCAGGAGAGAGAATGCGATCGTCAGCGTGAGTCCTTGGACATAGCACAGTCAGAAGCAGAGAATGGGCGATGGCATACGGCGATCACTTCCGTACCCCGCCCCAGCCGTGTGCACCCAAGGAATGTACGCGCTGCCCTGATACTACCCCTCCCCCGTACACCCCCAGAGAAGCACGCGGAAGCACCAAGTGATGTGCGCCACACCGTCCCCGAGTGCGGCCCCTGGTGCACTGACGGTGTCATGGTCCCATGGAGCGACGGCATGGATCTAGGGTATGTCTGACCCATCGCCCATCGACCCTGGGCCACATATTACCCATCAACGAGTATCATGCCCCTTGCGACCGCCACTGCACATCGCCCACAACCCCATCGCCTATCGCCCATCACCCATCGTCCCACCAGTCAACGCCCGAGTCCCAAGGCACACGGCACAAACACACACACCCAAACCGAACAAGAAAGGACACACCTGCTCACCTTTTTCACCACACAGTCCCAGACCCTTTCACTGTCGTTTCTTCCCTTGTCTACTGTTGTCCAGGTGATTGCCCGTCAAATCCGGAGAAGCGAGGAAAGGCGATGTGATAAAGGAGAGTGGGGGGTAATTGAGGGGTACGGAAGGGAATGTACCTTGTTGATTGTTGACAGGATCCACAGCCCGGGGATGATGTACTGTACTATGGTTAGATCAGCCATCGTACACATCATCAATCAGCGGACGTAAGCAACTCACCTGGAAAAGGCTCAGATCGATCTTCAACTGTCCTAAGCGCCTAACGACAATCAAGCACAACCGAAGGAGGCTCGCAAGCAGTGGGCTGGAGCGGAAGAGCGAGAAAGGGGTGCAGGGGCGTGATGCACTTTTTTGATCCCTGCTGATGGATGATCGCCGTAGTTGTAGATCTCGACTTTTGCCGTCGTTCTTTGTCGGTCTCGAATCAATCTCGTTCTTCTCTAGCGATGCTCTCTTCCCTCCGTATATGCCGGGACTGAGCGCTTTATCGTTGAGGTCGAGCGGCTGATTTCGGGGCTGGTGAATAGAAACGTTCACACTTTCTTCGTCGCAAGGCTCGTCTCTCCGTGAGAAGAGTAAATAGCAAGTTGCTTTGTCGTTCGCACCAGCTGCTAGGTGCTATGGAGGACCACGCACACTCTCTTGTGATCGCAAGAGTGACGAAAGAAGTGTGTAACCTCAACAAAGAGGGGTCTGGCGTTTTTGGCGCTCAAGAGATGAGACGGGGGTTCGATGATGTGCAGGGATTCTGGGTTGGTGGACAAAATGGAGGTTTTTGCGACCCTTGGTGCGACGAGAGCGGGAGACAATAAGACGGGGAGGAGAGGAACGAAAGACGGATCGAGAGTTGTGCCGAACTTTTGGGAAATCCTCGACTTTCGGTCTTTCTTTCTTGGCTGCCTCTTTCTCTTCTCTGCGTTGTCGTCTTTCGTCTTTCGCCTTCGGTTGGAGTGGCGATCAGTTGGAAAGATGAGAAGGGCGATCGGATGGGAAAAGAATGGTAAAAACAATAAAGTCAAGGAAACCACGCACGGTACGGAGACAAAAGCCGTCTACAGGGTAAAAAGAGGCAGATAAGGGAACGACAACCACCAATTTGTGCGAGTTCCGAGTGACACCTTAAACACAGACTTGGATACCGAACGCTACCGAGCGAGCAACCACGAGGGACGAGGGCCGGGGCGAGGGCCGGCTGGGTGGAAGGGGAGAGGGCGAGGCCGGCGAGGCAAAGGGTCAGGCGTTCTCGGGCGTCAGCGGCGTCGAGCGACGTCAAGGGTTATTTGACTTTTACCCTGTGGCTTTGAGTCTGAGAGCTGGGACTGGAAGTTGGGAGAGACAAGTTTTCTCCATTTTTTTGGGTTTTTACCGCGGGTTCGGACTGCACCAACTTGGGGCACGGCGAGCAGAGGGGAGGAAGGGGAGGCGTTAACGTAAAAGTGACGAGATAATTTGTCTCCCCAGCTCCAATCCAGACAGGCGTGCTTTCGGGCGGGCCCGGCATGCGTGATTTTAGACAACTCCTTGGGGCCTTGGGACCTTGACGCTGTACAACTGTTGCGCTGTGAGCACTGGAGCTTTCGCTTGTCATGTGCGCAACAGCAGAAAGCTGGGGGCCTGGGAAGCTTGAGTATGCAGATCCCCAAGAGTTGTACATGTGCTTGGACATGTGGATGACGGAGTTACTCCGTGACCTTCGGCCTCATCTCCCCTCTTTCTCTCCGGCATCCTGCCTCTCTTACCTCTCACTGTCTGCAATCTGTAGCTCAAGCCCTCCCCCAGGGTCGTACGAACCACACATAAAGTCCATAGGGAAACCCGCAACGGCTCTAACGGGCCTCACGCGCGCGCTCTGCTGGAGCTGCTGGCCCTGCTGGTGAGCACTGTCCCGGCTGCTGATCAGGTTAGTCAACCCCAACTAGCATCTAGACTCCTATGTCATTGCTATGGACCGGGTTTCAAGGATCTTCAGAACATCGGAAGGCACGCCCTGCGCACTGAGGCGGTCTCGCGTGTATCACATTCGCATGCATCGCATCTCGCATGTCTCACCAACAGGATAATAATGGTGATGGGCGATGTAGTCACCGCTCTCTCCGGATGTCATCCATGCTCCGTCTGCTAGGAAAACATGGTGGGATCTTTGTCGGGTTGGCTCATTTTGGACCATGTGGTGCTGGACTTGAAAGACGGGGAGCAGGGAGCGCGGGGAGGAGCGAAGGGCAGGGCACGCGAGGGGCGCACGGCCACAAGGGGCAGAGGACAGTGGCGCAGTACAAATATCCATATGTTTGGCGCCAATATGAGATGACAACATGGACAAGCACGGTGGCCACGCAGGCCACGCAGGTGAGGGGAGACTAACGCCAGCCACTTCCATCATCTGGTGAACACTGACTCTGGAAAAGAACAATTTTTTTTCCTGTGCCCTGCGCGCCGAGTCTCGCTTCTCGGGGTCTCGGTGGTTTGACTTGTTCTACGGCCTCAAATAAGGCCCTTGAGGTCTTCGGGTAAGGAAATGTAATGCCGCACGCAGTTCTGCTTAATCTTGTTTAGGTCGTTCTTAGTTGAAGGTACATTACTCTAGTATACGATACCGTAGATCAGATTAGATCAGATTACAGATTGCACTCGTCAATTGCAATTACCAGATAGGCTAGATATACCAGATAACCGATGTCCCTACAAATTCCCGACTGTATCACCAGGTCAGTCACTCTCCGCATGGCAATTTCGATTACAGGTGCCATTAGGCCGTGAACTAGACCAGCTAGGATCTCCTTTCTCTACTCGATCAAGCTAAAGAAGGCTGCTAAGGCGTTGTTAAATGATGAGATTAGTTGAGATCCGTTCTATCGGGCCAGTTTGCCGCTAATACGCTAACGACTCGTCTCCCCGAAGTGTGATCAGACTCAGAGAGATCAGAAGAGATCAATTGTCGTTTTGTCTCAATGCAATGCGCTTTATACATAGCACTTGTCGTAGCAGCAGCAGGCCGCAGGCCGTCGGGGCCGGTAGCCGGCAGCTTGGAGCAGCAGGTGTGAGGCGTGAGGCATGTCACATGTGATGATGTGAGGCGGATGTGAGGAAGATGGTTAAGGAGCGAGACGAGTGCCACTGCCGCCGGATGCGCCAAAAGGTGCGGATGCAGATTGCAAAGCACATGGGGCAGATGCGGTCCCACAATGATGCGCCATTGACCGTGGAGGAGCTATCACTGCAGGCCACTCAAGAACAGATGAAGCACAAGTACAAGGGCTTTCTCTGCCCCCGCCCCTCCTCTCCCCTCTACGTATGCGGCTTGTTACATCGTTGAGGCTCGTGGCCCGTGAGGCGTACGAGTACTTGTACATAGGCGTGAGGCGCTGCAAGCTGCTCTGGAGCCGCAACTCGGGTTCCCGAAAGTTCGGCTTTCACCACTTCGGCCCACTCTACCAGGAAAACCGCCCAGGGACCAGGGATTTAGGAATTCCAGGGACTGAAATGAAGCAAAAGCTCGGCTGGGGCGTTTCCGAGGATGACAGGGTCATCTCAGGGGTTTGAGAAGATGTGCGCCGCTGATGTATGATCGGCAAAGGGCGGGCTGAGCCGCTGGCAGTTTTGGGTCAGATATCCACAGCATGGCGCGAGTGGAGCTCTCAGCTGTCAAAGGAAAGCAGAAGGGGCAAGAAGAGAAGGCAAGCGGGACTGCGGTGGCTGCTTCGTGTTCTGAATCAGGACCAGGGCCATGACTTGCATGATACAGCTTACAACAGGCACAGTGGTCAGCGGCGGTGGTAACTGAACAACAGCTTGAGCCTCATCAGCTTGCTTGACAGCTTCGAGGCGACTGAGGCGATCACCCCTGCATCTGTGGCAGATCTTCTTCTCATTGTATGATGTACCCTATAGCATAACATTGTCACCCTTTGCGATGGGGGGATACGAGACAGCGATCATTTCAATCTCTGCAGATCCCCATCGACAGAAGAAGACGGTTAAATGATGACGCGAGTGACGAGACTTCTGTTTATCTGTTACGGTAGAGTAGCGGAGATCTGTGCCCAACTTGCCCGAGCCCCGAATAGCTTGATATCTGATCATATCTCTTCAACAGCGAGCATGGGGTACTACATCGTGGCATAGGGAAAGAACTGGCCGGCGGGGCCGTGGATGGGCTAAAGGGAGGAGGCATAGATCGGATATACTTCCACAGGCCGCAGGCTTCCTGCAGGTCCTTCCAACGCATGTGGCCGTTAGACTCTCCGGGAGAGGCAGCAATCGAGTATACTCAGCAGCAGAACCTTGACGATGTTCGTGTATGGCATTTAAAGATCATTTCGAAATCTGTTACCCTGTGGTCTCTTGGTAGTCAGGTCATTAAGCAGTGTCTCGTGCTTGAGTACCGAGTTCTGTTGATGTTTGATACATGCTGTATGTGTGTAGCTGGCGGCACTTGCGCCGAGCCAGCTTGCAAGATCGTCTTCAGGCAACATCGGTCGTCTGACTGCTGACAATATTCACACGCGGGATCAGATATGTAGAGCAATTTCAGAGCTAAGCAGTGGGCTAAGCATCATGATCCAGCACCGTGGGCACCGACGCTGCTCACAATCTGACTTTAAGCTTCATGGACGAATGTACAACGAAGACATACGAGATTTGACGTGGAACGGTCAAATGTGCGGCACTGTGCTTGGCCAACAGCACTCCCAAGTACAGCTCACCAACACCATTGCTCTTTGTGTACCAGCACCAAAGGACAGGAAGACCAAGATACTTTTCGCATTTTGTCTGGTAATCCAAAAAAAAAACATGTAGGCGTACTAGACCCTCGTCCGATTATGAAGAGCCACGAGCCGCCATTTCCGCTACTGGGTGTTGCTTACCGTGAGCAAACATGTCCTGAGCGATAGTCAGTGGTCGAGCTCCGCAATACACCATCTGGTACTCACCTCGGCAGTATCGCAGACAACTTTGCAAGCCTCTTCCCCGTCTCTCCACTTGCACTCGTATCCACGACCACCTTCGACTAGCTCTTCCACCTGCCCTTCCTCTCTTACAACGTTCCCCAGTCCGGTGGCAGCGCCAGAGATGGTGCCAGGGGGGTGAGCAAAGTTGTTTTGTGCTTCGGGGGCGGACAGGAAGAAGTCTGAGTGTGGTGATGCTGGGTGGTTGGTGCCGAGGCCAGAAGGACCAGGAGGGAATGGGCGTCTCGCAGGGACGTCCTCGGCGGTCATGTAGCCCCTAGCCGCATGCTCGTCATCGTCACTGTCTCCTTCGCTCTCTGGCGGCAGCACACCCATCGCCCTGGCCCTCAAAACCTGATTCTCCTCCAACAACTCCACCTGCCTTCCCTTTGCCTTTCTCAGCTTCCTATCCAGATCCTCATTCTCCGCCGTAAGCCGTTCACTATCCTCCCGGTACTTGTCACACCAGACAGCCTTCTCCCGGATGGGGTCGCCAGTGACGCGCGCTTGGTCGAGCAAGATCTTGACCTGCGCGCGGAGCTGCTTGATTTGAGCGTTGTGGGCGGAGGAAGTGGCGTGGTTGAACAGTTCGCGTTGTTTGAGACCGTCTCTAAGCTGGCCTCGGAGGAGTTCGTTTTGCTTGGTCAAGACATCGGACTTGCGGACCAGCTCGACCGCTCGATCTCTTGCCTTCTCGTACTCCTTTGTCACGAAGCGTTGATGTTCCGCTTCAAAAGCCCGAGAAGCCTTGGCAGCTTCGAGTTGCTCAGTGAGAGAGGCGATCTCGTTCTGAAGAGAGTCCTTCAAAGCTTCGGCTTCTTGGAGCTTGACGGTGAGGGTCTGAATCTGCTCTTCAGCACTCGCGAGCTTGAGAGCGATCGGATGCTCTTTGGCTGTCTTCTTTGCCTCTTTTGCAGCCTGTTCAGCGTCTTCCAAGAGCTTGCGCAGCTGGCCAACCTCGGCTCGGGCTTGGACAAGAGCTAAAGAGTCGGGATGGTTGTTGTACCTCTCATCCGACTGATCCTTTCCAATCTTTGCAGCAGAAAGCTCTTTTCTCAACCCTTCCATCTCCCTCTTCAGTTCCTCCAAGAGCCTTATCGCTGCCCCTCCTTCCTTGCCCTCGGCCCTCACTTCGTCGGCGTCAGCCCGCGCGGCCGCCAGTTCCTCTTTCAACCGTTCACTCTCAGCCTTGACTTTTTCGAGAGCGACAGTATCGGGGTGGTACTTCAAGGTATCAATCATGCTCGCCCTGGCTTCAAGCGCGTCTTTCAGCTGCATTCGGAGCTTGTCGTTCTCCTTGCGAAGGTCCTTGTCGGAGAGCGGCGTTTCGTCCTGGGAACTATTCTTAGGTGAAGGGGCAGGAAGGGGTTGGGTTTCGGGTATCTGGGATTCGGGCCAAGACTCTGTGAGGTCATAGACAACGATCCTCTGGGGCGAGCCCTCCACCTGTTGGCCGTTAGCTACAGCTTTCAATACAGATAATACGACTTACACCTGCCTTCTCTCCTTCATCCTGTCTCTCCTTTCCTTTCCCCGTCGTCCTCCCTGACGCAGTCTTCCCAGGCAGGCTAGCCACAGCCTTCGCCAAAGCCTCCGCTTCTTCGTACTCTCTCAACTGCCTCCGAGCAGCCTCCTCCCTTTTCTCATGTCGCATGGATGGCGGGCTATTGAATTGGCCGATAGAGTCGGCTGACGAAGGCAAGTGTGGGTTCTTGTTTGGTGAGCTGACTGCTGGTCGGATGGGAGATGAGATGGGGTATTGCGTGGGTTGAGGATCTGTTTCCTCCTCAATGTTGAGCGGAGAGGGCTGGGCGAATTTCGTGGGAACTTGAGAGGGTTCGGGATAGTCGGTGACGTCTTTGGATATTGGCAGTACTCGCTTGGTCTTGGTCCCATTCGCCGACTGCTTGGTTGGAAGCACAACCTCTACTTTTGCCTTCCCCTTATTCTTCGCAGAAGACCGCAAGATCGCATCGTCGTCTTCTTCATCCGAATCCAGCTCGGTCTTCTCTGACTCTTCCTCAGAGCCGCTTGAGCTTTGTTCGACTACAGTTTGGCGTTTCGTGTGCGATTCGCGCGGGCGCGTCACTCGAGTGCGATCAGGAGTCTCGGTGTTTTCTGATGCGGTACGGGTAGAGCGACGGCTGGTGGTAGATCCCGCAGGCTTGGGAGTTACACTGGGAGTACTTGAGCGTGGTGTTTCACCTGCAAACAGTCAGTCTTGTCCATTCCAAAGTTGGACCAGACGCACCCTTGGACGTTCGCGACTTTTTCTCCGTCTTGACAGTCACTGTGCTGCTCCTCTTTCTCTTCTTCTGATTCGCCTTCAGCCTTGCCTCCCGCTCCGCCTTGGCCTTCTTTCGGTCCAACTCCTTCTTCCATTTCTGATACTCCTGTATCCTATCGTCCCATCGGGCTGCCCCCTTCCCCACAATGTCCGGGTCACGCCGTTTCACAGCCCTCCACTCCTCGATCAAGTCATTCGTGCAGCCCGTCTTGGCCGTCCATTCGGGCAAGTATGTCTTGCCAGTGTCGGGGTCGATACCAGCCCATTCGACCAGGTATTCACCGCCCCCTCTTTTGTTGACGCGTTCATCGAGGATACGGATGGCGTCGTAGAGAGTATCGCTGTCGTCTTCTTGGGGTACGAATTGGGTGGCGTGGATCGACTCGGTGTCGTCGTCGGATGAGGGGGGCGGGGAGGATGACATGGTGAAAGAGTCGCGTGAAGGACTGGCGAGTGTCAGTGAGCTCGTGCATATCTTGGGTTGTTGTACCCACTGGTTCTCTTGTTCACAGGCTTATATGATGGTGCCTCGAGACACGTCGACAAAGGCCCAGAAGAGATTGTTTCAGAGCACACAAGAATTGCTTCGTATAGGGTATCCGGATTTTGCCGGCTGGAAAGCCTTCAACTCGCTGTCAGCCTAGTGCACACGCGTACAGTTTAGACTCACTGCAGAGGTGGATTTTGTTGTTGGTAGTACAGAGATGAAATGTGGAGATGTAAGAGAGGATGAACCCGTCGCGTAGTTTATTAGTCCAGTCAGCAGCAGCCGCGAAGAAGGCATGATGTCTTACGTAATACATGAGGTGGCCGCCAAAAGGACATCTGCCGATAATTTCAAGAGACTGACTGAATAACTCGTTTACTGCCCGCCATGCCGCCAAAATTCGATCCCTCTGCCCCCGAGAACGCAGAACTCATCTCCCTCTTCCAGAACCTGGGTCTCGCCAACAAGTCCGCCACAGAGCTCGTCCGCCAGCCCAAGTCTGGCAAGGCCTTCAAGTCTCTTATCGACCAGTACAGCCTCGGCAACGAGAGGTTCGATGAGAAGCAAGCTGGCGCCCTCGTCAAGCTGAGCTCTGTGGGAGACAAGCTGAGCGAGGAGCAGAAGGGCTGGCTCGTGCAAAAGATTGTCAAGGGGGACGTCAAGTCGCCTGATCAAGTCACTGGTGCGTTATCTTTCGACTCGAAGGGTCCTTTGCCACCTCTAGTAGGGGCTGTGGCATGAGAATTAGCTTGGGCGACACTGACAATGGCTGTGCAGCTGCTCTGAAGTTTGCCGAGAAGAATCCGGACCTCGCTGCGAACGAAGCTGCTTTCGACAAGGAGTGTGGTGTTGGTAAGACTGTCTTCCTTTCGTTCTCTGCTTGTGCTGACAGTATCATTAGGTATCAACATCACCGCCGCCGACCTCCCTGAACTCCTCAAGTCCTACCTCGCTTCCCTCCCCACCCCAGCCGAATCTTGGTCTGCCCTTGGCCCTGTTTTGGGCGGTATCAAGAGCGGCAGCTCCGACCTCCGATGGGCCAACGCCGCCGAAGTCAAGACCTCCCTCGAAGAGATCTTTACCTCCCTCTTCGGCACCAAAGAAGCCGCTGCTGCCGCCAACGCCGCCAAGCCCAAAGCCAAACCTGCCAAACCTGCCCCTGCACCCAAAGCCGCCGCCTCCGCCGCTGCCACTCCTACCGACCCCAGCGAGCCTGTCATCCCCACCAACATTTTCAGCGACGGTTTCTTGTCAGAGTTCCACAAGGTCGGGGAGAACCCGCAGATCGACCCAAAGTTGAAGGAGAAGCATTTGGAGTGGACTCAGGGCAAGGTGCACACGCGTTTCCCGCCAGAGCCCAATGGGTTCTTGCATATTGGACATGTGAAGGCTATCATGATCGACTTTGGATATGCCAAGTACCACGGTGGTCGCACATATCTCAGGTAAGTTTGCATCTACATGTCTGGATATGACTAATGATCAAAAGGTTTGACGACACCAACCCCGAAGCTGAAGAGGGCCGCTACTTCCAGTCCATCCTCGAATCCGTCCGATGGCTCGGCTTTGAGCCCTGGAAGATCACTTACTCTAGCGACAACTTTGACAAGCTGTACGAGCTTGCCTTGGAGCTGATCCGCCGGGGAAAGGCTTACGTCTGTACTTGTGATGGTGAGTTGCCTTTGCCTTTTGCCAAGTCGGGAGTCAGCTGACCATCATCCAGCCGAGAAGATCAAGGAAGATCGAGGTATGGGCAAGGGTAACCCTGTGCCCTGTATCCACCGCGAACGTCCCTCTGAGGGATCCCTCCACGAGTTCCTGAGGATGAAGAACGGAGAGTACGAGGAAAAGACTGCTTGTTTGAGGATGAAGATGGATTTGAGCTCGGGTAACCCCTACATGTGGGATACTGTGGCCTACAGAGTCAAGAAGGCGCCCCACCACAGGACAGGTGACAAGTGGAGTGAGTAGCAAAGATTAGTGAAAGGGAAAGAGCTGATGATGGGCAGAGATCTACCCTACTTATGACTTTACGCACTGTCTCTGTGATAGCTTTGAGAACATTACGTGAGTACATCTTTTATCATCCCAGCAAGTACTCATTCCCGCAGCCACTCCCTCTGTACCATCGAATTTATCCCCGCCCGAGAGTCCTACGAGTGGCTCTGTGACGCCCTCTCCGTCTACAAACCCCGTCAATACGAATTCGCCCGTCTCAACCTCCAAGGCACTTTCCTTTCCAAGCGCAAGATCGCCAAGCTTGTCCTCAACAAGCACGTCCTCTCGTGGGACGACCCCCGTCTCTACACCATCATCGCTCTCCGGCGTAAGGGTATCCCTCCCGGGGCGTTGCTGTCGTTTGTGAGCGAGCTGGGTGTGACCAACATTCCCTCGACGACAGAACTGAAAAAGTTTGAGAGTGTGGTCAGGAAGCATTTGGAAGACTCGGCGCCGAGGTTGATGATGATCTTGAACCCCATCAAGGTCATCCTCGACAATGTCCCCGACGACTACCGCCACCCTGTCGAAGTGCCCGTCCACCCCAAGATTCCTGCCATGGGTACCTTCATGACCAACTTTACCAAGGAGGTCTACATTGACGCGGACGACTTTAGGACCGTCGACTCGCCAGACTACTTCCGTCTCGCCCCTGGCAAGTCTGTCGGTCTGTTCAAAGCTCCCTTCCCCGTCCGCGCCACCTCCTTCACCACCGATCCCTCCACGGGCAAGGTCACCGAGATTCACTGCCACCTCGAGAACGACTCTGATTTCAAAAAGCCCCAGGCCTACATCCAATGGGTCAACGTCCCCGACGCTGTCCGTATCGACCAAGTGCGCTACTTTGGCCCTCTCTTCAAGAGCGACCCTCCTCCTGCAGACTTTGAGAGCGATATATCGCCTGATTCTTTGCAGATCTATGAGGGTGCTGTTGTGGAGCCGGCGTTCTTTGAGGTGGCGAAGAAGCAGATGGCAGATGCGAGGGAGGCCAGTGTGTTGCGTACCAAGAAGGCTCTTGCGCAGGCTGCTCCTACTTCTTCCGCTACAACTGGATCTTTGGAGACCAGTGCTTCTGCTCCCGTCGCCGGGTCTGCCGCTGCGGCTCACGCTGAAGACGAGCCCGTTGCCACCGCCGACCAGCTCATCGGTCCCGAGAACGTCAGGTTCCAGGGTATGCGTCTCGCGTACTTTGCGCTCGACAAGGAGAGCTCGGTGGCGTGCTTGGAGGACGAGAATGTGAAGGGTGCCAAGGCTGGAGACAAGATTGTGTTGAACAGGATCGTCTCGTTGAAGGAGGACGTTGGAAAGAAGGCTTAGGGTTTTTATATGACGACAGATGGTAATGAAGGGGTTTACAGCATATATGATATGTAGAGTAGATGGGAGAGTATACCCATTGCGTACGAGTACGAGTACAGTACATAGTCGTCAGCATATGCACATTCAGCGTGGTGCATACTCGTCTTTCTCGTCGTTCTGATCTTGCAGACGATCACATCCCCACCGAACGGTGCTTTCATTTCTACATGCATCCTCCCCGTTCGTTTTCCCACAAACCGTTTACCGTAGATTTTGCTTCATCAATTCTATACTGTTACACGCTGTGCCCAGGCCTACTTCCTGGGAATGTCTGCGCACGGTCAACGGCGTTGTATTTCGAATTGTTCAAGGAGGCATGCGAGCAGCTCGGTCTCCTTGCCAATGACAACGAGTTTGATGTCTGCATAGCCGAGGCTTATGGCTTCAGCAACGGCCACGCTCTCCGGAAGATGTTCATTGACATGGTCATCTTCAGCCCTCCGTCCAACATGCGCGCTTTGCTCGATCGCCAGCAGGAGCATCTGTCTGACAACTGTGCCCGTCGCCTCGGTCTACGGTATCGGAACCCTACTCGTACAGTAGCCCAGCAATGGCAACTGGCACTTTGCGACTTTCAAGCTCTCGCCGCCCGAGCCGGCTACACGCTGCCCGAGTTGGGGATCCCAACTCCGACGATGGTATTCGATGCCGGTCGTGCCTACCGCTCTTTGCTTGGCGGACGCCGAACTCGACGTTGATACTGAAGCTGCTACACGGCATTATCTATATCTTCGTGCTCGCGACAACGGCGATCAGCTCGGCGCCATCAACGAGGTTGTCAACTGCGTCGACTCGGAGCTCGGCAAGATCATGCTGCTCGATGGTCGTGCTGGGACTGGGAAGACCGCGGTGGAATGCACGGCATACAGTAGGCGTACGTCCGCAATAAAGGCTCTGTGGCACTTTCAGTTGCGTCGTCAGGCGTGGCCGCAATCTTACATCCGCCAGGCAGGACCGCCCATCCGATGTTCGAAATTCCATTCTAACTGAATGAGAACGCTGGGTGCCATGTGCCCTGTCCAGTCGCAGCTGGCTGCGCTTCTTCAGGCGGGCAAGTTGACCAAAACCGGCTCTTCCCTTTTTCTGCGGTCTCGGAAAATGCATTCCAATGTCTTATGGGATCCCTCCTTGAACCTCATTTGCCCATGAATCTTCTCGCTTTTCTGTTCCGATCTCCCCACTCGCCCGAAGAAAGAACCAAATACCGAAACCTCCCCCTTCCTGCAGGCTGGTCCGGCGTTTCACCACCATCAGGTTCTAAGACCCTAATCAAGGCTACAACCATGCGTTGGCCTGCTCTGCGACGTTGGAGAATATCATCCCATATCGCGCACAGGGAAAGGCATAATCGGAGTATTGTGCAGGGGATATGTATAGGACATAGTCGGCTGCAGTGTTGTTCATCTTGCGAATATTGTACATGTGGTTGTCGAACGCCTCCTTCGGGCTTGCGTAAGCTAGGTTCATGAAAGCCTTAGCGCATCTGATTCCAAACTTCTTCTTGATGTTGTGGAATATATGGACGGCGCAGAAGCCGTGAGCAGCCATTGGGAGCTCGCTCTCAACAGCAAGGTTGAGGCCCTGATTGCGAGTCAGTCGTGGGCATATCATGGCAAGAATAAGAAGATCTTACCTTCTGCCGGTCACTCATCACCACAAGTGAAGCATTATCCACCATACTTGGGTATGCCTCCTTCAAAAAAGAAATGAACCATCGCCAACGCGACAAGTCGATAGAGGAGGCGGAAGAAGTGGCAGCAGTTTGAATTTGTGGGGAGGCTCGGGGAGTCTGGGCACTTGAGACGCGATGAGTCGGACGCCGGGAGACTCGAGGAGTCTGAGAATAGGAGACTGCGGGAGCCTGAGAGTGGGAGACTGCGGGAGCCGGAGAGTGGGAGACTCGAGGAGTCACACAGTAGCTTCAAAGTCTGATTCTTTGATTCGATCGAGGTATGCCGGGAGTTGTTGGAAGGCAAGGGTGTGGGTATCGACGTCGTTCTGAGAAAGCTCCCTTCGAGCTCGATGAACAGAAAGAGAGGGGAGCACAATCCAGTATGCTTCCTGACGTTTGAGATGAGCGTGGGAGCCCGGGACTTTCGGACAACGCCTTGACTGTGAGTCAAGGAAGGTGAAGAAGGAGTCGGAGCGGGAAGTTGCATCCTGGGGAGGAGAGACTTCTTGATGGTTGTACTTGCACAACGTTGTTCGCTATCAGGCGCATTGTCAGACTACGAGCAGGAGTCAATCGGGCTGACTCACCAAGTACGCCAGACGCGCAACCATCTCTTTCCCCCTCGACCTCTACCTCTATTCATACGTCCACCCTCCCGAATCCTGAATCTCTCCTGCTCTCGCGCCCCGACACTGCCAGATTGAGCTGTTCGGCTCTGGCTTTCTGCTGGTCTGCTTTGAGCATTATGTCGGTTTCTGAGCGGAAGTGTCGGGTGAGGCCGATTCAGGTCCTCTCTTGGACTGGTCTCGAGATAAACGAGCCTCGGATATGGGAGTAATTGTTCCCCAGCGACATGAAGAAAGCCTGGATCTTCTCTTGCTCGGGCATGGGAGCTCCGAGCTGTTCAAGGTCCTTGAGGATCCCGGCCAACCTTTTGAAATGGCGCATCGTTACTGTGGCGCCAACGTTTGCTGGAAGGATATGACTGTGAAGGATGGGAGCGCTCAACGAGTACTCCTCGGCGGATCCTACCGCAGAGGCCGTAATGATGTCCGGACCAGAAGAGGAGCCCTCTACAGTAGCTTCAACCTGACAAAAAGTCAGCAAATTGTTACTCTTGAATAATTGTGACTTGCCGCCTTGTAGACTTTGCTTTTCATTCGGCGGTAGTAGTATTGCCGAATGTAATGGTCAGCAGGGTCGGGGCTTGGGACTGCAGAGGCATGCCCGGAACGGCCAAGTGGCGCATGATATCCTACACCCATCAGTGAGTGTCTATTACATAGCATTGTTAGTGTGACTCACAACGATCAACGCCGGAAAGGATTTTCCGTCCCAGGAGGAATGAAAGGGGAGGGCAGGGGAAAGAAAGGCACACTTGGTGATCAAATGAACCTCATTCTGTCATAAGGAGTGTCAAGGGATATACACACAGTAACGCTGCTTGCTGAAGTAATTGAGACTCACCTTGATCTCTTTGGTGAGGGGAATGGCGACATGCTTTGTAAGCGCCCGCATCTCCGCTTTCAACTCCTGATTCTCTCTCGCGCGTCCAAAGACTCGAGGATTGACGACATCAGGAGCTCTCGCAGCGACATCTGCGCCCTCGATCACTCCATTCAATTCTGGTGTGTACGTTGAAGATTTCTGATGAATGATTCCATGATCTTTGAGGAGAGGTCGGATCTTCTCAAATTCTGTGCCGTGATCTGTTCGGAGTACCTTTATGGGTAAACCCGTTTGGGTGATGAAGCGAAGTATGAAGTCGCGTAGATGTTTGAAAGCTTCGGACTTCTCGCGGATTGGGATAGCTTGGGCGGAAGCCTGAATCTGCAGCCAGCCTGTCAGCTAACCGATTATCAGTCGTCAGGTTATGGCCAGTGTTCGAGACGGCAGACGAAGCACTTACGATGATCAGGCGGCCCTCGACGACGAACCCTCTGTTGACGGGCTCGGACTCCACCGTACCAAGAATGTTGATCACCAAGGGACGATGGATCGGAACCATACCGTAGTATGCGTCGCCTATAAGTAGCTAGAGTGTTAGATCCAGAATATCATACGAGAGAAGAGGGAAGACACACTGTTTGGTTCCGCCCAAGACTTGAACCTCTCCATCTCCCCTGGGTAGACACGGATGGGAGACTCCGGTTTGCCGTCATGAACTATGGAACCCCAAGTGACGCCGACGGCCTCGTCGACCGAATAGGCGGGGATGGTTTCGTTGGGATCAACGTACAGAGACATCACCACAGTAAAAAGGTTGGCCTTAGACTTAAGATCATACGACGCTTCGAACACCATAGACCGCGGCCTGTTCTCGTGGGGTAACAAAAGGTTGGCGCAGTCTGGAGATCATACGATGATTCGAACACCATAGACCGCAGCCTGTTCGGGCAGGCGCCGAGATGCTGTCGACGATGAAGACCTTAGAGCCGTCCCTTCCCCGGGGGGGCAGGAAGGGCTTGTGTCGAGCCAGAGAGCCAACTTGGAGCTGTCCGAGCGATTCAACATTCGATGTTCCCGCCGCCGCCGCGCCACGACGCGATAAATGCCGAGTGCCGAGTTACGTAAATATGCCTCCACCTCGGATGAACGCGCGCGTCGCCGAGTGAGAGAACTCTTGAGCCCAGCTTGAACTTTTCACTTTTCTCATCTCTCAACAACAAACTCCATGACGCTCTACACCCCCGACCGCGCTCTCCTCCTCCCAACATTCGAAACATACCGCCTCAAATCCCTCGACCCATCCTCCAACCTCCTCTCCTTCCCTCTCCCTCCTCCGGGGGCAACCCAGAGCCGCATGGGCTACAGCCAGCAACACCTCAGCTTCAAGGAAGTGCGCTCGAGGATTGGTTGGGATCATCTGAGTGTGGATGAAGGCGGGAGGAGGGGGATGTGGGTTGATGGGGAGTGGGGGGTTGTTGGGTTCACGCTTGGGGTGAGTGGCATTTGTACTGGCAAGGCGAAGCAAGGCTGGGAGACTGATGGGATACTGATGTGGTATGAACAGGACGATCTCGAGCCGACATTCACCAAACTCGCAGACCTTCCCCAGCCTGTATCATCTACCACCCAACAATCCGAGTTCCCATCCATCCTTCCGCTCTCGCAAACTCGCTGGGCTATCGCGACAGGGAGCGGCTCGCTCTACATCCTCCAGACTTCTTCTGCAGAAGAGTCGTCTTTCACCGGAAAGCTCGTAGCGAGATACGACTTTGTCCTCGAAGGGAGCGAAGGGCAAGCTGTTCCTTTTCTGTTGAGGGCGCAACATCAAGTCGCAGAGGATGATGTTCGCTTGCTCGTCTCGCGCTCTGTCCAACCAACAGAAGACGGATCCGGCAAAAGCAGCTTCTCATCCATTCAATCTACACCCTTTGAGTTTTTGGAGCTTTCCTTGAATTCGACAGTGGAGAACGGTGTGGACGATGCGCCTGGAGAGTTGAACGTCAAGTGGGCGCTGAGGGGCAAAGACCTGCCTGTTTGGTGTTCCTGGTACCAAGGCGCCGATGCGCAGGGATGGATCGTTTTGAGTGAAGACGAATTTACGAAAGCTGGAGCAGTCAAGGAAGAGACGGAAGTGGAGAGAAAGAAGAGGGAGAGGGATGAAAAGGTGTCAAAGTTGGGGCTCGGCGCGACGCTTTCGGCAGAGGACAGGGCGCCTATTGAGGAAGAGAAGGGAGATGCGATGGATGTGGAGGAAGAGCAGGGGGTGTATCCTTATACTTGGACTCAGACGCCCGATACGCTCAACATCACTATCCCTGTACCCGAGTCTATTAGCAGAAAGGACATCAAACTCGCCCTTTCGCGGTCTTCCTTCTCCTTCTCCCTCTTCACCTTGCCCGCAGACATCTCCCCTCAGCTCGCTACCTTCCTGCAAAAGAGCATTCGGCAGTTCTGGTCTGAAATCGATCAAGAAGAATCTTCATGGACATTCGAGTCTACCACCCACACCATCACGCTCGACCTCCAAAAAGTCGACGAAAACGTCCGTTGGCCCTCTGTCTTTTCGTCTCCCATCGACGAGGATAGCGATGAAGAAGAAGACGAAGTCCCCGAAACATTCTCCGCCGCCCACCTCGCCTCCGTGCGCCAATCATTCTCTTCCATCCATACCCGCTCTCCGGACGAGCCTCCCCTCCCTCATCCTGCTATACCCGCTCTTCTGAGGGAAGAGATGGATTTCGACCTGGAGGATGGGGAAGATTTCGAAGAGACTGAGGGGGGGAATGGGGATATGGGTGGAGGGGGTAAGGTGGGGAGGGATGTGTTGACTGGGTTCATACGCGTAGAGACGGGTGAGGCGAGTTGGTCGAGAGGGACGAACAGCGTCTTGTCATTACCTCTCAACGGATCGGGCGGAGAGGCGGTGATTGTCAAGCAAGCAGTTGATGGTCTCGTATATGCCCCTCAGAGCGAGGGACAGCCGAGCAAGAAACCTTGGGCGCATGTGTCGACATCTCCAGCGTTGGCATTTGTCCTCTCTAGCAAACGCGATATCCGTCTCGTCCGCCACCTCTCCCCCTCCCCTTTCCCCTCGTCCTCTTCCTCTTCATCCCTCCCTGTACCAACAACAGTCCTAGCATTCGACTCGGGCTCATCCACCGCCGGACAAGGTAACGTCTATACATACTACCCGCCTCTCGACAAGGCTAGCGCGCAGCAGGGGGTATTGTCGTTGAGTGGAGGGGATAGGGGAGCGTTGTTGGGTGTTGGGTGGTTGAAGGTGGGTGGGGAGGGGGTGGTGGTGGGGCTTTGTGAGAAGGAGCTGGTGGTGCTTAGGGGGGTGGTATGATGGGGTTGGGCACTGGGGATGCATCGCTTTGGTACTTGTATATTGCGAGCCATGCCGAGATGCAGCTCGTGCTACAGAGGCTGTGCTGTGAAGCAGATGCAACTTGGGTCAGGACACGGCATGGAGACAGAAGCACAGGATGATGGGCGAAAAAGAAAGACTCGGTTGTAAAGAGATAGGTGTAATGACGAATTGACAACAAATATCTTGTCTACTCTAGCGTTATGATCTATAATTGTGGTAATCGTCCAATACACGGCATGAGGTGTTTGATAGCGTGCATGTGGACTCTATCGGATGGATCATGGGCGGCGCTGCCGTGCAAGAAGAAGGCTAAGCTGTGATAGGTTGTGGACGAAGGTCGGCATAGACATTTCTCCAAATGACCGCCACATGACCGAGGAGTGGAAAGTGTCAACAGACTTCATATGACGGATGCTTGTCGCTGAACTCTCTCTGCACGGGACACAAACCGGCAACATAGACGGCAAGAAGCCCTCGCCAAGCAAGCTTGCAAGGCTGGATGAGACAAGTGCAGGATCCGGTCCGTAGACCGGGTGTCAAGGCGTTCAGAATGGGAAGAGCACGAGATATTGAGTTAGAGAGACTAGCGGGAGAACGTTGTTTGATTAGAAACGTTTGTAAGACGTGCGAGCAAGAACGAACGGTTGGCTCATTTTCGCCACTTTCGCAATTGCGCTGCCGGCCGCCGAGAGAGCATCTTCCCTTGCAAAGTGCGCGACATCTTTCGTCTTTTCCCATCTCTTCGCATTGCCAGCATGCCCCCCGTCCCCCACCCTCTCTGCATATCCGCCATGCATCGACTCGACGACGGCCTCCTTTCGCCCAACAGAAATAACAACAAAAGGCGGGAAGAATGCACGTAGGCTTTCCGGTATCCGGCTGACGCTTGTAATCGATCACGCCATCATTACAAAGCATTTCACACGGCATTACACAGTGATTACAAACGTCGCCACAGTTTCTAATCGGCCTCGCAAAGCTCGCAAGTGTTTGCGGGGATGGCGACATCTGCCAACTTTTTTTCTGAGCGCATAGGTCGCCATCGACGAGGAATTATATAATGCAGCCCTTGCCACTCCATTCCCAAATCTGCTATTCCAAAAAAACATCCATGGCTCTCGTCGGATACCTCGCAACCATCACAAACATGGCCTCAGCACGCACCCAGCAGCAACCTCCCCTCCCCTCCTCCACTTCCTCCCGTATCTTCTCCCCCAGAGTCGCAAACAATGCCGACTCGGACATCGTCCCCTCTATCCTTTACGACCCCACACCCATCTCCCCCGTCGCCTCATCATCATCCAACCTCCCCAGGCCTCCTGTTCGCGGCCGCACCCACTCGCGGACGTATGAATGGTACGAGGCGGTGCAGAAGGAGCGAGAAGACCGTAAAAAGTCAAAGAGCTCCAGGTCCTCTGGCTCTTCCTCTTCTGGGTCTGAGCGGGGGAGTGTGAGCGTCAGCCGCGGTGAGAGGAGGTCGAGGAGGGTTTCGGAAGACGTCGATGTGCAGACTATCAACGCGCACCACACCCTGCCGGATGTCCTGGCCGAAGTTGGTATCTCGCCCGATCCCATTCTCTACCTGCCGCCTCTCCTCTCACCTCTGCCTGAACACGCGCACGATCATGCCCCAGAGTACGACGAAGACGAAGACCACCCTCACCCTCACTTTCACTCGCACTCGCACTCTCGTCCAGGCAAGCGAGATGACGCTCTCATCTCTGTCAAGGAGGTGAACGACAACCGTCATGGGCTGATTGAGGAGGGCGAGCAGGTCGACCCTCTTCGAGACTTTTCGACTCGTCTTCCTCATATCGACCCTGCTTCCCTCGCTCTGCACCAGGCTTTACACCATTTCAAGCCTCTTTCCAACGCTTACGCTTCTCTGCCGTATGACAAGGCTTTCAACTGGTCTTCTCTCGTGAGTTTCCTCCTTTTCCGAGCGTTGTTCATCCGCTGATAAAAAATAGTCCCTGCCAAAGTCTGCCGAAAGAGAATGGTACTGCGTGGTCTTCCGTTCCCGCCGTAAGCCCGAGTCTGCCAACCTCTCCCTCTACAAAGCCGACCGCGAAGCGCACGAAGAAGCTGTCCAAAATGTTAGTCCCTTCCCTTCCTCACTCTTGTCTTTCTGGGTGCTGACTTGTCCTCAGGGCGGTCTGATTCTGTATTGGTACGGCGTACCTGACTCTACCGGCTTGAACCTCGCCACTTGCATCTGGCAATCGTACGTCACTCCCATCTCCTCACTTCTCAGTACATAAGCTAACTTAATCCCCAGCCGTCGCCATGCGATCAAAGCCATCTCCGGCCCCAAACACATGTCCGCCATGAAACAGACCGAAGGCGCATACGAAACATACTCTCTCGAGCGATGGGTGTTGAAGAAGGAAGTGGGCAAGAGGGGCGTGAGCTTGAAGAAGTGGGAGGGAGGGGATGTTGGATGGTAGTTCTTCATCATTCTTCTGTTTCGTTCGATGAGGGGACACTTGAATTGTGGCATATTTGAAGAGGCATTGTTGTAAGATAGTAAGAGAAGAACATAACACTAAAAGATGGCGATTTTGTCCATAGCATTTTCATGCACATACCAGGTCTCGTGATGATTATCAGTACTGTACAGCGGTAACCAACTGAATCGCAGACAGTACAAGTACAGGATGGCAAATGTATAGAGGCCAGAGATGACTCGGCGCGAATCGTGGAGCGTGGGTCACTCAACATACCTTCCTCTGGAATACATCATCTCCCACCATGACTCGATTACGGTACATTACATACACAGAGCTTACATACACGCTGTCTTCCTCAGCCCAACAGACTCACCCTCCACCTAACAGCCTCATACCCCCACCCCGTATGCACCACAGCAGCCGCCAAAACCAAAAACGCGCTCTGCCCCCAATAAACAGCTACACCCCCTTCATCTATCAAGCTATTCGACTGGCTCACCGAATGGCCGATGACGGCTGCTTGGGCGATAAAGGCGATCCAGGTGAAGGCGAAGCAGACGGTGACGGAGATGAAGTGAAGCATGGCGAGGGAGTAGAGTTTGTCTGCGTTGGGGGCGGGGGAGGCGCGGTAGGAGTAGCGAATTGTGTAGGCGTGGTGGGCGCCGGAGATGAGGACGAGGGAGAAGGCTGTTGATATCTTAGCATACTTGCTCATCGCCCCTCGTATCTTTTGTCGCTCGAAGGTCTGCGCGGGGAAAGAAGACTCACCAACGACATTACAAACCACCACCCTCCCCAAATTCATATTGATATCATTCGGTACAGTGAACCCGAAATAACCCGTAGGTATCTGCCACTGAAACCCACGAAAGATACACCCGAGTTTTCCGGTGATCTCGAGGTTGGAGACGTTGTAGCCGCAGTAGTTTTGAGAGGCGAAGCGCACCTTTAGGTATAATCTAGATCAGACATCGTTCGGACTATGCATGAGGGAGTGGGGGTGGGAGTGAAGGGACGTACGATGGTATCTTCGGTAGCGACAGAGACGTACCAGACGGAATCGGCGCTGGCGAAAGCGGCTACGGCGAGGAGGGTGCATGAGAGGAGAGGGTAGCCGAGGTGGTACGGTAAGCCTACTGTCCTACCCATGACTAGAGGACTGGTACGAGTCTTTGAGAGAAGAGGGACGGGACGCAAAGGCGATGAGGTGTCGACGTTGAACGATTTAGGGGCGGGTTGTGAAGGTTGAGGGATTGTGGATGGAGGACGGAGGGTGAAGCGATGAGAGCGGATGATAGTTTTGGATGTAGATGATGGATTTGGGGGGTGGGATTACCGCTCGGCGGAGTCGGAAGGCTCTAGAGTGATGTACAAAGGACACTATCCTCATAGATCGACAAGGGATGCATCTGGCGTCATACCCTGAGTCTTGCTTGTCGTAGTCTATGATTGTCTTGCTTGGGACACGTAAAATGAACACTATCTGTACATGTAGCCCCAGAGACGATCAATGCGTTGAAGAAGCGAGAGAATGACGGAAAGACAAGAGTGGCGCAGCGGCGATGCCCGCCGTTGACGCGTCTGTATGACGTGGAGCGAATTCTTGGTCATGGCATCTCTTCCATCTATCTCCTTTTCTTTCCATCTTTCTTGTGTATCAAAGATGCGTCTCTCCCTCTCCCTCTCAGCCGCCCTCTTGGGCCTCGTGTCTTTCGTGTCGGCAAGCAACGTCGTCGACCTCGACCCCACCAACTTCGACCAGGTATGTCTCAACAAGTCGATGGGCTGCGCGACAAAAGCTGAACGGGGAATCGTAGCACGTTGGCGGTGACAAGGGTGCTTTGGTAGAATTGTGAGTTGTCCGCATTGTCATTTCACAAGATCCGTACTGATATATCGCGCTTAGCTACGCACCGTGAGTTGCATCGTCAAAAGGGATCGACAAAGGAAAGAAGGTGCTGACGAATGTGCTCAAGATGGTGTGGACATTGCAAGAGCCGTGAGTATTCGAGCAGTCTACTATATGAAGGATAAAACTGACCTTGATATAGTTGCCCCCATCTACGAGCAACTCGCCGACGCTTTCCCTACTGTTCGTGCTCTGCCATAACCGTTTCCGGAGGATCGAGGACTAATCTGCCCACAGGACAAGGTGGTGATTGCGAAGACTGATGCCGATGGTGTGGGCCGAGAGCTTGGTTCCAAGTACGGTGTCACTGGATTCCCTAGTAAGATCCTCTCATTGAAACCTGGACGCCGAAGCTGATGAAGCGACAAAGCTTTGAAGTGGTTCCCCGCTGGCGGCGCCGAGCCCATACCTTACGCTGGTGCCCGTGACCTCGAGACCCTTTCTACCTTGTACGTTGCTCTTCTCCCTCGTGTTATCAGCACAACACTGACATGAGTGATGAAGCGTGACCAAGAACTCTGGCGTCAAGTCCAACATCAAGCCTCCCCCTCCTCCCGCTTACACTGAGCTCGACTACACCAACTTTGACGACATTGCGCTTGACGAGAACAAGAACGTTCTTGTCGCGTTCACTGCCCCTTGGTGTGGTCACTGCAAGGTCCGTTTTGCCTTCCCCTCATAGTTTGGATGCTGATACTCTTGAACCAGAACATGAAGCCCGCGTACGAAAAGGTCGCCAAGATCTACGAGGCTGACTCTGACGTCGTCATCGCCCTCATGGACGCCGACGAGGCCGACAACAAGCCCATCGCTAGCCGATACGGTGTTGCCAGCTTCCCCACCATCAAGTACTTCCCCAAGGGATCCAAGGAGCCCGTCGCTTACGACTCTGGCCGTACCGCCGAGCAGTTCGTCAAGGTATGTCTCAGTCCACATTTATCAAGAGAAAGTAGTTGACAAAAGTTCAGTGGATCAACGAGAAGGCCGGTACCCACCGAGACCTCTCTGGCCTCTTGACCGAAACTGCCGGCCGTGTCCTTACCCTCGACACCCTTGCTTCCCAATTCTTCACCTCTGCCTCCTCCGCCCGCTCCGACATTGTCAAGCAGGCCAAGGATGCCCTCGCCTCGCTCGACAAGCAGACCAGGGCTTCTGGCGAATACTACGTCAAGGCTATGGAGAGGATCAGCGCCAAGGGTGAGGAGTGGGTTGCCAAGGAGCAGGCTCGGTACGTCCATCCCTGTACCCTTCTTTTTGGAGCAAAACTGACATGACTCTAAGACTCGCCAACCTCCTCGCTTCTCCTTCCCTCGCCCCTACCAAGCTCGACGAGCTCAAGATCAAGATCAACATCCTCTCTGCCTTCGCCTCTCAGAAGGCGTCTGACGCTTACGACTCTGCCGAGGAGCTTCTTGAGGACGCCAAGCAGGCCGCTTTCGAGGGCAAGGCTAGGGTCAAGAGCGAGCTCTAAACGGTGTCGCGGTTGTGGATCAGAGTTAACAAAAATGCATAAGCAGATGAGACGAGCATGAATGCACATGTTTGCCGAGGACCCTTGCATGGCGGCACGAAGCATGGTATGATACATCAATCTTTCTCTCTCTTCTTGAAGACTCGCTTCAAGGAGCCGGAGACCTTCTTCACTGGGCTTCGCGGAGGGTCAAGAGAACCTGAGTCGTTTTGAAAGCTGGCGAAGCGCTAGGGCGGAGACCTGATGACTTGCCAAAGTCGTCCACACCCGGATCACTTTCCGCTCGGTGGGGCACAGCGTCGTTCAACTCCTTCAAGGGCCCTTCAACCTGCACATCGCCAGTAGATGGCGCTCGTTAGTGCGGGAGATGAGGGTGGTAATCTGATTTGGAAGATATAGATAGGGTTAGGGGTGAGGGTATGCATTTTGGGGTTGAGCTCTGCTTCAGATGATGGTGTACGCGAGAGAAAGAGGCTGCAGCTGTCCCGTCCTCAGCATGTGCATGTACCTATCCAACTGCTTCCAGATTACGCTCCTAAACTCATCCGGCGACGGGATCCACGTTGAACCATCCAACTGAAAGGACCAATTCCGGGGCGGGAGGTTCGAAGGATTGGTCGCAGTCAGCAGCACGGCGGGACAACTTACTCGTGTCTGTGACTTGAGACGACCTAGATTATCGAGCGAGTTAGATTTTTGATCCGTGACGAAGAAGACCTGTCCGCTCACGACCGCTCACGAAGTTGCCCACCGTGTTAGATTGCGTTGTGCCTTGTCCAATTGATGGCAAGAGCTTTGCCACCTGTTCATCAGCCACAGTCGCCAGATAGAAAGACTCACGAGAACTTGTCCATCAGATGTGAGGACAATTTTGAGCAATGTCCTCACAGGCGTGAAGTCGAACGAGAGGACGACGTTGTTTTTACTGCTACAGAAGTCAGCCACGGCTCGCCGCAATTGAGGGCACCCACTGGAGGTATGTCTCTATATGCTCATTTTCCATCGACGAGTCGGGTTCCGTCTTGGCCAGAGCAACTCCGACACCGCAAGCCAGCGCCTCGCCGTCAACTCAACGCCCGGTACCCTGTTCCAGGCGGCGATAGCCCCAGGGAACCAGAGAAAGGCGCCACTGATCCAAAAGCCTGGGCCGGCGTAGTTGTACAGAGTGCCACCCGGAACCGTCAGACTGATAGACTGGATCAGTGTTTCCCTCAACATGAGACAATTTTTATCGACACTCGCTGCTTGAAGTTGAGCCAAAACCCAACAGCCAGGCAAATTGCACCCAGGAACAGGGCACAGACTGAATGTATATCAGATCCAGTACACGTTGGCTCGAGGATGTCACTCACTGGCTGCCTTTTGTAGAAGCAGGCATCTGTGCTTTCCATTAGCGTTTTGACGAGCTATCCACCAGCCCATACGTACTTGCTCTCTGCCAACAAGTGCGAGCCTGGGGCTGCTGAGTCAGTACGCCTGCCGGTTTTCTCTGATAGGTGTCGATGCAATGGTGGCTTACGGGGGAGAGGGGCTGGAGGTATCGGGGGTGGGGTGTGGGTTTGGGGTGTGAGAGGGCGAGAGGGCGGGGGAAGGGCGGGAGAAGGGCGGGAGAAGGGAGGAGAGGGAGGGGAAGCCCGGGGAGGAGGGGGCTGAGGGATGGGGGGAAGGGGACATGGGATTGGGATCCAAGAGAAAAGAAAGAAGAAAGGAAGAATGGAGAGAAGAATGTGCGAGACGTGTTGTGACGGACGGTTCCACCCCAAACACGTGGTGACGTGTTGCCATCCTTTGCCAGTCTGGTTCCTATCGGGGCAGCGGTATGTGGCTGACCCTACTCTGATCCCTCCAGTGCATACTCCCACCGGCATGTCGACCCTCTTCTCGATGCTTCACACCACGACGAGGCAAGCCGTCGCCGTCTCAGCGGGGTCATCAATCAACCCGGACCCAATGCAGCGACCGCCAGGAGATTCTGGGCACGGCTACCATGTGCAGAACAGAGATGTTACATCCAATAGTAGAGACAGGGAATATGCGCCATTCGGAGTACAGAGGCTGTTGTGACGGGGCATTACTCGCAGCAGCTGCCAGCTGGTGATATCAACGTCAGCCACAATGATACGACGGCGCGGTCGGGAAGTGTTGTCATTGGTGGGGTGCGAATTGAAGATGATGATTCGGAAGGAGGAGGTACACTTGGGTTGATGAGGTCTCGCCGCCGAAGGGGTTCCGGGGGTGCATCATCTACGGCAGGAGATGGTTCTCAGCAGACGCGTGGTACTCCAATCGTTCTACTGTTCCTAGACGCTCTGCTGCTCCTACGCATTCTATAGCATCTGATACCTACACTTCGGATCATCGAACTCGCAGGGCCTAGCAAAGCGACCAAGTCCCAAAGTGAAGGATTGAATGCGACGTAGAAGGCGTATCATTATCGCTCAGGGTATGATGCCTGCCATTGTTCGATGTTTCATACGCATATCGGATCCTGCATTATGTATTCCAGCAGATTCAGTGGCCAGCTTGACAAGCGAAGAGTATGATGATAAACAATGCGTCCAACGTTACACCATATACCTCTCTCATCGTCAATCATGACAAGAACAATTTGGCGTTTCATATGATTGTACTCTGAAGTGGAAAGCCAAGCTCGATCATGTTATGTCTATAGTGTGACTGTTTAACTACGTGTTCTCATAGGTGCATCATGCCTAGAACATAGTGCTACGATAATCAAACACCCCAGCTGGCTTCAGAAATCAAACAGACTTCCGTGGCACTTTCTTGCTCCAGGCTCCTTTTTTCACCCCCAACGACGACTCTCTCTTTTTATTGAGAGACTTTCTCGTGCGCGACCGCACAGACAAAACAACACCCTCAAACATCGCTCGCCTTCTCCTCGGTATCTTTCCTTCTTGGTTTGTGCTAGTAACAGTTCCCGTATCTGCCGCTGGTTCGGCTGAACCATCCTCCACATCTCCCGATATGACATCGACATCGGGCGCCCGCACATCAGGGCCACCACGAGGTGCAGACTGCGTTGATGCGCAGGTGGTTCGAACAGGCTGCGAGGGCAGGGCCACGAGCTCGGGCACCGGTACTACCACTGGCACCGGTACTAGTACTGGCTCTGGTACCGGCGCGGGCGCATGTGAAGCCGGGGCTGAAGGTCGAAGTGGGTTCTGCTGCCTCGGCCTGGGTCTAGAAACCGGATTGGCTCTAGATCTGAACGGTGCAGAAATGAGCTCTTTACGAGCCGGCACCGGTGCGGTAACAGGAGGAACGGGAGTAGATGACTGGCTGGCGAGTATGGGTGATGAGGGAAGTGGAGGCTGCTCTTCGAGAGCAATGTTTTCATGTCCATTGGGGCTACCATTTTCCGACCACAAGGTATCAGGAAAGTCGACAGTCTCCTTGTCCCGGCCATGCTCAGTTGGTACAGGTTCACCTTGCTTGGAACCTCCAGCCGCACGCGCAGGCACGGGCGAGAAATGGCCATTCTGAAGCGAGACAGACTCTAGGTCACGCAAAGGGTTATTGAGCCTTTCCATAGCCTCTTCAATGACAGAGAACGATCTCTTCGAGGCTGGAAGTTGGGCTGCTTGAAGCGAAGGGTGATTTCGAGTCGGCGTTCTTGGGTCATCGACTAGTTCTGCTCTGGAATCTTCGACCACGGGCGCAGCTCGCTCCTTGCCCTTCAGACTCCTTCTCGCCCGCTTGACAGTTGGGACATCTACGACAACATCGCCTCGAGACACCCTTGGCCGTTTCTTCTGAGGCCGGGGAGCTTGTGCCGCGGTAGTAGGTGACGGTTGGTGCGAGGAGGAGGGTTGGGCCAGTCGTGAATCGCTCTGTGGGGGCCGGGACTCTGGCTGCGAGACCTGCTCGAGATGCGAAGAACCAGCCAAACTAGAGCCTACCTCTGGGGCCGCCCCATCATGTGGTTGAGATACATGTTCGCCATCTTTTCTTCTCTTAGCCGAGCCACGGCAAAAGCTGGGAACTACGATTTCAAACTTCTTGAATTGTCTTCTTGGAACGGCTTTCGAAGACGATCCCCGAGCCTTTTTCAATGGTCTCGTGGAGAGCGCTGCAGACGTTTCTTTGGTAGGTACAGCGTTCGTACTTTGAGCTGACTTGGCCGTCGATGGTCGTCCTCTTTTCCGCTTCACCACTGGCTCCGCCGGGGCTTCCCCTCTTTCCTTCTCCACTGATTTCTTCGCAGTTGGAGGCTTCGCGTTCGCCTTGGGCTGGATCTTGGAAGCTCCTGCAGTGGCACTCTTGCCAACCTTCTTGCCTAACAACGAATCGCTCGACTTTCTCTTCCCAAAGGTCTTGTAGGTGTTGACCACCAAGGATTTTCTCTGCAGTGGAGGAGAAGATGGGTTGTTTGGAGAGGCGGAGCGTGAAGCCTGGGGTGTTGGAGATAAGGGTGCAGCAACATGGGCATCGAGATGTCGGGGTGGCGGATCTTTCTGCTTGGGGGAAGGCGTTGGAGGCGCGGACGAGGCGGTGGATGACTGCCGAGTGGCAGTCTACGAAGGGCGCGTCAGATAACAGGACGCATGCGAACAAGATGACTCACTGAAGATACAATAGAAGCTGCAGGTAAGTCACTCCCCTGGGCCAAAACATCCGAGTCATTTTGTGATGTATCGCGCTACGTCAAGTCAGCCAAGGGTTGTTCAATGATCTAGGCAATACTTACCGGTCTCTCCGGCGCTCCTTCCATCTCCTCTTCGTCCAAGTCTCCTCTTACGTCTCTCTCAGCTTCTTCCAGCGCATTCTCCCCAACCAAGGGTATATCGTTCATGTCATGTTCTTCTTCATCCATAGCTGCTTGAACACGTCGGGTGAGGAGGAAAGGGGCGATATTGTCGGATTTGCGGCTTCTCCTGCGAGGAGCGGACGGGGATGTGGTGGGATTGCTGGCCTCGCCGCGGACAGTGCTTTGTGAAGCCGATGCTGTAGGTTGAGAGGGCTCGCCCGCCAAGTCTGTCTCTGAAGCTTGGGCGCTCTGACCAAGTTCGGCTCCATCGTCGCGACTGCCGTCATCCCGAGCCGGACCTTCAATGGCCTCAGCCGCAGCGTCTCGAGCAACACCGTGATCACTTTCAGGGAACGCCGTAGATCCCTTCGTGATGCCATTTGTAATGTCTTCCTCGGTTCTCACAGTGTCGTTATCGGGTTGAAGGGCAGCAGCTGCACTTGACGCCTCGAGACCTGGATAGCCGACTTGTATCTCGACGGACGGTTGCTCTTGGGCCTTGATGTCGGCAGTTAGCTGAGACTGCTCACCGACGTCGATATCATCACCCGCATCTTCTCCAGCAGACGCTTCTTCAGCTGTGGCTTCCTTGGGAGGAGAAGGAGCAGGAACCTGACCTTCACCACGCACAGGGGAGGCATATACTTGAGAGGAAGCAGGGATTGTCGGGATAGCCTGGGAAGCCAGAACAGGGTCACGCTCGGGAGTCTGCTGTCGTTGGGAAAGTAAAGAAGCTTCTGAAGCTGTTTCTATACGCAGAGGTTCTTTGACAACGACTTCTCGGTGGACAATGGTCTCAACAACAGTCTTATTGACGGTTGTTACCTCAGAAGTAATTTCCTCGGCAGTCGACGTTGGCCCAGTATGCGCTTCAGTCACAGGGGACTCAACATCTAGTGTTCCTTCCGTGGACTCTCGCCTCTTGGATGATTTGACAGTCGCCTCGGGCTCGGCTGGTTGTGGCGGGAAGACGCCCGACCAGACAATTTTTCCGCTAGACCCGGGAGGGGACAGATAACTTGGAGGACGCGCTTGAGGCGCAGGAAGGGCAAGTTGTGGTTGTTGTACCTCGGGTGATGCAGCCTCTTGCGCAGTATCGACAGGTGGCTCAACAGCCGCTTCTTCGATGTCCGTCCGTTCGTTGACTGACTCTTCCACTTCCGCTGACACCGACAATGCGGCATCATTAGAAATGACTTCGGGTGTGGCTGATACTTCGAGGTCGACGGGAGCGATTTCAGGTTCTTCTGGCGGCCCGGCAGATGCAGGTTGGTCTTCCGGTAGAGAGGTAGTCTCTCTAGGGACGTTGTCGGTTGTAGAAGGCTGAGCTTCACCCAAAGGTTCCCCGACGGAAGGTTGTATCTCCACCTCTGTCTCACGCACCAACTTCTCCTGTACCTCCACCGTGACAGCAACATCTCCAGCCGGTTCATAATCGACCATATCCAGCATTTCTGCCTCGGCTTCTTCGTCCGTTAACGGAACGCCTTCTTCGGGCAGACGTGGAGGCTCTGCAGGAGCGGAAAGAGGAGCTGTGAGGGAGGGAACCGGGGAGAGGGCAGGCTCGGGGAGAGGTTGGGGTGGGGGTTGAATAGGAGACTGAGGGGAATTCTCGCCGGAGGCGGGGGACGCGAGCTGAGTGAGCGTGTCGACTGCTCGCTCTTCAAGGGGTTCCCCGTTGTCCAATCCTTCATCCTCATCATCCTCATGAGCACTCGCTGCAGAGGAAGCATACGGGACTATCCCTAACCCCAGACCCGGCAGCGCCTGTTCCACCATTTGAGATGACTCTGGTGGGGGCTGTAGTTGACTTTGGCTGGGTCGATTGACCGGGGTGGGGAGGATGGGTGGTTCGACGAGAGGAGCTTGAACAGCAGGAGAAGGAGACGTGGGTGAAATTTGGACC